TGTCACAAGTTGGGAAACAAGTTGATTTATTAGAAAAATACTTTCACCCGCTTTCTTGCAAATAATTTTGATAATGATGGTCAAAAGTATCGATAATGGAAGTATTAATACCAAATACCACGGTTATTTGTGGGCATGAAATGTGTGGTAAACTGCCCAATTATAATTAATTTCGGATTCGTATATACAAAATATTAAAACTAATATAACTCAAAAATACAACGGCGATTTGTGGACTTGAATGTGTAATAAAGTATAAATTATTTTTCCGACTTGTGACAATTTTTTCGTGAGTACGAAAATAAGAATCAAAAATTAATTATATTTACAAAATACAACGGTGATCTGTGGACATTGAATGTGTGGTAAACTACCCGATTATAAATAGTTTTCGTATTTATAAAATAATAAAAGTATTATTACACAAACATACAACGGCGATCTGCGGACTTAAAATGTGTGGTAAAGTTCCCGAATATAATTACTTTTTGATTTGTATTTTTGTACTCACGAAAAAATTGTCACAAGTCTGAAAAAGAACTCATAGGCCGCGAGCCGAGGCCATTTATCTTTCAGTTTCGTAGCGCACATAAGGTAACTACCTGAAAATGATTTTAAAATGTTCCTTAGAAATTTAGTAACAAATATTGCCTTGTTCCCACTTACAAAAGTTGCACGTTTTACAGAAAATACACTTTTACCACAATAAATATGTGTTACCATCTGTCCTACTTTCTCTGCTTATTCGGTATCATGGGCCAATGAACGCAGACATCTGCATGACGTAACAATCGAATTAGTCAGCTGTAGGTGAAAACCCAGTGGTCGGATGAATATCAGATGTACTACTACTGCTTGCTTTTGCGTTGAGTAGCCTTTCCATAGTTTTTTCAGTTATTATTAGTTCAGTTATTCTAAGGAGGTGTTGAAAAGTATAAGTAAGATATTAAACACTTGTATATCCTTACCATAAATAGCAATTTTAGTTGAGCACTAGCTCATAAGACGTTGTTGAATAGGTACGGTGCGGTAATTCCATGGAAGGCTAGACTTAGAATAATATGTCACAAACAACGATATTTTCTGGCTTGCATGAAATGTTTATGATTAATTTAATGACTCTTCTTGACTATTCAGCAGACTTATACTACTATATAGGCCACAGCATATTTGGAAATAGAAATTAATGGCTGTTTCTGTAATGCACGGTTGTGTGAAAGAGAAGAAAATAATCAATTTTACTAATGTCGGTTGGTCTAAATCTAAATTCATAGAGTCGACAAGAACCTGGGAAGCAATGATACGGTAAGTTATGCCGGAGTGGAAAGAAAGTAGCATTGGAAACGATTGAGAGGTGAGAAATCGAGTTGTAGACAGACAGTTGATGTTTTAAAATATAGTCTAGGCCTATAGTCCATACTCATACTGTCATACTAGGGCATTTCAGACTGTGATATAGTGTAGATATAGTCTAGTAATGGTATGCAAACACTGCTGGACTGTAGTACATACGCTCATTGAGTACATCAGATAAAATGCATTATTTATTCAAGGTATTAGTTAGTATTTAGTGGTATTTTTACACTCATGCTGTTCCAAATATGATTTTCTTCCTCATTTTAGATACTGTACGACAAAAGAAGACGGCAATGTTCCACCAATCCGACCTAATGCAGGCTCTAATCCCTGCTGCTATAAAATGGATTAAACAAGAAGTCTTGAAGCGTAAAGGTATATGAGAATCATTATAGTTGCAAACAGCTTAGATGGGCTATTCATATTGAAATACTTTAGCACTTTTCTGCAATTGGAACTGCCCATTACACTCATGTTGGAGACTTCATTGTGGTTTTCAATTCATATTTTCTCAACTATGAAGATCTTTTGAGGTTAACGAGGCATTAATAAATAAAGCTGAGGAATTTGTTTGTTCACTGTATGAAGAGGATATGAAGAATGTAAATGATACCAGGGCACGTCTATTTAACACTGGCAAACATAAGGATTATACCCAACAATGATTCACTGAAGAAGCATGTGGCCCTCAAATCAGTTCTTGAGTTGGCAAACTGCAAGTGTAAAAAAAATAGTCAAAATAATTTATGCAAGTGTGTCAAAATCAACTTAAATTGCACAGATTTTTGTTTTTGTATTGACTGCAAAATCACAGTACACTTATAGAGGAAAAGTCGATTTTCAAGATAGTGGATTTCGAAAACAATTCAGAAGAAAGTGAATTAGATATTGCAGTTGATTTTTATCATTTATCAGTAGTATCATTTATTTTTTTTTTTTTTCGAACATTTGTTAGTGTCGTAGTCCTGTTTCTAGAAATAATATTGCCTTTGTTCAAATACATAACCACATAAACTAAAAAAAGACTTATTGTAATATTTCTGTTCACTATGTTATGTACATATTGTACAATTTTCTTGACTTTTCTTGTAAATTTCTAAGTGAGAAATAACTGATTTATTTGTGTTTTCGTGCTCACGATGTTAATTTGTGACTTCATTGCTTAAAAATAAATACGTTTGATAGCTTCTATAAAATGGATGTAGCTTTTTATGCTCTTCTTGTTGTAAACTGCTTGTGGTTATTACATAAAATTTATTCGCTAATGTGAATCAGCGTTGTTGGTGTCGCTGCTTTCGAGGTCACTCGCCACTCCTGTCACACAATTAAAGTATTTTTTGTTGTTGGTTACACGTATGTCATATTTTTCATAATCTACCTAATAAATTATGATTGACTGATGAAGTCCGATTTTGGTCAGGCAAAACATTACAGGAATACATTTGTGTTTAGTGTGCTGTAGGGCTCTCGAATTGCATAGTTCTTATGTATGTGTTGTGAACTTATGGTTATTGAATTTCCGGGAACCTCTTATATTCAATTTCGCATCAGGATTGTGGAACAAGCTGTAATGCGTTCAGTATGTTCATTTTCACACTAAACTGAAGGATTTATTTAGTTACCAGATGTGCGCTACGAAACTCATTTCCTGGGCGTTTTCAAGGCTTCGTCTCACGGCCCATATCCGTTGTAAGGATCTACAAGAGTTTAATAACTTACTTATACATTTTTCAACAACGTCTTAGCATAACTTAACTAATAATAACTAAACAGGGCTATGGAAAGGCTGCCCAACTCAACGCAAGGTCGAGCAGTAATAACTAATATTCATCCGCTCGCTAACAGCTGATTCGATTCAATTGTTACGTCATGCAGAAGTCATTGTCGAAAATGTAGAGAATATAGGACAGATCGTAGCACAGATTTCTTGTAGTAAAAGCGTCTTTTCCGTAAAACGTGCAACTTTTGGAAGTGGGAACAAGGCAATATTTGTTACTACATTTTTAAGGAACATTTTTAAATCATTTTCAGGTAGTTACCTGATGTGCGCTACGAAACTCACTTTCTAGGCGTTTTTCATGGCCTCGGCTCGCGGCCTATCATACTTCATCACGCTTTTTGACAAATAATTTGGATAATGGTTGGTATTTAAAAGTATGGGCGTTTTACTAGGATGATTTTGTGTTGCGCGCAAGCATTCAAATCCATCACCGATACCACTATTTAAAATGCCTTGTCGTATTATTTTAATTCTGTTAATTAACACAACTCATGTTATATAAAATATATATCGCAATAATCTGCAAACATGAAATGCCTGGTAATATAGCCAGGTTGTAAATAGAAGTTTTCCCATTGTTTATTGTATGAAAATTTCTTCATACACTTAGATTCTATTACTGGATTTTAATTTCGAAGTATTCGAAATTTCATATTCAAAAATAATAATTTCGAATGTATTCAAAATAGTGAACTATTCGGTATTGGCCATCCCTGTGTGCAACCTTTATTACCGAAGGGTTATACGAGTAACTGGGTGAAGCCGCGGGCCACCCCTAGAAATTCTACCTACGCTCTGGATACGGAAAATACAGCATACTAAATTTTTTCTCACAAAAAGATTGCTTCGGATGAAGTAAGATTTTCATACATATGAAAGGACGAAACAGAACACTTGGAAATGCGCGCAGTGGTATTTGTTTATTTTAGGTTGTGATTCAACACTTTTTTTTTTCGTGGCCTACTTTAATTGCACGAAAATTCTGTGGCCCGTTAACTTTCTCATATACAAATTTATTGTCACGCCGACTTGAAACGAATTTATTGAGAACCACTTTTTATAACATTGTGTATTTTACAACAGGATTTTGCTAGCTATAATTTTGCTAATATGACAGTGGCACTCAGGTACTGGTATAAGCTTTGGCAATATGTTTTCAATACTTGACAATATGTTTTCAATAGAATCTTCCTTTTTTATTGATTCCTCAATAAATACTGTACCAGGGTATGGTACCGGTGTGCTGTACCGGTACTGGTCTGCTGTACTACAGTTGGACTGTACACCTGTAGCCTGTAAGGGTACCGGTATGGTGTTAGCTAATAGCTTATACTTCAGTACTTGCATACCGTACCGTACGAAACTGTCTATAGTTAAGTATTATAATAAGTACATGTAAAAGTTTATTTAGACTCCATAATCAGCATAATACTGTAATAGGGTAGGCGATAAAATAATTGACAAAATAAATAAAACTGATTATAGAATCGTGAGAGCAAACAAAACCTCAGGCTCAAGTAGTGAAGTAAGGTTTGAAGTGTACCGGTACCTACGGTACAGGATTTTAGATGGAAAGGTCATGGTATTGCAGTATTGTTAAAGAAAATAGTACACGTTGGTTCACCCAAATTTATTAAAACTAATTAAAGGACACACACACACAAAATCATGGAGACATAAAATTAATTGCTTGGTAAAAAAAAATATACAAACAAATAAAAAAGATGAATACAAATTTTGTCACATCATATTAATAATTTTATGAGGATTTCCAAATTGGATAACGAATTAGTCAACAGGTGTGTACTGTCAGACTGTTGATAGAAATAAATTCCTTGAAAAATATCAATATCCAATAGTTGTTCTATGTATTTCGTTGTAGTCAGTTATCATGATACCAGTTATTTAGTATATCTAGTGTTGTAGTGTGCTGGTGTTTGTGTAGCCGTGTATTGTCATGGTGGATTATAATTTCTTATCTCCAGGCACCGTATGATTGGTGTCAACCTCATTTGGAAATATGGCAGCGATGGACTTGGACTGGATTCCACAAAGTCTTTATTGTGCATCTTTAACTACTGTTGCACATCACTTCGCTGGATGGAAATATACAATTTCAAGTTTACCTCTCACATTACAATTTGATGTTTATAATAAGGTATATCGGTTTTTCTTTGACCGATTTTTTTAATTTTTACAGATATTTTAGGTGACTTAGACCTTTGGACAGTCAAAAAGCATCTATGTTTTGCTCATGAATGTCCAAAGCTAAATTGTGGGGAAATTATCGAGTTCTGTCCTATTTAGACTAGTACGTTTCGCATTGATTCCAAGTATTTTTGTTAAAATTATAATGATTAAAGAAGCATCTAATTTTGACATTTTTGATTGTCTTTAAAAAAATTACAAATCATCCTCCATCAATTTTGTCTGATAAGCTATTGATTAAAAGAGCATCTATTTTTGAAATTTTCGATTTTTTTATCTATAATGTCTTACTAATTATGAAAAATTACAAATTATCTCCCATCAATTTTGTCTGATAAGCTATTCTGTTACTAATACTATAATTCAATATATTTGGTCATCATAATGCAAGAAGTTGGAATTGCAACTTTTTAGAGTTGAAATGTGAGATCTAGTGTTTGAACAATTTATCATTTTCAGCTTTTTGAACAAAGTCGACTTTGTCAACTTGGTGCGGAATTATGTAATTTGGTGACATTTTCAAGATTATTACTCGTTCGAAACAAACGACTTGCTCTTCATCAATGTTTCCAAGCAATCAGAGATCATGGAGTGAAGGTGAATTTTATATGACACACAGATTCCGGATTTTGCTTAACTGTGAAACGCCATAGCCTAAAGTAATTTAATTGCATATATGCAAGTTTTTTTTTTCATTTTTCTCAAATCGTGGACATCAAAAATTGATATCATGATACACACACAGATGCAGCAACATCAAAATTATAATCCGAGCATAGATATCCCAAATTTACAGTGTAAAAACGCTGAATCATGAAAACTGATGTGGAAAACGCATTATTTCCTTTTTTCTGGTATTTCCTGGTCGAAAGCAAGTTGACCCCCTAAAAAAGAAAATGAGCCGACCCAAGAAAAACACTCTGAAAATTTGGGTCTAGAAATTCACTTTATTCACTGAAAAATATGAAATATACTCTTATGGTAGCAAAATAAATGCAGTTTTATCAAGTCAGACTTGATAGAAATAATACACGTACATAATAATCAGGTATGGAGAAATATAGAAAAATTGGGTGATTAATTTGGATAACATTTGAATACAATGGTTTGACTAAAATTGTAGAATCTTGTTTTAAAACCCCGTTTTCAAGCAGTTTTCCAATGTCATTTTTATGTCAAACACTTAGTTGGTTGGGATTGCAAGAATGCCTATTTATTTAGTGTTTGCTGACCTGTTTAATAAACAAATGAGTACTGTTTACTTGTTATGTCAGATATATTAAAATAAATGTCCCAATCATTGAGAAAACAAACCTTGGTTGTATCTGACTCTTCATGAACGAAAGTTGTAAATGGGGAAAATGTACTCCCATAGTGTGTTTACCGGGTTAGGGTTGGGCCATAATTTCATTTTCCTTATTTTGGTTCTATTACGAGTTCGGGGACTGTCTGTGTTAGCCAAGTGTATATACCCCCTGTCTATAGGTTTCAGTCCCTTCACATAACTCGATGTCAAGTAGGCGAACAAAATTAGTTATTCCATATTGGTACACACACTTCTGGAGCGCCAGTAAAAATATTTACATTCATGAATAGACTTGGTTCGTGATGAGTTTTTGAAGATAATTGAAAATTAAATATCTGAATTGAAAATTGAAAATACCTTTCAGAATTTGCACAGTAGCACCTTTCGTGACCTTTGTGCCATATAATCAATATTTGAGCTCATTAACTGATTTTATTTTCTATTATATGCCAAGCTATACCATCATAAGTACGCCACTGATTCTCAAACCAAAGTTGTATATTTGATCCAGTATCCTCATTCAGAGCATTTTTGTGATGAAACGAAATTTGTTTTTTCGCTTCAAGTATTTTACTGGATTGTTGTGTTCCAAGTAATGATGGCCAGTTTTTTGTCCTAACCCTGTACAAAATAGGGAATTGAAATGAATGAACAGAAAATTCTGATCCATCTGTGGCAAATTTGTATCTTTAAAATTTTCGCAAACTTGGGAGTTGTGATTGTGAGCCACCATTACTTTCCATATGCTGTGCGAAATATTTGGAATTCACTAGAGTTTTTATTGTTATTTATGGCAAAGACGTCCATGCTATGATAATCCGACAAATTTTGGTCAGATAATTTTTGAACCTTATTTGATATAGTTTATGGTAGTAATTAATGGCTTGTTTTATTATGAATATACCCATGGTTAGAATAGCTATAAAACATTCTAGTTTTTCATCACTACCTATTTATTTTCGAGAAAAAACTAAATTTTTTGGCAAAGACATTCATGCCTAATAAAGAACGTTTTACTTTCACTCAGTGCAATACTGAGAGGGTGACTATTTTAGAGCAAAATTCCTCTGCTAAACACTTCAAACAACTTTTATTAGTTTGCAATAAATTGGTCAATGTTCAAACATTCTTCAAATTTCTTTCTTCGAACATTTTATTGTCTACAGGGAGTGGGTTAATGTTTGATATAATGCTCTCAAAGTTCCTTTAAATTTAATGATTCAAGGCAATATGAATTGATTACCTGACTAAATAATTGAATTGGTATATTACAAACGTAATTATATATAACGAATATTAATAAGAATCATTTATTTAGGTATGTGATTTTAAACAAGAAATCATAATTCCAAAAGAAAAACAATGACATGGTTATAATCTTGAGTTTGTTACAAATTTTTGTATAGAACTAATTGATTTTCTAAATTTTGCGATGAAAGGTATGCACCCAACACATGCTCTTGTTCCAATGTCTATTATTACTATGTTTGCTTTTATAGTGAAACTCTTCAGAATCTTGTTTTATTGTTTCCAGATATCAGAAATCTTGAGTGAAAGCTATTCAAGACGAGTTGATATCCTGCTAACAAATATCAAAGACAAAGAAGAATGTGATCGTGCTGTTGTTCTTGGATTTCAACTTGGTAGGTCCTTACATTGTTGAAGTAGCTGTGATTGTATCTACCGGTAATCCTTTCAACCTGAAAAAGTTCGAAAATATTTTCATTTGTGGTGGTGAAATTAACTTCTTATGGATAACCATTTAATAATAAAGGTACAAATGTGCTTCATAATTCGGAAGAATATTCTTAATTTAATCATTATTAGCAAAATCTTGCTAATTACTGTCTTCTATGCACTTTTAGTTTGTAAACTTACATATAAATTGAGTTTTAATTATTAAAACCAAGTTTTGGGTGGAAATGAAAATTTGATATATTCATTTAGCCTCGTAAATTGCATTTTTAGTATAAACTCGATTTTCTATGTAATCAGTTTATTGAAAATTTTTTTTTTTCTGATCATCAATAAATTGGAATTTCATGTTTAATCTATTCATTGTAAGTAGTAATTTGCATCTCTCAGACCTGAAATAAATCAATTAAGCCCATATTGGTAGACCAATTAGAACTGTTAAAATTTGTTTGGCACAATGGCAGCCCTGCGATCTATAATGAAAATGAACATAATTTTAGTCTTGCCTTCAATGATATTCAATTGATATGAGTTCCAATCAATCTATGTCAATCTATTTAGACGATAATTTGAATCTATTAGATCTTATTAAATCAAAAAAGCCAAGAAAGTACAGTAGTGTCAACTGAAATTGTAATTAGAGTTTGTTTGACATATTGGCAATCTCTCGTTAGAAATAAAATAGTACCCGTAATTGTGAACAGAAAAAGCACAATTTTAGGCCCGTATTTGCAATTCATTTCTATTCTATCAATTGTCTCGTAATGAAAGGCTTGGTGTTTTTTACAATGTTTTTTTAATGCCCTCCGAACATCTTATATGCTTCTAAGCTGTTACCTGTAAATAAAATATGTATTGATTAACAAAGCGGATCGATTCACAACATAAGATGAATTGGGGTATCGAATTACTTATATGACCTCACTAATTTTTCTAGCTACTTGTTTAACCTTTCGTGTCTTTCCGTCTGGGTCGTATAAAGAATTTCAATTTCAGTGTGTTCTATTGAAAATAGATGCCCGTAAATTTTTTCATTCAGAAATTCATTTTAGGTTACTGTTACTATGGCTTTCTACTCCAAAAACTCTTCAATTTATTTAGAAACATTGTAGACATAGAAATTGATAATGATATAATGATAAATAAAAATTGAAAGATTTATTAAGGAAATGGATTAAGCAAAGATTATGGATTATTTTAATTAAGATATGTCTAATCCATAATATGATCATTTCAAAAGATCCAATTATAGTTTAGCAGTGATTTCCAACTGCAGTTTCATGACACCCTAGTGTTCTTCCAGTGCAACCCAGGTGATCCGCATGTTGCCATTCAAGTCCGAAGTCTATATATTTATATATATATAATATTCAAATACATTTTGGTTTTGGCACTATTCTCATTTAAATTGTAAGGCTTTAAAATCACTTTGTTTTGCCAGTATCAGGTTTGCTTTTTTATATATGTATAGTTTATACAATTCAGAAAATGAAAGAGAATTAAACTATTGCACAGAGGTTCCTCTAGCCTCTGGAATGTCTGATCTATACGATGGTTCATATTATTATAAGAAGATTTTATGAAGTTTTTGTTTTTTAGGTGGATTTCTTTCGGATGCTGGCTGGAATAAAGATTCTGCAACTGTATTTTCATCTTGTTTTCAATTATGTTATTACCTGGGTGATTTGTGCAAAGCCTTTTCTTGCTGCACAAAGTAAGTTATTTGTTATTTTACTGATTATAAAGACTGTGATCAGCATGTTTTTTCACTCCTTATACTTTTCCAGACATTAGATAAACCTTTTATTTCGCCACATAGAACTGAATTATGAAATAGATACAACTTTTGCTTTACCTTTGATTTGAGTTATGATACATGACTTTGTTAAACATGAACTGGTATTGCAATATTACCCATCCAACAATTTAACAACTCAAGTACCGTAATCTTAATGATGTAATTATCACCTATTCCTGTACCGTTTATTCTTATGGTGACAATATGAATTTCAAGTTTTCAACTAATTGTTGTTATACTATCTAAATAACAAAACAGATCAAAACCAAATAAAATATTATTCTGAATACAGTTATGATTACATACCAAAGTAGCCTAATATTTAAGACAGTATTTTACATTGGGCCAAATTTAACACAGCATTTGATATTCATTGTTTATTCGAATAAATAGTACAAAGAATTCAATTAAACTTCACCTTAGTTGAACTTTATACGGGAACTTTAATTAAACCTATTGTTATGGCTTATTCCACCCTGGAGTTCATGCATCTAAAAACAAATAACTGGCTTACCGGTAACTAATCCCATATCTGAAATGGACTGGTAATCGGACGAGAGGCTGCAGTTCGCCATATTATGACTAAGTCATCTTATTGACTTTCCTCTCATTATGGATAAATATCTGAATCCTATCCTTAGTCTGAATACAGATGGCTATAGCTAAGAATGATAGCTATTTATTAATGAAAGTATTCTGGAATATATTAAAAATCTAGAATTTACTCTATTGAATATACCTAATTCCATATGTATTCAGATATTTAATTCGGTTTGGGCATCTCTGGGCTAAACCATGATAATGTGTTTTCAATTATATGGTACATATTATGACTCATCAATTTTTTTCCTTATTGAGTAAAAATTGGCGTCAGCATAAAATTATCCATTGTGCATTGTAAATGGGTTTGGTCTGATTTGAAGAAGTTTGTATATGAGCTTGCATAAGTGTATAGGATCCTGTGTTCATCCAATTTAGATTTTGATCGCCGCAGTGCACATAAGTTATATTATGTAACATTCCAAGGTTTTGAAAAAATTACATTTTACTAACAGTTTCGTTCCAAGAGTCAAACCTAAAAATAGACATAAGGCACTACCCGACATCAAAACCAAAACAGGCACAGCTTCGAATCCCAGACTGAAAGATGATCCCTCGCAATGTAACGACAGAAAATTAGAAATATGTTACATAAGCTCTTTTTGTTTTACTTTAGTGATATATTTTAATGCAAAATCTAGAATAAATCACAACTTTGCCATAACTTCGGAAAAATTACCTTCTTACTTTTCATATATTATTAATAAACGGGGTTGCTTGGCCATTCGAGTTTGTTTATGGTAATTGTTATTTCTTTAATAAAGTAAACTTCAATTCAGACTCCTTCATGTCTACAATTCTAACTGCATGTACAAGGAAGCTGAGGAACAATTTCTTAAAGCACAAGAACTATATTTGAGGTGAATTGCATTACAAATTGTGTCATTATAGGCATAGTGCTTATTGCAAACCTCAGATGTTGTCACATGAATTGGCATGCAGTTTAAATATCATAGTTCAGTAGTTTTCAACCGGTGTTCTGCGACACCCTAGGGTTCCACCATTATAATCCAGTCGTTTATCTTTTCTCATAAAAAATAAGTCTAGCAGCAACAACTTATTTTTTTTATTTGGTTTGTTTAGTACAGCTGTATTGGTGAATTTAGACTATTGAAGATTATTAACAATGAATTGCAAAAGATTAAGTAATAAGAAAAGGCTAAAACCAACATAATTTGAACACATTCAGAATAGTATTTTTAATAAATTTGAGATAATATTATGTTCAAAATTAAGTCATCCTCAACAAAGAGCAATGCATATTCAACAAGTTTTTGTTTCCAGAAATTAAATGAAAACATATTTGCCTCACTAGACACTATAATAATTCATTTGCACAAAGACCGAGTTACAATTTTTCAAAAAAAATTTTCTAACTATAAAACATTAAATATAATTCAATCCTGATCGATTCGAATATTGTTCTATTTTGGTCTCTCAGTCTCTCATAAGAACTATTCTTTGTTTAAACCCAATGGCTCTCTTTGTTCACTTTTGAAATGTTGATATGGAAATTCAATAAGTTGAGGTTAGATAAATTATTCAGCAATGGTTTTTACCAACCTGTAACAAAGAACATGCTTAAGTTCAACCCCTAAGTGCATGTCAACCTGTGTTTGCACTCATAAAATTGAATCAGAGTTCAGAAGACTTAAAATCATTTTGAACTTTGTCAGATGATGAATCTGGTGTAATTAAATTGTACCACTTCACATCAAGTTGTGTAAAGGGACGGAAGCCTATGGGCAAGGGGGTATTTTCACTTGGCTAACACGGACAGTCCCTGAACTCTGAACTCTTAATCTTAATAGAACTAAAATAAGGAAAATCGGGATAAAATTATGGCCTAACCCTAACCTGGTACACACACCACGCCAGTACCTATTTCGGTATGGAGTAAACCTATAGATTATTTTTTGAAAATAGTTGTTACTTGTTATTGATTATTTTGACTAAAAATTGATTTACTCTTTGCTGCTTGACCAATCTTTTTCGAATTTAAACTGGGTAATGATGTATTGTAAACTCCCCATAGTGATATTAAATCAATGCAATTTGGTTTATCTGATGTTGGGTTCTACAAGTGGTTTCCAACTTTTTTGATATCTTTTTACAAACTTTTTGCATACTTTAGATCTCTTTATTTCTTATTCTCCATGTGTAAAACCTCGGTTACAGTTAGCTGTTCAATCTTCAAATGATCGTTAGCTCGTGTTTGCCTTAACCGATACTCTGGATTTTGCACAGTTTGAGTAGTTTATGATGTGTTCTTGTATTACAATAAAATGACAGTCCTAATAATTTATACAAAACACAAAGTAATATCCCTCTCCCCCAAGAAAAATTAATTCCTCCGAGAGAATTTTTTCATGGCTGGGAAACGCTGGCTTAGACATTTTAATGTGTTTTCAAATATTAGTGTATATTATATTTCGTTATACAACCTTCTTATACACACGTAGATAGAATTTGTTTTCAAATCGCGATTTATATCAAATTTTACAAAAGTAAATGCGGTTGTTACTTTACTATTTTCACAACTTCATAACCTTTTTAACATTTCAGATTGCATAAATTGAAACCTGATTTGTCGATCAATCTTGCTTCATTGTTTGCTGAATATGGAGCGTATCATTTTGCAAGGAGTGAATATGATAAAGCTTACAGGTGGAGCATTGAGGCATTAAGTATGTTGAAGCACCCAGGAGTTCATTCACAAACAGTAAGTATGATGGGTAAATAGCTTGCTAGTGATATGGAACATAGGGAAATTTGTGAAATGTCGGGAGCTTGTGTTAGGGCCATCATTATGAATAAAGTATTAGGAAATTTAACATAACGTATTTTTATGCCCATGCACATCTTTTTGCTCTGTGCAATGCTCTGTATAAGCAAAGACTAATAAGTCTGATGGGGGAATAACTTTCTGATGGAATGGAACTTTCTGTGCTATGGATAATTTCTAAAATGTCATCTGCTCGTGTTAGGGTCATTAATATGAATAATGTATTAGGAAAGTTAACATTGTGTATTTTTTATACAATGTTTTTGCTCTGAGAAAGGTCTCATACAAGCAATCACTGATATCTAACAAGTAACAATATATAAGGAGTATCTATTTTTGAAAGGACTGAAATATTTCTGTTTCGGCATTGGCTATCCAATTTATTACAACCTGGCTCCTGGGTCAAGTAGTGGGCATGGGGTTTGAATCTGAGATGTGTAATCAGCGATGCCAAATTGGTAAAGTCTAACGCTTTAGTCGCTAGCAATACCTACTGTGATGAAATTGAATTAGCGCCACCTAATGTGGTCAACGTGGCACCATCGCCGAGGGATCTGAAATGTTAATAGTCGCGTGGCAAAGCTTGGGTTTTATTTGGTTAGCGTCAAGGTTGCTACATCTTGTAACTTGTTCTTTTTCTTGTTTTAGTATATTAGTAATCTTTAAGTTATTAAAAGCCTAGAAAACAGTCTAAATGAGTTTTCCTCGAATGGTTTCACTACAATGTGATATGTGATAAAGTCACATTTTCGAATTGTGCCAAAATTTTTTGATCTGCCTTCAATGGAAATATGTGGCACTATCAACGTTTGTGTTTCAGCCAGCTCAAACTATATATATATATATATATGAACAGCCTCACTTATTCCACTATTATTCATATGATAGGCTGATAGCGGTTCAAAATATTATAGCATAAGTATTATAGCATAAGTGTAAGAATTCTATTTATTTTTTAGACCGCCATTGATGTATTGAGACTCGGATCAAGAGCTTGCGTTGTAAAACGTCAATTTGCAGCCGCAGAACGTCTGGTGCGACATGCAGTTATCCTATCCAGAGATGTATTCGGTACAAATCATCCAAAATATTCTTCAACTTTACTCGATTATGGTTTTTATTTATTGAACGTGGACAATGTCAGCCAGTCTCAAAAAGCATATCAGGTTTGTGAACGTCGTGTTACTTATATGTAGGACTGAGGAGATGAGGTTTGGCAGGTTTTCACTGAAATTGGAGTCATGGGTGCTATTTTCGGGGATTCAAAATTTTGTGTTGGTGAGAGTCAAAATTTCCCTCAATCTGAGGGCGAGAATCGTAAGTCAGTCAAAAGTTGGATTGAAAATTTCCTAGGCTCTACTACCTGGGTTATATCTTGATTTACTGTACTTACTTGTATCATTTGAACTGTGCACAACAATCAATGTAATTTTTGATAGGGATTGGACCAAAAATTTATTTTTATAAGAATTGGAAATCGGCACTAAGGTACTATTCTAAGCTATTCCTCAAATCGAAAATTTCATTTGTTTCGGACGTACTCACAAAAAAAAACTAGATTTTAACATTTCATATAGTCTAAAAGAACTAACAAACTTTATATTTTCTACCAGGCTGCCTTAGCGATTCGGCAAAGAGCGTTTGGAGGACAAAATTTACATGTTGCTGTTGCTCACGAAGACTTAGCTTATGCATCCTATGTTCATCAATACAGCACAGGCAGATTTCAAGACGCAAGAACTCATGCTGATGCAGCAATCCATATTCTATCGAAAATTTTACCACCTGATCATCTGCTACTGGCTTCATCAAATAGAGTAAAAGGTTAGTAAGTAGTTTGAATAGGATTTACATATTTATCCCAGGGCAGAGGTAACCCTATTAGACGGCCTAAACACATGGCGAACCACGGCCTCTCGTCCGGTTACTCGTCCATGCCCGGCATGGGATTAGTTGGCCAGTTATTTTTATCCGGATGCATGGACTTGATAGTGGAGGAAGCCGTAATCGACCAGCGGTTACGCAAACCAATCTACGGCGAGGTGTCCATTAATTCTCTCGCTCCTAACCATCCAGGATGGGATTCGAAACCTTGTTGGGTAATCTGAGGTGCAGTGGCCAGCGTATTTCTAACAATTTGCGCGATATACCACACCGCCGAGCCTGAATACTATAATAATGAAACAGACCACTAAAATGATGGGAAGCATGAAGACATTTTCCAGTTCGTTATATATAATCTAAGCTATTTTATACACTCTGATTGAGATCATGAATGATTTTATTATCTGAATAAATCGAACTGATTGTTCTTCATTTATTATTGTTTGTTTCACTCATTAAACTGCATTGGGTATATTGTTTAAAATGAGGTTGTGGAGTCTAATGTCGTATGGTATGTCAAGTAAAATGCAATGGTTTACATATTTGGAGCTGCTGCATGTTTATATACCAGGGACCAAAATTTTGCTCACCTACACTGGTGGGCCATGTAAGTGTAATGTAAAAACTTACATTTTATAAACAATATTTACAGTGTTACAAAAGCAAAGGTGGAAAACAATAAGCCTCGTGTCAAAACTAAATTTAATTGCAATCTCAAAAAGTTGTTTGAGCTCATTTTTAGCTAAAACATCAAAATTTAGTTTTATTTTGGTTGCGGCAACATCAGGCGAGCAAGATTGAATTATCCAATGTCAGCTATATACTATACAATGAATTAAGTCCAGAATACTAAGATTTCCAAACATATGATTGCAAATTTGATAAATGTACAAGTTAGTGATCGATCAATGGATTATATGTCTTGATATAACTTTAGCTCTGATTCTGGAAGAGATTGCCATTGATTCACACAACGTTGAACAACAAAAGTTATTGCTGGATGAAGCACACGTGTTGCATTTACAATCATTACAACTTGCAAGAAAAGCATTCGGAGAAAAGAATGTACAAACTGCAAAACATTACGGGAATCTGGGAAGATTGTATCAGTCCATGGAACGATATGAGGTAGAAAGCAGAAATCAATTTTATACAGTGTTTGTGACATTTGGCTACGAGCTTGTAACTATCTTTGGCGCCCCAGTGTGTGTACCAATATGGAGGTAACTAATTTTGTGCGCCTACTTTACATCTATTTGTGTAAAGGGACTGAAACCTATGGGCAGAAGGTATATTCACTTGGGGCTAACACAGAACTCGTAATAGAACTAAAAAAAGGAAAATCAAAATAAAATTATGACCTAACCCTAACCTGGTACACACACTATGGGAATACCCTATCTTTACCCACCATCTCATACATCTGGCATATTAAGCAAGCTAGATACTCTAATATTCAAGTTGAAGTTGTCTGGTGTTTTAGGACAGGAGAGTGCAACCTGCGGCCCACGAAACAAATTTTTGAATTTAGTTGAATCTGCTGTTTGCGAGTAATTCACATCCCAAGTCTCATTTATTATCTATGCATATGACGCTACAATTCTTTTTTGTGCCTGCAACTACTAGAACGCCTATTTTGAATAAAGGTGCCGCCCGCAGTTTCACCCAGTTAGGACCTCCAAAAGTATGCGCACCAAGGTGTCGCCAACCCGAACATAGTATGTGTGTATCGGTTAGGATTCAGGTTGTGCGATATCTTGGTGCGCATACTTCTGGGGCACCCCCAGTTTTAGGACAAGCATAAACTAAACTATAGAAACTTATTTTAGGATTCAATTCAAATTTCTGCTGATGACTTTCTTGATACGCTTGCGCCTAAATATTGTAATCTTATAATATGATCAATTTAAAAGATATTTAGATATTATGTGCCTTAACATTTATCTATTTATATCATATCTGTTTATTTAGAAAGCAGAGGAGATGCATTTGAGGGCGATAGCAATTAAAGAAGAATTACTTGGACCCAATGATTATGAAGTTGCATTATCTATCGGACATATTGCCTCATTGTATAACTATGATCTGAAACAATACGAAAAAGCTGAAAAACTGTATTTGAGAAGCATCAATATTGGTAAGAGACTTTATACAATAAGATTTATCAAGCATATTTATAATTACCTTCGGTTTACTTTTGTTGACTGTGTGACAAGTGAGTATCATTATGGATTTATGTTAGAGATAATAAAGTGACCAAAATCAAATATTTAGATACATTTCGGAATATTGTTTTTTAAAACAATATATATAAAATGGGATTTACATATTACATATACTCCAGGGGGAAGAGAGGAATATATATATATAAAAGTATGGATTTGATAATGCTGAGAAATTTTGAACTATGAACTATGGATTATATTCTTCTGAACTATGGATTAGATTTGGAAGAAAGCATATTTTTTGCATCTACTTGGTAAATTACGTTACAGCACACTAAGCACAGCAATGCAAAATGCCATAAATGAGGTTGTTTGGACGGTGAAGAAGTAAAGGATGTTGTTTAATCACCATGTTGTAGGTTGATCATCTTTTAATTTTGTTTTTAGCAAAACGCCTGTTTGGTGAAGGGTACAGTGGACTTGAATATGACTACAGAGGCTTGATAAAGATTTATGCAAGAACGGGTGATTTTGAAAAGGTATTTGGCAATGTTTACTTTACATGTTTGAACTTGATGTCTAGGTAGTGAGTGAATTTATTAAAGAAATTTGTCCAAAGTGGGTCACTAAGAAATAAGTCGGACTCATCTTTGAGTAAAGTTACGGACGACCACTGAAATACCTGCATTGTGTGTCAGTAACTATCAACTGACAAGAGATAGTTATCCCATTTCAAAGCTTTTGTCTCAAATCAACCAATCACGCTGTCTTCTTAACTTCATTCTTGTCATTCAAGATTCGATTATTGTTAACCAAATGGGATAAAATATATATAGTTATATGATGAAGTATTAGTAATCAAGGCAAGTTTTGAAGATTGGGCTATTTTATTTATCTTGTGGCATATTGCAATTTTTAGTTTGTATATTTTTGAATTTTGAGTAAATGGAAATTTTTGCCTATGTTTATAATTATTTGTTGCTTTTATATTGAAAAGTATGTTGTGAACGCTTCTCTTTTCATTAGGTGATTGAATACGATCAAATTTTGACACAATGGAACTTAATTCGAGAACACAGACGTACAAATGCCCGAGATGATATTTGTGATATCGTGGAGAAATGTTCATCTATCATACAACACGATACAGAAAGTACGGAAACAGTTATTGATGATTTTTTCAATAAAATACAAGTAGAAACAAAAAGTCTGGCTGAACAGAAACTTGAAGAAATATTCACCTCAACGAGCACGAGAACAAGACAAGATATTGCATTCGGTGGGCCGATAACTTCATATTCAAGAAACCCAGTTCGAGGGACAGACCATAGAAACGTGGGCGATGGAACTTTATCACACTCTGCCGTTTCAGTATCCGATGAAAACCAATGCTCTTCCAAAATGGACGTGGATGCCATGGAAACAATTGATAATTCAGCGACTGATGACGACATCACAAAAGCATTGAAAATATTTAATGTCACTCCACAGAAAAAACAAAGATTTCTTAAAGTTAAAAAGGAGTGAAAACACACTTTTTTTAGTATTCCTGTTGGATGCGAACCAAGATGGCGGACACTGGAACGTAGTATGTGTACCAGGTTAGGTTTAGGCCATAATTTCAAGTACAAATACTATGAGAGTCACTTGGCTAGTCCCCGAACTCGTAATAGAACTAAAATAAGGAAAATTGGAATAAAATTATGGCCTAACCCTAACCTGGTACCCCTTTTTTCTGTTATACATGTAAATTATTTATTTCAGAGATTTATTTCATACATTATTATGATTATATTACATATAAAATTTCTTTTATTTTTATTTTGTAAAAATTATGGTTTAAGATGTAACAACACAATGAACCAAAGTTGGTTATATTTAAAGTTTAGTTTTTTATTGAAAAATGGCTTAAATTGGTGCAATTTTGGAGGGTAATTACGGGTGTGTATCTGTATAAAGTAATTTTCTGGATTCTCCACACAAAATAATTTTAAATTTGGCAATTATTAATATGTGTCTAAAAATGTTAATATATACCAATTTTGATCATGAAGTTTTGTTTCATTGCACTGGGAAAGTTTTGGCTATTCAATTTTCATGAGGTAGGCTATGCTCAAAATGAATATCAGTTACCTACAGAAGATGCACTGGAAAATAAAATCATTGATTCAGTAAATCAAACCAAATATATGTGGTAATTTCAGTCAAATATTCCAAGTTAGCTTGTATTATTATAATTGTTGATTTCTTTAACTATAATTATGTGTTTCATTCTACGTATTGTATTCTAAGCATGTTGATGTATGTGTTTATGGGCCATATATACTGGTAAATTTTCTTTGAATTCATTTTGTTGTTGTTAAGCCTGGTGAACGACCTATGACCTTTATTATCACAGTTCTTGATTGCAATATAAAAAGTTCTTTTACCAATTCATTGGACTGTCTGTGTTATTGATGACAGGGCGCTCCAGAAGTGTATGTACCAATATGTTATACTATGTAAAGAACTGATAACCGTGGAAATTACTAAACTAAGAAAAAGAATAATAACAGCTTGCTAATACCAATGACTCATGGACTGAACCTCACTCATGAGTCATGACATGAAGTAAAATAACCTTATGACTCAATAAAATAAAAGTATATGAGGGTATTTGCCCAGGTACACATACTGTGGCAGTAGTGATGACTGCATGTATACAGGTGGTGTTTCTACTTTCTTTGTTCATAGCACATTTGCTGAGCCCCAGGCATGGAAAAATTTGAACCTGCCTGCAAACTCTGAGTCATTTCAAAACAGACCGACTCCAGATTGATGAGATTTGCATATAATTCAGGTTGACGGAAATCTAGAATATTATTACGTAACAACTGCAAAGGGTGCCTTGACCGACGAACGACCCTTTAACTTCCGCGTACACGTTCCTCGTTCAAGGCGGTACGCGGGAGTTATTGTCTCGCTCCAACAGTGTGATAATACATGGGTTCTTGGCAAAGTTTTTTGAAGAATTTTCAACACTTACGACTAAAAATTAAGCGTGCCTCATATCTGAATTGTATGATTTGAATAAATCTCAAATAAATGGTACAATTACATGATCACATATGGAACGTAAAAAATAAAAAAAATTTGTGACGATTCCATCAAGAGTGCGCCCACAGAACCGAGCTTCTTGGCAGCGGTGGAATTTTATGTATGTGTGTGTGCAGTTATCTGCATATGTGACTTTATTACCGATCAGTCGATCGCGAGCTATTTCGAAGATTTTAGTCGATCGCGATCAAATGCAGCTTGGCCACCACTGGTGTAGGCTTTGATCATACTTATCGCCACCGTAAAATAAAAAATGTACTGTACAAAATCTTTTCTACTGACTTTTTTGCGCTAAATAAAACTTTTAAATTTGTCACTGCGTAAAATCGCATGTACAGATATTCGCAATAGCTTTGTGCAATCCAAGCGTTTGTGAAGCGACGTGCAAATTCTAACATAAATCAGAACTGGTATATATATATATTTAAGTTTGCGGCCCGCAATGAGTTTTCACATGTGAAAGTGGCCCGCGACACTGAAAAGGTCCGACATGCCTGATCTAGACAATCCACACTTCTGAAAAAACTAAGTCCTGACTGTAAAAACTGGTGGTTGTAAATTGTTTACTTGGATTGCATAGTTCACTTGCTGCTAGGGTTGCCAACCGTCCTTTATTTCAAAGGACAATCCTTTATTTAAGATTTTTGTCCTTGTCCTTTTTAAGATGATAATTGTCCTTTATTTTTCCAACGTCGTTTTGCCCGATAGTATATAATACTGTGCTGTGATATTGTTTCGTTCTTAAATCAATCAATCATCATTTTATTCGTCAGCACAAAATAAACGTATCATAGGAAAAAAAAAACATTTCAAACACAATATGAACTTAACTTGTGTGACAGGAGTCGCGAGGTACCCCATAAGGTCTTCAGGCAGCGACACCTTAAAAGCTCGCTGATTCAGGTTAGTGAGCACAAAAAATAATGAAACACCAAAACACTTGGTAGTTTTTGGTGATTTCACCAGATGGTTTCTTAGCTTTGCAAGGTGTTTTTTTCTCTTGGTGGATTCATTGTTCGGTTCTTGACGTAGATGTTTAAGTTATAATTTTTATTTTAGCAGCCTTGGACAGCAAATCTTCATGTTGTCAATCAATTTTCAAAACAAATAGCAGGACCGGTTAACTAGCTAACGGTTTTAACTATCTTAATATAATAGCGAATAATCGCCTCCGTTTATGTATTTGCAAGCTTTCAATTATTCTTTTTAATTTCGCTTCGGCACGGCTCAAATAGCCAAAGAAATATCAATTTTATTAACAATTTCAAAATATTTGCATTAATTTTCCAAGATGACAAGTGGCAACACTCCAAGATTTAAGTGAATTCTAGTTCAATAACTGAATATAATTGGTCTCTAAGATTTTAGATTATTTCTCAACTCTGCGATAACGTATTTGGAAACAAGATTTGACTTTGATGAAAATTCAACATTTGAAAAATAATCTCTTTTGGATAATCTTTCTCCAAAATATCAGACACTTGTAAAAATTGTAGAGCATTTGAAGCAAAAGACAAACTAATTTGAATATGTTTAACCTTCTTGATCAAAAAAATTTGGCACGATTCAAAGCACTAAACTGTTCACAGAATGCAGCTTGATTGGGTCAATGTTAAATAAACATTGAATGAAAAATACATGAAGATTTTGGATAAATCGTCTTGCTTGATATAATTTGTATTCATTGTTTATATTGTTCTTTCTGCAAGTTACAAAATAAATGATGACGGTACTCTATGTCCTTTATTGAGACTTTTCATAGTTGGCAACCCTACTTGCTGCTCCACCCACAACTTGCATTATTCCTTGCTTAATTAAGACCAGGGGTGTGCAACCTGCGTCCCACAAGGAAAACTTGTGGACCTGCGGAGAAGTGAAAATTTTGACTGGTGTGCACCCCTTCAAAATGAGTTTTTAATTAAGTTTAATCTGTTACGTGCGACGTGCGAGTAACAGATGGCTTGTGCGAAGCGAACAACGCTCCTCATAAGATCGATAACGAAAAGTTTTGTGCATGCAACTACCAGAAAGCCTATTTAAATAAAGGTGCGGCCTGTGGTTCCAAACAATTATTTGTATCTGGCCCTCCTGTATTAAAGTTGCACACCTCTGCTTTAGACGAAACTTCTGTTGACGTGCTTCACATGTGACATCTTCAACCATCAAGTCCATGAACCTGAACGAATAGAGCCATACCCATGAAGACCTCTACATGGTCACAGTTGCGATATCATTTAAGCCGTTTTTCGTCCGCTACCCCACAATATGGGATAATTATTTATTAAAATCCCACATAGCAGAGGCATATTCTCCTTTAACAAGAAGCAAGAGTCCGTCTACCATATAAAAGGAAATTTTCATTGAAATCACACACTCAATAGATCAATGCATTCTAAGACCAAATGTCTAGAAGGTACACTCAGCCATCTTTTATAGTCGAAAATTACGAGGTAAAGATATGCATACAAGATCAGTATAGGCCAGCGGTTCCTAACCGGAGCCTGTGGTCCATCAAGGGCAGTTGGAGGGGCCACCATGCTAGGCGCAAAACTGATTCTCCTTTTTCTTTATAAAAAAACTAGTTCTTTCTAGTTTCATTGCTTGATGAGGTTATCTCACAGAATGTTGTTCCCTTTTGTTGAGCATTGAATTGTTTGCATAACGGAATTTACCAATCAAAATAACACTATTTATACCACTGAAATGATAATAAACAATGGGCCATGAGTTCTAAACTCTCCGAAGGGGGCCACATGCAATAAAAGGTCAGGAACCACTGGTATAGGCAGTTGTAAGTTTCACTACTTGAAAAAATACTAAAAAGAAATCAGAACAATATATCCATTATTGAGCCGTGAGCTGACATATTCCATCACCCCTTTACATACTGAAGAGATCACAATAAAGGAGAATTATTCTTATGAAAATGCATGGCAAGATCACCCTGTTTTGAACCATATCACATCAGACAACGTGGTAAATCAGGCAGTTTTTAATCCTAAATACGGTAAAAAAAATAGGAGTCAATAAAAGGGACCAGGTGTATCATTAAAATCTGCACTTTTCTCGAGATTGATTAGATATGTAGTTACGGTAAGTGAATTTGATCGTTGGAAACTTAAATCTGAATATTTATAGTAATTTAAAAAATTGTGGAACTGCAGAATGAAGATTGGAAAGCAAGTATATATCAAATATATAGACCGAGACCAATACGGTTGGTATGTAAAGGTTCATTTTAGTTGGTCTTTGACAAATATCAGAAATTCAAATCGAAGATTTTGGTACAAACACAATCAGATACGAAAGCATAGCTTAGTTTAAAAATATGATTCCTCGGTTGGGTTTTGTCACATGATTTACTGCTTAACAGATCTCCGATAATTTTAAATCCAACATGTTTGAGAAAACTCCCTAAGTGTAACTAACCCATAAATGCACTTCAATATGGATATTCTTAACATAAAAAACCTATGGTGGTGCCTGTCCTGAGCGAACGATCCACCCGATAAGAAAAACTTCAAAAAAGAATAAGGTACTCACTGAAAAAGCTGTTTACGAAATAATTGTTAGATAAAAACAATATCATTCAAGATGCATTCTGAATAATAAATATACAAAGTATGATTGCTCGATATGCGTTATATTTGTGCATAGCATGAGCTGATATTTCAGTCTTTTTTCTGATTAGTGAAGAATCTAGATGCATTTCTGGCAACCCGAATCACTTTCAATCTTTTTTTCATTTTCTTTGTCAGTTCCATCTTCTAGAGACGGAAAAGGTATCGGTGACATAACGGTTGAATCAGACTGCTCAGCTCCTCCTATTTCACTTGATCTTGAACCTTTTCTATCGACCTTTAGAGACCGACGAAAGAAGCTATCTTTCATACTTGCTCGATTATCTGCCTTTTTGCTGCTTGCAGATTTTCTACGGCTCAAGACGGGTTCTTGATCGAAGCAATGTTTCCACTTCCTGGCTGTGGTATATGAACAAAAGTTTTGCTTATCTTTATTTGCACCATCACTGTCCATTTTATTGTTATTTGAGTTGCGACACTAATACCTTTTCTTGATCATACCCACCAAAAGTACGACTTCGTTTATGCGCTTCTTTCCTGGTGTCATACCTGCTTCTCCATATTTTTGACAATTTTCTTTTTCTTGGCAGAGTTTGGCATGTTTGAACCTGTTCAAACAGTTCCTTGAGTGCTTGATCTGTATAGGATCTAGTTTCCATTGCATATTCATTGCGGCACTAGACGTACGTTTCACTGCTCCAGACTGGGTGAAAATAACACTTGGATAATCTTGCTTAGATGTAGATCCTGTGTATTTGTCCTGCACTATCTCGTATATACTGAGGTGCCGCAAATATCTTCTGTGAATGACGGATCATGAATGCAACATGATCGTTGAGTTTTCCAATGTTGTTTTGAAGATCTGTGGTTTTCAAGTTGCGAGGCCACAATAAATGAGGACAGAACATTGTAGCCAAATTTGAAGCATTCATTTTGTTCATTTTTTGGTTCTTTGCAGTTTGATAAAGCAAGTTTAGGATTCCACGAAGGCAAGGTCCCTGTTCACTGTTGGAAGCAAAAGCATTAGCAATTGTAAGGCTTCGACTCTTTTTGCTCTGTCAGGCAATGTTGTTCTATTTCCTTTGGCATCAAACGCCATCCTTCTGCTATTTGCAAATGGGGATTTGAAATATTTACTTTGAAGAATGGTTCTGGTAGCTCACCAAGATAGGTTTTGAGAATACTTGCAACATCATGTGAATGAAATTTGCTCGACTCCAGATCGATGCAAACACCTGTATTCAAAGCAGCTCTTTAGCTGCAGTAAACGATGAGCATTCCCAGGTTTTCTGAACAGTCCTTCGACTTCTAAATGTGAAGCTAGAAAATCTGTTAGATTTTGTATTTGTACCAAACTTTCTTCTGTCAAATTTGTACCAAAAATAACACCTTTTATTTCTTTCTTTTTCATAAAAACCCCATGATTTTTTGGCATTTTGTTGGTACCAACTTTTCATCTCATTTTTTGCTGCATTTCTTAAGATTTCCAATTCAGCTCCCGGCAAATCAAGAATCTTGTTAGATGGCTGATAAACAGTTCAAGAAACGCTTCAGAATTCTTTCAAATTTTAATTTGAAACATAATGATCAGGATCCATAATTGCATTATGCCCAATTTTGTAAGGTGATACGGCAGGAAGTAGATTTGGTCTCTGTGCTTGAGTGGGTGTTTCAAGAAGTGAAAAGTCTTGCACTGGCAACGCAGCATCAACAACAATGACTGGTGGACTATCAGTTGGATTTGACATTTTTGTTTATGAATCAAAAATCAATAACTTTGGAAAATCAAGTACAAATATGAAGACTCATTTTCATGAATAAATTATTTTTTCTGGAAGAACAGAAAATATACGTAGGATTATTAGATTATGAAGGATTACTTTTATGCAATTATTGAATTAATCAATCAAAATAAATAAAAATATAGCTAAGCTATTCTAAATCTAATTACAGAATTATATTTCTATCACTTCAGCAGATATAATTAATGAAGCTTAATAAACAAGACTAATACTGGTACAGTCTTAGAATCAATCAATCAATTTTATTTTGGTCACTCTGGCATAAAACAAAACAACAACAAACGAACAAACAGTAGACCTGGAGAACAAGCATAACTTTAAAGACACTATTAAAAACATAAAAATATGCGACCGTCCATCAAAAATAGTCAAACAACACAATAAAATAAACATACAAAACGCAAAATCAGACTACTTCAATTAAATTGATTCAGTTATGCGAACACTGATCAGAATATCTTCTGATCTTGCGAGTTATGTTCCAGTGTTCAGGTGTAAACTGTGAAATATGGTACCGGTACTGAAGTAGACTCATATGCCTGTATGCAGATATCAGTGTACGGTATTCTGGTATTGCTAAATTAGCTTCATCTGTAGAGTGTAGACTAGTCTATGTCATGTGGAATAATTCAGACACAACGTATCCTACTATCAGAGACTATCATCATATTGATACTGTAATAATAAAACACAACTTCATAGAACTATGATGAAAAAGTACCTAAAGTCTGAAAGTGTTTTCTTAACTCGTTGATCTCACACAGCAGTTGGGGCTTTTAAGGTGGTAATGGCTGAAGGTTTTGTTGCCATTAACCAATACAGAAGTAGGTTTGTTGAATAAGCAAAGTACACAGGGCCTATAAACTGCCGGTATATCTACACCGCCAACCATCACCTTGGAAATTTACGGCGAGAACCCATAACCTGCAAACAATAGAAGTAAACCAACAAACGAAATTCAAATACCCGCGAACAGTCTCAAGGATGTGCTCAGAGTCGATATTGAGAAGAAGTTATCTGTTCGCATTTATTTGGAAAAAGTTAAAATTATTAAAAGTAAATCAATCCTCGGTATATCTTTTTATATAAAATACTAACAGCAAATAAGAGAAAAAAATAATAATTGGTATCGATTTATCCGCAGGAATTGATTTAAATAAATGTGATCGATTTTTAACACCATGTCCGGAATCCTCGAATATGATCTGAAAAATTGGCACTTTCGTGAATTTGTCAATGGGAAGTTCGGTGTTTGCAAATTCATTTTCTGAAAATAATGGTATGTTCAGGTGGTACAAAAGATATGCATTTAAAGACTTTCGGCTGGAATTTTATCATTGGCGAGATTCAAAATTTGACACACATCACACAAATCTAATACATAACGTTTGCGATGCCAAATATAACGACAGTTGTCAGCTGCTGTGCATGTAGCTCATTTGCCGCGTTCGCCTAACGCTGGGGTAACCAAGGTTTTTGGACCAAAGGTCATAGTGTTTGTCCAATTAGACTGGCGGGCTATGTAAGTGTGACGTGAAAAGTTACATTTTATAAACAATATTTACATTGTTACAAAAGAAAATGTGGAAAACAATAGGCTTCAAGCCAAAACTAAATAAAATCGCAATCTTAACAAATTGCTTGAGCTATTTTTTTTACCTAAAGCATCAAAACGTGGTTTTAGCTTGGTTGTGGCAGCAACGGGTGGGCCAGATTGAATTACCCGAGGGGCCGGATTTGGTCCGCGGGCTCGTATTTGCCCATGCCTGGTCAACGTATAAAACAAAAAACAAGAACGGGTTCGTTGATTACAACTTCATCGTGAAATTACATTTGATTTGAAGGTTTGGGGATAATATTATATGATCCCACCAAGCACTGGATTAACCATTAAGCAATATAAGCACGTGCTTAGGGCACCAAGCAAAGGGGGGCATCACAGAATTTTCTCATTTTATATGGTGCATCGGCGTTTATTAAATATTACGAGTTGATCAGACGACTCAGACTTCAAAATGTTTTCTTATTTTTCCTCTTCCTTTTATATATTAACTTCTATATTAATATTTATATTGAACACTGAAATTTACTTATTAGACACAAAATCGACCTATAATGAACAATTTTTTTTTCCTTAATAACTATTGGACCAATTTTTTTCTGATTAAAGATTTTTGTTGCCGCTAGAACTAGGCTATTTATTTTATTTATTCCAAATATTTCTTTGGGCTCCGTGGGATTCGTTGATCTCACACAGCAGTTCGGGTTTTTATCACTGTATTACACTTACAGCAGGTTCACCTGATTTCCAGATTTCTGATTCGCTCCGTGCGACCGAATAATATCGGTTTTTTATAATAGGTAAAAAATTGTAAGAAAACCTAGAAAATGGTCGCTAAAATTATTCTTTTTTTGTACTGTTGGTTGTAATTATTTATAATAGATAATACCCTTATGTGATTTATTGTTTTTATATTTTAAATTACACAAGGGGGCACCAAATGGGCATGATCCGCCCCTGATCCCACCTCTTCTGTCACGAGCGAGATATTAAAACAAGTCAAAGCAACGCAGCTTCAACAAGTATAAAACTGACGCACCGGGCTCGGCAACGAGCGTCCCCCTAAACAGCATAAAAAACGTAGCTGGCAGCATTGGTCAAAGGTTATGAAAGTTGGTAATTCTATCGCCCGAGAGATACGTTTGGTCCAGAGCAGTTTTTAAAAATATCTTGATGATAGTCGTTTCTGCTGTCACTTTTCAGGTCCCCTATAAATTGCATGAAACATCTTGGTGGCGATAGCAAGAACTCGAGATTGCGCTACGTGGTTGGTCACTTCATGGATGTTTCTCCAAGCATCGATTTCATCGTTTTATTTCCGTACCAGAGACAAATCATCAATAAGTTAACGATGATGTAACAAGCCAATCTGTGCCGTCGCTCCGACACTTCTTTCGCTCAGACAGAATTATTCAAGCATGGTTGCAAACATTGCCACGTTTTCGCGGGTTTCCATGTTATTTGTCAGTTGGGTTCCAAAAATTAGTTGTAAATCAAATAATTTAATTTCCATTATTGTCCTCCGAGGAGCTTTAATTTTGTTGCAATATACAAAATTAGTTTTCGAAAAAGCTGCGATAGATTAGGCGAAAGTTTGCTGTCAGTACCTGTAAGCGGCACGCTGTTGAATATTTTTAATGCAAATTTGTGGTTTTGAACATGTAAACCAGTTTGCAAGCGCCTGCTCTCAAAAACACTAAATAATATCATAATTTTTGGCTACATAAAGGATAGGGAGAACTTAAATATATATTAATAATTATGGTTATCCATACCACGAATTAGATGATTTCCTACTTCATATCCGAAATCAATAAATTGGGTTCTCCAACATCGTAAGTGACAAATAAATGCTATTACCCACATCTTGATCAATCAATAGATTGTTGCTGAATTATTTCATGCGCTAAAATCCAGTGTCAAAAAACATCTACGATAAGTAGTATCAGATCTTCGTTACTTAAAAATCTGATTCGAAATGTGTGTTATGAGTAATGGACAATATTGAAACTTCATCAATACAATTTCAGGTCCATACGAACCGAAACAGTTAATAGAGTGCAATTTATTTGGTATTGTTGAGTATAAAAGCGAAAAATAATAGCTAATAAAAGCGATAAAAGTTTCAAATGAACACATAGCCTACGGCATATGCGAATAGAAAGTCCTTTGCAATTCCAGGCAATTGAAACCAATCGAACAAATTTAAATGCTATAAACAATATGAAAGCAACAACAATTTTCATTCCTGTTTCGCATTTATGCCATAACACACTTCATTAAATCCCCAATTAACCCCACCGCTATAAATAATTTCGTAAACAATCAACTGGGCCATTTGAAATATTTTTTTCAAAAAGCGCTTCGAGCATTTGTCACATGTTTGTTATAGTACCGAAATTTAGCTGCGGTGAAATGCTGTGGTTTCATGTAGGCATACTCTTTTTTCGGTACTCCAGAAGTATGTACACCAAAACGGCGTACACCAAAGCGTCGTATGTGTACCAGGTTACGGTTTGGTCATAGTTTTAGGTACAAATACTACGTGAGTCACTTGGCTAGCCACCGAAGTCGTAATAGAACTACAAAATAAGGAAAATTGAAATAAAATTATGGCCTAACTCTAACCTGATACACATACGACGTTCCGGTGTCCGCCATCTTGGTGCACATACTTCTGGAGCTCCTATTTTCTTGTGTTGCAATGGATAATATCCATAGTTCATTTGTGTTCAAAATGTATTTTGCATTAACACTTCACAAATTTACCTTTATGTAACCAAATATCGGTTTGTCGAGTATTTGAGATATGATTTCAAAGATAAATTTCTTTAAAAGAGTTCCTAAAATTAACGATTATAAGTGATAAAGTAAATGTGTAGGTAAAATAGGATTATTGTCAATGGTAGTATTCTAAATCTAGTAATCTAAGCAAGAAGATTACATTTTCAAAACTCAAGGGCAAACTATATAAGTATCGAGTCGTTTCAGTTCGTTCGTTTTCTCTAATACGACATGAAGTGCCTGAATGCATAGGACAGAAAAATCAATCAATAAAGATAGAGTTGCAGAATAATTTGGATGAACAAGCAATATTTCAGATGATAGTTCTGATTTAATCTTTTCGACAAAAAAACATCCCTATAATGCCCGATTGAAATTTTGTTAGATTGAAAAAGGCTGGGTTTTAAAAACGATTACTGGGGATTAGCCAGGCAATTCGGTTAGGAAAAGCAAAACCTTTTTTTGGACATTGGAGATAAAGAAAAATTTCGAGAAAATGCATCATGAAAAATTAAAATTCGAGTCAAATTATTATGAAAGTTATATATGGCGTTCGAAACCTACTCGGAAACTCGATCTCCGATAGATCTTTTGTTACGTAAAAGCGAGATATAAATTTTACATAATGCTCAATTCATATATTTTGAACTACATCTTAAAACTAGTATTACATAAAAATATATCCTGAGGGAAAATAAATTTCATTCATAATAACGATTAAATTAACTACAGAATTCGTAGATTTAGAAATCTCAAGAGATATGAAGAATGAGGTTTTGGTCTGTTAAATGTAAACATCAAAATGCTAAAAATGAGTTGACCTTGGCGGGAGTTTAACTCTGATCAATTGTGTACCAGTGGTAGCCTCAAGGTATTTCTGGAAATGCTATTTATAAAGCGCGAGTATAGATATTGTTTCGATTAGTAAGGTTGTTTAGCAAACGCGAACAAAATCGAATTTTGTATATATTTCCCACAATGTTCTTAATATTCTAAAATGACGACTGAAATGCCAAATTTAAATTTTTTATATTGTTTTATATATTGACTGTTATATATTGGTTATTATATGATGATATGCTTGCTATGAATTTTAGTAGCCATAGTTATATATTGTGGTATAAATTAACAAATATATTAAAAGTATGAATTGTGACTACAAAATAGTCCTATTCGTTGTCTTATGCTCTGTCGGCGTGTCCAGATCTACGGTAAGCAAAGATTTTGTTATATTAGTAAGCGTGGCCAGTTTACACATTTCAGTCACTCCTTACCCTTCAGTTGCAGCAAATTTACTCTTCAATTTGTGAAGTGTCTCACATCCTTGACTTAAAGCAGGGCTTTTTACAAAAAGTCCGTCATACTCGGAAGAACACTAATAAATTGAAGGAGCAGAAATATCCCATCGTATTCAGTTCAGCGTACTCTTCACATTGAGGCCACGGCAGTCACCGTGGCCCAGTGTCAACTCGACGTTTTCAAAATATTTCCGATTGGTGCGTGATGCCGATCGTCTACATTTCTGATGTTTTGTTAGTTTTTAAAATTAGAGGAATTCCAAAATATTGAGTTGACTTAAATACGGCGATTATATATGGTTTACAGTTTTCTTGAGATAGTTCACGTGTCATCTTTAGTGAACCTAATTGGAAGAAAGCAATAAATTTTTCTTTTAAAGTGGCACCTGGGAGAATTGATACAATGTGCCCAAGGTAAAGAAATAAAGACGTTCTGGAGTACATTATGGACGCTCGCGAATTACAACGACTATGGTTGTTATTGTGGAAGAGGTGGGTCAGGGACTCCAGTCGATGCCTCCGATAGGTTTGTTGAATATTGTTTTTATAATATCAGACTTTGTTGCAATTCGTACTGACTACTCAAAGCGTAATTTAATTATATTTATTATTACATATTGATCTCGATAAGTATGTTGATAGGTATTTGTTTGTCTGTTAGATGCACGCGATATATCACGAAAGCGAGGTTGAATCTGCTCCAAATTTTGCATGTGCATTCATCATATCTCGGACCAGAAGCATATGAATATGTCGTATAAATAGCGAGTTATTAATTAATTAGTGATGGGACACGCGGTGTCACTATAGAGTCATGAATCGAAACCGCAGTTTCGATCGTTAAGTCTTCGGTCTCCGACCGATATTCTCGTTTCTATTTTTGAAGATCTAAATTACACTATTGACATCTAAAGTAAAGTCTTTTATTTAAAAGAGTCATATAGCGGCAGATCTAGTAAGTATTGGGTGTTTTGAATATTTAATCCTTATAGTTTAAAGTGTCTAAAGAACAATAAAACAATTTAGTCCCAATTAGCGATTTCTTGTAAAGTCTATCACTGTTTTTTGACTATTTTACTACGAGATAGAACTTTTTAAAAAAATCTATGAGAGACTTGACATTTCAAAGTTTTTCGAAGCTTTCCAGCACCTTCGAATATTCTTTTCAATTACATTTCTATATTTTTGCCCCCAGGTGTTGCTACAATCATGACAATTGCTACGACGACGTTGGATATCAATATGATTTGTCCGAATTCACGATCTATTTTGCAACTTATTCGTACAAATGCAACCGGGGGTCAATCCAGTGCCGTAAGTTTTTAGAAGATATGTAAATCCTCACGCAATGAACATTTTGGTACTCCCGTAGTATGTGAACCCAGATGGCGGACACCGAAACGTAGTATTTGTACCAAGTTTGGGTTAGGCCATAATCTCAGATACAAATACTACGGGAATCACTTGGCTAGTCCCCTAACTCGTAATAGAACTAAAATGAGGAAACTTGGACTAAAATAATGGCCTAACCCTAACCTGCCAAGCTAATTTTGAATAAAGAAGAAGTCTAAATTTGGGCGCCCCAGAAGTGTGTGTACCTATATGGAGGGAACTAATGATGTTCGCTTATTTTACATCAAGTTGTGTAAAGGGACGGAAACCTATGGGCAGGGGGATATTTAATTGGCTAGCACAGACTGTCCCGACCTCGTAACAGAACTAAAATAAGGAAAATCGGAATAAAAGTCTGGCCTAACCCCAACCTGGTACACTCACCTCTCAGTCTAACTTGTCCAATGATAAATCCGGCCTTGGCTATTATGTATAAATAATCTGGTTTGCATTTCTTCAGGAAACAAAAGGGGATGGAGAAGAAAGTTGTGTGAATGTGACAAGAAGCTTGCTCTTTGCCTTTCAACTCACCGCGATTCTTACAAAACAAAACACATCAATTTGGACATTGAAAAACGATGCTGAGCCTTCTCCTCCTTCTAGATTCACCAACTAAATTACGATCACCAGAACATTGTTGTTAACCAAACCAATCAAATTTAACATGAATTGCAACAACTGGAAAATAATTATGACGTCATTGTTATGTGATAAAGTGAATTAAGTAAAATCAAATTATATCTTTCTGTTTTTAAATGAGAAGATGGAATTATTTACCCGGTGGGAGAGCAAAGTTTTCTCAAAAAGTCGGGGATGACGATAAAAATTCACATTTTAATATATGTATATATATATATGGCTCTATATTCTGTAATAATAAGATCGGTGCTTATGCGATGTCTCGAAAATATCGTGTCCCACTTGTTCCTAGTTTTCTACGTGTCTCACTTGTACCACGTGTCACACTGGTCCAACGTGTCTCACATGCCCCACGTGTCTCACTTGTCCCTCGTGTCCCACTTGTACTACGTGTCCCTCTTGTTTCCATTATATCGTTACTATTGCTTTCGTTTCGAGGCCAAAAATGTATTGCTTTCGTTTCGAGGCCAAAAATGTTTATCGGGAGAAATTTGCATGCGCGGGATTTTTGAGCGTTTAGTTTTATCAAAAATCATGCTTTGACTATATTTGCACGATTTATTCATCTTTGATTCTGGATTTGGCCTAACAATCACAGGAAATGGTTACCAAAACCCCGTCATGTGGATCGAATTACCTTCAAAGATACTCCAAATAGAAACAAGCATTAAATAATGTCGTGCAATGATCAATTGGTAATTTTTGGTCTCAGGCATTGTTTAACTATTTGATATCAAGTGAAAAATTCTATCTGGATGACTCCAACTTCGAAGAAGTAGAATCGCATTATAAATATCGCAAAAAATTTGTAAAAAGTACCAAGGAAATACATCAGAAATTTTTTTCATGTGGAATATAATTCTGCAATTCGGATTTATTCGCAGATGTGAGCGGTTTGCACTTTTTTTAATCGCTTTTGCAGATGGGTTAAAACTTTTGCTATTCTTCCCGAAATATATAAATAGAAATATTAGGACTGCTTTGCTATCCCAGGTCGAGTTTTTATCAGGTTATACACACGTCGTTGATAAGTATAAGGGTTAAACACCGGTTCCGGAAAGTCATGTTAGATTATTTTAAACCAGGCGTCAGGCCAGTTGAATCTAAATTTATGTGCACACCGCTCTTCAAAAACACTTCTTTCACTTAACTTGAAGGTCCAACTCAACTGTATAAACGGAAGCGAATTCTACTGTTCGATATTGAATAACGATAAATTTTCTTTGTTGACTATTAATTTGCGTAAACTTATATCATTTCATCATACCGTGTTCAAATTTGAGATAATCGAATATCATGGGCATATTGCCTCTCAAGGTATGATATTGCACTGCTTCCCGATGGTTGCCGACCACTGTTTCAAACTACGTACAACGCTTTAAATATATTTTAAATAGATTTTTATAGTATATATTATTGTTTTGATCTTGAAAGATTATGAAATTGAAATTTGATGAATTACGCTAGTGTGCCTAAATATTGATATCCTCCGACTAAGACAATAGAAGAAGAATATTAAAAATGTTTGATTTGGACAAATCTCACACAGCGCGCAGCTGAAACACATCCACCGGGTAATGTGTACACTACGATGTTATAAATGAATATAAGAGCGTAGTAATTGAGTCGCATCCTATTTGACGCTCCCGTAGTATGTGCACTAAGATTGCGGACACCGAAACGGAACCTGGTACACATATTACGTTCCGGCCGGCATCCGTCATCTTGATTCACATTTTACGAGAGTACCTCCTATTCGTGTTGAAACTTGCTTTTCAAGTGATCACCATTTATGGAAGTAACTAATTTTGTTCGCCTACTTCACACCAAGTTGTATAAAGGGACTGAAACCTATGGACAGGGGGTATATTCACTTATAGCTAACACAGACAGTCCCCGAACTCGGAATAAAATTATGCCTTAACCCTAACCTGGTACACATACTACGGGAGTGCCGAGAACATAATACGGACAAACCGCAGCACGAACTTATTTGTGCATACCATGTTGTATACACTCGATCGCGTGAGTTATACCACAAGGATACAACAGTTTGATTGATGTAATGCGATGGCCGCGATAATTCAGCCTCACCATAAATACCATGGAAAGCACTATCTGATTGAAACTCGAGCTTCATACATTCGCTTGGATTCGGCGCGACTAGAAATTTAAGGTATTCAACTTTGTTTCGTAGTTTTGTGAATTCGTCTGTAATTACGGTAGCTAGTTTGGGGTGTGAATTGGCGCTTAGCTTGGGAAAAACGTTTCATTCGCTCTTGTGCACAGCGTGATTCAGTTCCCAAGGTAGTGCCACACTTATAGATAGGTAAGGGCAACAGATTCAACAAAAGCTTCTTCGATTATCACGGGGTTTGTCATCAAACGTTAGTCATCGTTTGATCATTGTGGAACTTAATCAACGTTTTCAAATTATAATTGTTGTCGTATTGCATTACAAATGCGCATTGCATGTTGATGAGTGAATTGCGAATACGCACTCTCTATTGTAACCTACGCTCGGATACATCGTGACTTCCAGCTAATAAATGAGAGTGCTAAATTCAATTAGGATATCGGTGGGTAAGATTCGGTAGATATAGAGAATCATAGTAAAAATAAAAAGGGGGTTGAAACACAGACGTGGTTTAGAAAGGCATAGGAATGATAGCAAATATGTTAATATATTATGCTAATGTTTTCCATACGAATGCTTTTGGTACTACTAGGTACTGATAGCTCTAAGGTAAGATTATAATGTCTTAATTTATTAAGATTAGTATAAAATATTCATTTGCTAATTGTCAATTTTGTCCTTTTTCAATCAAATATTGTACATTTATGATTCTAATAATAACTTGAAAATTTTATAATCTCAACCAATCATAGTGACTATATTCTCGCATATTAACATGAATGAACTTCGAAATTGTAGAAACAATTTGTCTGTAAACTCGATGTGTATACACATATTTATTTCCTATCAACTAATCCAATTCCGCAAAAAACTTTAATCTTCAGTGAATAACCAGGTTAGTTCATTTAATAGATAATAGAGATAGGATTAGCAAGCGTGAATTTAGGCCATAATTTGTACAAAGATGTATGGCGACAAACGTTTATTTAGGATATCAAAAGTTTGGCGGTTGTAAATAACTGGTTTAGGATATATGTTTCTTTGTGCACTATATACCTACTTTCATCCCAATTCTTTTTATATTTTCATAGCAGTTGGTGAATAATATTTAGCTACTATAAGATACTTGAGTTTATTTTATCATTCTTATTTTGTAAGATGTATTTTCGATACTATGGATTTTATCTTTTAATAATAATTTCTAGTGTGATGATGAAAGCAAAAGTGAGTGATGGATTTCTCTTTATTATTTGCGGATTCACGAAAGACTAAACAACTGGGCATCAATTTCAGCCAAAATAGCATTGAAAATGTATCGATAATTCGAACAAGCGGTTTGGCTCAATTTATGCAACAGCGAAATATTTATTAATCTTTTATATTGTGAAGTATGTCGAATCTTTCATGTATTAATTCCAAAGTCTTCGTGTATGCGTGGGCTGAGAAAACCTAGCAATGGGTCTGTGTTAGTTTTACAAATGAACACAATTGCTGAGCCTTCAAACTGAATTTCGTTGCAGTATATTTAATAATGACATCTTTTTGAGTCATAAAATAGCTGAAATACGAATAAATAGTGTGGATTATCGATTCTTTTTATACATTTTCAAATTTTCCAAAATGCCTATCACTATAAAATTTCCCCCGTTACTGAGCCATTAACGCAATTGTACATCTCATTTAGAAAAAAATTATTTGCGACAACATAATTTTGATTTTACATATCAGTTGCGATATTTACTAAACCTGAAACACGCAATTGCAGGATGTGACACTCGTTTAGTACATGTGTTACACGCAGCGTGGTGCACAAAATTGAATAACGTTATTAATGCTCAACGAACTCAACTGAGAAAAGCGGAAAAATACGCAGCTTATTTCTCAATAATTTTTCTCCAAAACGTGTCTATGACCTTTTCTGTAAAATATTTGTTAATGGCAACGATTATTATTTCCAATTTGGAAAATACCAACTCGAATAACTATTTGTTGCGTCTAATTACGCTGTGATTTTGTCAGAAATGTGTTAAAAATAATCCTTAGAATATAACAAATACAATTGTTGCAATTTTAAAGAGAGATTCCTCGGGTGTCTTTTCGTGATAAAAATTACCGAATATTAAGTTTTTTCTGGAGAGATTATTTCAACAACAAGAGGCATTAGAATGTCATAATTTCTCATAATAATTCGTTGATAGATTTACCAAATGCAGCGTTTATAATTGTATTTTTACTGGAGTTAAATGTTAAGCGAATATACATGACCATTTCATTTTTTTCTTGTAAACGAAACACATGACCACAGCGATCCCAACCCGCTGGTCCACGGGTCGGTGAAGTCTGCGCTTTTACACGTTCCAATAAAATTTTGTTGTTTTGTTCTTTTTCTGTCAGCCTAAACGCTGGATGTTTGAACTGTTTTTTCTGTGTTTTAATATTTGTTCCCAGACTGTACCAAAACAATGAAATATGTTACTTAAACGCAGGTTATTATTTTTTTCATTCCATTTCGTTCCAATTCCAATATTTTGTTGCCAGTCCGCGTCGTCATGTTATTTCATGTTACTCGTTCGCCATGGTAGAAAGGTTGGCTGGCAGCCACTGATCTAAAGCATAGCCATAGATTGTGTTTCATTTTGCCATGTGCAACACAAACTATGGGTCATACGCTGCACAACTTTTCACTAATATAATTTTTTATCTTTCGAAGACACAAAACCAACATACAATCGTGAAGCGCAACGCATGGCAACTTGGTAAAATGATTCAATGCGCACAGAACATTACCAGATGGCATTCATTCTGGGCGATGAGTTATTACGCTGACTATGGATGTTTTTGTGGCCAGGGTGGATCGGGATCTCCTGTTGATGAATCCGACAGGTGAGCGGTAGATTATAACAAAGGGCGCTCCAGAAGTGTGTGTACCAATATGGTGGTAACTAATTTTGTTCGCCTACTCTACATCAAGTTGTGTAAAGGGACTGAAACTCATGGGCAGGGGGTATATTCACTTGACTAACACAGACAGTTCAAGAAAAAAAAATTATGGCTTAACCCGGTACACATACTATGGGTGTACCTATCCTTCCCCGCATATTGATACGTCGATTTGTTTATACGTACACCATGGCCAACCAATATTTTAACATTCTTATTTACTTTTCAAAAATATCAAAAGTTACTGAAGCACATGTGTATTGAAGTCATGAAACACGTGAAATATCTGAAATTTGAAGTTTGCGATCATTGTCCGTCCGCCTTATCAAAATTTCCGGACGCGCCACAAAATGGAATTGTGAAGAATCTTTTTTATTCATTTAATAAGTGATATATATATATTAAAGGGGCATTGATTTTTTTGTCTCAAATAAGGAATATTTTTCCGAATGTGCATTTGTTTTTTAGACCAAAGTCTGTTTCAAATATCCGAATCTTAATTTCGCTATTTCTCTTTAATGATTGCTTTTTCGATTTCAGATGCTGTTACATTCACGATCAATGTTACGGCGAGGTTGAATCAAAGAGTCAACTCTCGGGATCGAGATTCTATTGGGCAACTTATCAGTATGAATGCACCCAAGGATGCATCTCGTGTAAGTTTCTTTTTATTCGCTTGAAAGTCAAAGCAAATCGCAGCGATAAAAAGTTGATGGTTTTGTTTTAACAAAGCTCATTTTGTGACGGAGGGATTAGTTTAAAAGATATTATTTTAGAGTTTATGTCTAATATACACCGATTTATGCACACGCATGTGCAGAATCTAAACCAGTGGTTCTCAAACTTTTTAAGACTCGCTCTCTTTTTAGAATTTGTCAAGTTTCCCGCCTCACCTCAAAAATAGCTCAACTAAGAATAAGCTACAAATACAAGATAGTAAGGCGAAAGTATGTTTCATTTAAAAAACGCGTTGAAAATACGTGAATATCCAAAATAAAGAATTGTGAATCTCCAAAACAAAGCGGGCAAGATCAAATCTAGCAAATATTTTTATTTTAGCTTCACGCCATCTCAAAAAATTGTCAACGCCTCCCTTGAGGGACGCGCCCCACCGTTTGAGAAACACTATAATCAAAACCATTTAACTGTTTCGTAGTCCTGTCTGCTTCCTTCAATCAATTTTTCGTCATAAAATATGACCTTTTTTCAAATTTTTTTTTCATAAACTACTAGAATATTAAAAGCAACAAGTAAGGTTGGCGACAAAATAATCGCAGTGATTCCTACGCCTTTCTCTTGGTAAATCAAAATACTTCTGATTGAATTGAGCTAGTCACTTGCTTGAGTAAAATCAAAAACAGAATACAGAGAAAGAACATTTCTGTGATATATATATACCTCTTTCACTTTTAAATTGTACTTTTTTTCAGGTTACGGGAATGGATGGCGACAAGAATTATGCAAATGTGACAAAGATCTTGCACAGTGTCTCGCGACTCATCGTGTTTCCTATTTGTCATCGAATATAAATTTGAACATTTCAAAACATTGTTGAGAATATTTTATGTCCATTTCCATCAAATGTCTTTTATTGTTCCGGTAAATTTTATTACATATATATATGTAGCTTCAATTTAGTCAATGTTTTACATTTTATGATGAATAAGGCAATGTCTTACATTTTATGATGAAAAATTTCAACAGTTCCCCAATTATATTGGAAATTTGAAAAGAAATATTACAGCCATAGATTGATTGTGAAAGGCAGATATTGTAGCTGAGGTTGAAGCCCATGTTGGTCAACTAAAATATGTCGTTGATTATCAAGGTCAGCCTGATTGCGGTAACGTTTACTCTACATACACGCAGGCTGGTCGGGAGCAAATCGTTAATATCAATTTTAACACGGGACGAAGTTGCAAAGTAAAATAGGTTGTACTAACTGAAGCAACACTCAATTTCTATTTTGATGTAGACAGTGCTTGAATCATATTCTGGCCTAATAAAGCAAGCGCAGCGTGTGGCGAATCGTGCTAAGAGTTCGGAAATCGGAATACGCTTGCCACCTCACCTCTGATATTACCCTTCATGATTCGCATCCCGTGAAAACAATTATGTGCGAGAGAATTACTGGGCTCCTCGTCGAAGTAAGCTTAATCTACGTATTCGCTGGTCTGGTAAGGCTGCTATCAAGTTCATGCATCTGAAAACAAGCAACTGGCTACAGCTTAACCAATCCAATAGCCGACAAAATAACAGGAAGAGAGGGCATGGCTCGTCATATGATAAAGCTGTCTTATCGATTCTCCGGTACTCATGAAGTATGTGTACCAAGATGTCGCATAACCTGAATCCTAACCTGAGTTTCGGTTGTGCGCCATCTTGGTGCGCATACTTCAAGAGGTACGGTTCTCCTCTCTTCCGAAATAAATATGTAAGACTTATCCCTAATAAATGCATCGTCTTTAAAAATAGTTTGTGCCGTATGTGTGTGTACTTACTGCCACCTTGAAATGTTAGAACATTCAAGATGGCTGGAATGGTTGGAAATAGCTATCGGTGCAGAATTAGGTTCTGTCGGTTCTACTTATTGAGAGGTGTTGTCAATCTGCTTCAGCAGCTAATCCTTGACACAGTAGAAACAAATGTAAAATTGTATGAAGTCGCCTGCCCGTGATGAAAGTATATATACAGCGTATGTAAGTCACAGTATGGTGAAATTCCAACCAAGTAAAGGGCTCACATTAAATTCATTGATAGACTGTCTACAACCGACTCAGCTCCAAATAGGCCAGAGTGCATACAGTGAGTATGTTGGTAGCATAATGCGATGACGATGGTGTATGTATACTGATTACGGTACAAGATAACTGTTTCTCCGGCCTAACAACACTTCAATTTAGCAGCAATACCCAAAACAATGAAACATATAATTATCCTCCAATACACAACTAAATTAAAACCTTTATCATTAAACGACCTTGACTATAAAACATGAAGACCCGAACAACTAAGCACAAAAACTCAACAGAAATAGCAGCCAAATAGTCTGCAGACCAATGCCGCAAAGTAACCGAAGCCTTTCAGCTTTTAGCAAAGTGAATAACGCCACCAGAGGTCATAAGTGCACTGTCTTACACGCAAACGAATTGGTTTCCGAGTATGACATAATAATCAATAACAATTAATAACATGAAAACAACTGAGATACGAAAGTATTACACCACTCTTATGCCGGGCATTACCGTCTTCCTAAGCCCGGGGTTCTTATCATAAACAAATAAATAAATAGCTATTATCGAGTCTAAACTTGACTAGAAAGGAAATATTAGTAGAAATCTTTTGGTAAATGGACCACAGTAAAATTGCCTGCAATAATCGTTTCAAGTGGATTCTTGAAAGTTCCAAGAGCATTCTTGAACAGTTCGACAAGAGGGATCGCAAAGTGAGTCTTATCGAGGAAATTAATAAGATCTGAACCGACATCTTAATAGTTTAAACTGTAATAGCAAAGTTAACCAAATTTAAATAGATCGGGGTTACGCAGTTGAAGGTGCTCCCGTAGTATGTTTCAGGTTAGGGTTAGGTCATAATTTTACTCCTATTTTCCTTATTTTAGTTCTATTACGAGTTCGGGGACTGTCTGTGTTAGCCAAGTGAATATACCCTCTGCTCATAGGTTTTAGTCCCTTTACATAACTTGATGTAAAGTAGACGAACAAAATTAGTTACCTCCAAATTAATACACATACTTCTGGAACACCGAATATAGTAGTACTATGTGCATTTGTTTCTTTTTACCAAGAAACTTTATGTTTGCTTATAAATAAATGTATATTTTGCGATTCTTATTTTGCGAAAACCGTCGATTTTATTCCATTGAACTAAAAATAGCAAAATGTTACGATTGTATTTATTTTGTGTCATTCTTCGCCTTCGTAGACAAAAATGCTATCTAGACATTTGGAAATGTTACATAAACAAAGTGTTATAGAATCAGACTTGAATAACATACTTTAGAATCGAATGACAGACATATAATTGAAAGGGAGAAAGCGATGTCTCTCCTCCACGTTTAGATCGGTAATACACTATTCAACCAGATTAAAAAATGAAAAATATTCGTAAATTCACTGCAAAGGGTCGTAATCACATATATGGGGTTATAGCGGGCACAAAGTAAACTGACCGAAAACCTTGAAAAACTAACATTAATATAACGAAATGCGTCATGTTTTCTTGCTTGCGCAAACACGCATCGCCTCTGATTCACGCTCGCTAGAGAACAATACTCGGCAAGAAAATATAGGTCGAATCTTTTCGTAGACTTCGTGTAGTCGAGTATGATTTATCGACACTTTTCTAAAATTCAAAACGTAATCGGTGCGGGACGATATCTTGAATTATCTCGAAATCACATAGAATCGGCTGTGTTTTTCCATTATATAAACAAGATTTCATTGAATAAAACTGTTGAAGTGCCATTTTACTGTGCGTAGCTTTATGAATTGTTCTGTCTTGATGAGTATATTTATGTTGGCAGGCTTGAGTTAAGTAAACTGACTTCGAATATTTTTAAAAGTAATTTCTGTGTTTTGTGCGATGCGCGAGTATTAACAGCTGCGTTTGCTGCATTTAAAATTTAAAAATTCTATGACGTAACTATCTTAAAGACAGTTTGAACTTTTTGAAAATCTGTTTTCCATGAATCGAACCAGGCATGCTATTTACAAACGATTTTACTAGTACGTTATCGCGGCTCTGACAGAAAAGATTACCTGAAAACAATTTCACCCTTGCGTAAAAATGGGAACAAAAAGTATCTCTTTTGTTTGGAAAATAAATGCATCACTGCATAATTACGCAATTGACTGACAACGCAAACTCAGCAACGCCCATGTTTGCAGCATAAATCCTGGCGTGAACCTTTGTAAATCAGACTGATCCAACCATAGAAGAGCCATGTTCTGATCAAAAAACTTCAAACAGATAGCATTCTAATATACAAGGGCAAAAAAGCAACCGTTTTTCTTTGGGAATTGCCCGCTATCAAACGATGAACATGAATTCTAAGGCCGGTAACCCCATAATTGACCTGGTTTAATTTCAAACTATATTTATATAGTTTCAAGAATGAGAAAGCAATATTTTCTTCAAATTATCTTTTGACATAGCGTGAAAATATCTTCTTTGCAACGCCTTTTTCGTTACCGACTGACATGCTGACGTCACATTCAAGACCACCAACAGGTATCTGTACGGTTAATAGTTAAAAAAGATCGACGTTAAAAAGAAAAAACGCACTCGCTTAGTTTTCGTTTCTATAAATACCGTTTTGTAGGCCGTCGTGTTTTAAGTAAGATTTTATGGATTATAGTTTTAGTGCAGCTGGTTTGGCTTCCGCAGGCAGTTGCCAATACGCCCCAAAAGCGATGGCGATGCAATTTACAGTTTGTTCACTATTCTGCGCTTCTAGTCTCTAAATATTTAAAAAAAAAATTGTGTACTAATTTTAATTACATATTGTTCCAGGATCCCATTGAAGATGCATACTTAGTTTCTATGTACCGAGACTCGATTTCAAAATTTGATTTTTCAATATTTTATTTTTTTTTTTGCTGTTTTATTTTGACTCTATAATTTCATTTCTGCAGGCCTTATATAAATTAATTATTACAAAAATTTGCTTGAAAGTTCGTAAGAAAGTTTTGAGACTTTGACATCATGGTGAGTGTGTATTATTATAAATATATTAATCTTAACTATTTGTTCAAATTTGAAAACAATGTCTGTCTAACTTTTAAATAAAAGAAAGCCACGAGAAAATCCAAAGAAGAGGCCTTTCGGACGAGAATCCTATAAACTGCGTAAAATGTAGGAAGTAAATACGTAATAATGCAATGTTTTATGAGTGTAAAATTATCGCTGAATCACTAAACAAAATGTTTTGGTCTCGATTATTCACATAATACATTTCAATGCATTTGTTCTGCGACACTCGCATTGGTCTATTCATCGCATTCAATCTATATGCACTATACTTGTATTATATTACCGTAACATGCGTTACACAATGGGCTATGGCTATACGAATTGCTTTTGTATTACCAACACAAAAAAGAACATACAACTGAGAACATTTACTCGTTTTTGCTCCATTTAAATGTATTTTTGAATATCAGAATAAACCTCTTTAATTTCGAAAATGGAATATTGTTTCTGTAGAAGTTGCAGCAGCGGAAATTTTACGGCGCCCCAGAAGTGTAACACAGACAGTCCCCGAACTCGTAACAGAACCAAAATAAGGAAGAATCGGAATAAAACTATGGCTTAAACCTAACCTGGTACACTCACTACGGGAGTACCAATTTTACTAACACTCATTGACTAGTTTTTTGTGACTGAAAAAAGTATTGGCCGACCAAAATCTTCGTCAACACATCTAAGAAAGAAAGTGAATTTTGAGATATCAACTTTTGAAATTTTGAAAAATTAATGTTTTTTATTATGGATGATATTGTAGAAAAATATTTTGAAATCGTACCCGAAAACCCATATTGCGAAATTTTTAGGTCAGATACGATTTCACAATCGTTATAAACGTTTCAAATTGAGATGAAAATAAGAAATCGTTTATTTGACATTTGAAACTTTGTTCTTCTCATGTTACATAGTAGTTTGATTCTATCAGTGTTTGTAAATTTTCGTACAAGCAATACTTTCTGTTTTCCGTGCTGTTTAAAGCGAATCTTTAGCAAAATTCGCAAACACCTTAGCGAAACAAGATTTAAGATCAGGGTGTAAGATTTAACAGATTTTTGACAAGTTATTTCATTGTTTCCCGCTCTTTTACACTATATTCCTTCCTCGTCGTGCAAAAAAAACAACTCGATATTGGTTCATCCCAGGCGGGCCCTAAGCTAATAATATGCGCAATTTGCACACTGGCTTCTGCATTGTTTGAATAGTTCATAATGTGCTTATAAATATGTATTACAATAATAATAAATACCTAAACTATAGCAGTAAAATTAAATCGAATACAAATTGATATTTTCGTATTTTCTACGCAAAAGCCACACAATTTCTCTCCGGCTGGGAAAAGTTGCGCTATTCAATTATATATAATTATACAGTGTTGACAATTTCACAAAAAGTTTTTACATATCGTCCTGTAGTTTTTATTACTGCAATCACAACTTATGTTAGTAAAGAACATCAATATTTGACAAAAGTCTCCGTAATTTATCTTGTTATATTCGTTGTTTTACTCAGGGCAATGACGACGAGGACAAAGTAAAGAAAGACGCAATTGGGGAAGAGAGAGGACATTGGGATAATCATGCTGAATTCTTACTTTCATGCATTGGGTATTGCGTCGGACTTGGAAATGTTTGGAGATTTCCGTACCTAGCTTTCGAAAATGGAGGAGGTTCGTTGCCTACAGTTGCAAACTATCTGGTCCAATTCGTAATTTTAATCTTTAATTTATTTGAAATTCGACACTACATTATAGTATTTTGTAAATCTTTAAATCGTAAAAAAAACAAGATTTAGTCACACTGTAACTTAAACGTGTATGATTCACCTGCATCACATAGTAATTCAGACAAATATTAGGCTGATAAAAGTTCTGGACTTTTCCAGTCTAGACAGATGTGCTTACCACACAATCCTGTTTCCCCCTCTACGTTCGACAATTTTGATTTATTTTTCCAACAAAGGAGAACCATGCGTGCAATTCCATTGGTTTTTTAATGTCATATCTCGGGTATTTTCCATTTGTGCTGCAAAGTGATGCGGAGCATGATAAGCTTTATTAACGTTAAACCCCCGCGCAAACAAAATAAATAAATCTAAAGAAATCCGTGATATGAGAAAACAAGGTTTTATTTGTGTCCTATTTCAACCCGTCAAAACAGTATTCGTCACATTGAGAAAAACGCTCCAAGTTTAAAATAACATAGAGTTCATAGACTTTACAACAATAGTTAAAGAGTATTTTGGACTTTATTATAAATGTCCACATGTGGTATTGATATTTTACAATATTTCATTTACCTTTAAAATTGATAATCAATTTATTTTCATTCGGTTGCGTTGTTTTCTCAAACTATCTCAACAGTTTAAATACGATTCTTAATTTGGTCAAGAAGAGGGAAGCCGATGAGTAGGCTTTTTAATATACGGAACCGCGGCTCTCGTCCGGTTACCCCTCTTAGTTTTAAACGTTCAAAATCATTGGTTGTCAAACTTTTTAAGCCGTGCCCCTTTTAGAATTTAGATAGCAAATAGCAAAGCGAAAATATGTTTTATCACAAAAACACGTTGAAAATACGTGGATGGAATGTGAATATCCAAAATAAAGAAATGTAAATACCGTATCTAAAATAATGCGGGCAAGATTAAATTTAACAAATATTTTTATTTTCAATAGACTTCACGCCCCCTTAAAATAGTTTACGCCCCTCTTGTGATGCGCGCCCCACCGTTTGAAAACCACTGTACTAGATGTATGAACTTGGATCGGGAGAAAGCCATAGTCGAATACCCATTAATCACGACCATATCGCGACTGCGAGGAGTCTACCAATAATTGTCTCTCATGGGATTCGTTTGAGCATGCGAACCCACGTAGGGTAAGCAGAGTACGATTAACAACGCTGACAAGTATTAAGTATTCAATACTATATTTCAAGTTTTCTGGTTCGAAATGAAATTTCGCATAAACTTTGAGGTCCACAATAAAAATTTTCAGCGAGAAAGAACGCTAATTCACATAACATATTTTGAATTTATTACAGGAGCGTTTCTCATTCCATATGTCATTATGTTGGCGCTGTGTGGAATTCCCTTGTTTTTCTTGGAAATGTCTCTTGGACAATTTACTGGACTGGGACCCATCACTGCATGGAAGGCTGTTCCTATTTTCAAAGGTATGAATATTATAAGATTATTGGTCAAAGATAAGGGCCATCCAGGAGGTAACTTTACATGGGGTATCAGTATTAATGGCTTTATTTGCTTATTGATAGAATGACAGGTACAGTAACCATCGTGATGTTGGAGGATCTCAATGTGGCAAATATGCTTATTTACATGATAGAAGATAAATATAAATAGGGATTTATATTACTAGAAATGGACATCAAAATTCTCCGACCCCTTTAGCACGAAATCGAGCACAACACTCGCACGTAGTCTCACCAATGTCGAGTTATTTCGGTTATACAGCCTATATGATGCTACATTTTTGGTCTAATGCATAGAAAGTATTTTGGGTCCCTTACGTCAATTGCTTCTACCGGAAGATTATTTTATGCGATTACGTGGATGAAAACGGCCAGATAATTGGTCAGTGACCTATAACAGAATTTAAAGCATAGTGCGACCTCTTTCAGCGCAGTGCATAAAGAACAATTTCTGAAGACATTTAAATGCAATGTATTTTCTACAAAAATGCAGTTGTGCGACATTTCACCTTACTTACGATTCGTGTCTGATATATAACGGTTTTTGCGGTTGATAGATAATTTGCACGTGCGTTCCAGGCGTACTCGTAATCTAGAACCGCGAACGAGTTAAAGCAGGATTTCTTAAACGGGAAGAATTTTGTTGTTTTCGGTAAGAAGTACTGAAATGTTACTCTGTATTCGGTGTAGTTTCATTAAAGTTCAGTTATTTAGTATTATTGTAAAACATATTCATCGGCACATCATACACTAAACCAGTGCTTCTGAAACTTTTTGTATATGCGGCCCCAAATTAGCAGGGCTAGCCCCTCGTGACGCACTTGCGCGAAAAAAATGTCGCATTTGAAAAAAACTCAATTTTGTGATCGTGGATGTGTACTTTACGCAAGTTTGTAAACATGTAGGCCTAAGGAAAAAGGTCAACTCTTCTTCCTCATCGCTTTCTGATTTTCATTTTGAATAATAAAAAATCAAAAGCTAGTGTCCGAGTTATGCATAACAGTAACTAGAGATCATTTAAAATGATCAAACAAATAACGGAAATCAACTTTTATGCGTAGTGAGAGAGGAATAAAGAAATCCAAAATAGCCAAAGGAAGGAAAATATCGAGAAAGGTTGGGAACCATTGAATTAAAGCATTCTTTCTTGCATGTCGCTATTTCTAAGCTGCGTATAAGTTTGCACGCTTGCATAACTATTGGGATCATTTGGTCCATTGCATCTGTGTTGAGTAACTTAAGACTTCACAAGGTGGAAATTTTCCATTCTAAAAGTGCTGAATCATTGTATCCGATGATCAATGAAACAAGCAGCAGGCCTGTGTTAATCCGGCTACGCTGAACGACTTCTCACATTTTTAAAATTTGTTGTCGCAACGGGTCGGCCGGTGTAATTGGAGATGCCCTTTTGTGTGGGTCCATGTTGACCCAATTTGGTTTTATGAAAATACTCCAAATATTTGTTTCGGGTTATATATATATATATATTTCCTAACCCAGAACATATCATCGAATATTAGTTTGATATGTATCGCTGTAAATCAAGTTGGTAGCGCATCTATGTTTTGCAAAAGAAGACTTTTTAGAGCAATTGAAATTTTTTTTTGTCTCGTGGATAGGTACGAAATGTCACGGTGACATTAAACCACTTTACCAATTATAGATGATAACGTCTAGTTTCTCAAATGTGAAAACTTCTAAATATGTTTCCGTGCTTATCGTTAAGCGAATCACTCGACGAACAACTTAAGCCGACTTGAGTTTTGAATGTCTATGGTATTTACATATGCAACATTGATTAACAAAATTTTCATATATATATACTAAGAGTGGGTGAACCAGTAAACAGGCCAGTTCATAAGCACTAGATTTATATCCTGTATTATCAACAGAACTAAACTAATCCACCAGCACGTTTAAGAACTACTCTGGCAAAATGTATAAAGTACGCCAGTCATACAGGTTACGATGTCTCTCTATGGCCTTTTCAGCGTTTATTCCTCCTAGCGGTTCTATCCCAGCTCCTATTGATATAGAAACGGAGATACTTTCGTAGTGCCTGTACCAGCTTAGGCTTAGGCAATAGTTTATTCCGATTTTTTTTAAATTTTAGTTCTATTACGAGCTCGGAGATTGTCTGTGTTAGAATACCCCACCTGTCAATATGGCTACGGTCCCTTTACACAACTTGATGTAAAGTGGGCGAACAAAATTAGTCATCTCCATATTGATATACACAATTCTGGAGCGCCGGTTATGGTCTTTTCTGCGATCCTCTTTCCAAACAGTTCAAGTTTAACCATTGATATAAACCTGCTGAAAAAAATATTTACATTTTTAGGTATCGGATACGGAATGGTTCTTGTTTCATTTTTTGTTATCATTTACTACAACGTAATAGTTGCATACGCCTTCTATTATCTCTTCGCATCATTTACATCGGTTTTACCTTGGACCTTGTGTGATCAATGGTGGAATAAAGAAACATTCTGCAACACTACGGTCGAGGTATGATGTTACCCCTTTTCCTAATGAAATCTGCATGTCTCCACGCACGAAATCTACTAATATACGTACCCTTTTTTTAATTTCTTTTTAATAAAATAAATTTATATTAAATACATTTTGTATTTAATATATTATTGAATATAATAATTGTCCAATACCAAAACGCACTTTATAATCGCTACATTCGATCTTTCACAGTCCCTAATCAATGTAAGATACTACAGTATTATTATTATTTATTCTCAAGTACGCGAACTTCGGTTGAAATATGAAAGTATATCTCAGTTCAACCTTTCATACTCATAGAATAAATTCTATATTGGTAGTGGAGGGCAACAGCAATTGACAACTTCTGTTTTTCAGGCCACGACTTCTTCACCAGCTGTAACTCCTACGGCTACAACATCGCCTGCACTTCGGAATAGATCAACTAGCATTAGTGAAGAATATTGGAAGTAATTAGGAGTATATACTATACTTGTTCCGATATAATGCAGTGTCGTGATATTAGTTGTGTTAAGTAGGGTTGTGGACGGGTCTTACACTTTTGTTATTTGTACGATTTCGTTATGTTTTGTTTGTGTCACTTACTTCACGAAGCGGTGGACATGACGCAAAGGCGTTCAGTTAACGATACCTCACATTTTAATTATATGATATAAGAAACGCACCACGTGGCACGTAGTTGGGAAATTACGGTACTCCCGTAGTACGTGTGCCCTGTTAGGGCATAATTTTATTCCGATTTTTCTTATTTTAGTTCTTTTACGAGTTCGGGGACTGTCCGTGTTAGCCAAGTGAATATACCCCCTGCCCATAGGTTTCAGTCCTTTTACACAACTTGATGTAAAAAAGGCAATTGAAATTAGTTACCTCCATACTGGTACACATACTTCTGGAACGCCGAAAGTACATCCAGTTGACCAAGATTTATAGCTAGTTCTGACGCAGAACGCCACCTCATTTTCGAAAATGCTTAGTAAATCGCTCAATGTCAAATGCTTTGACAGAAGACTGTCGAACTCATCTGAAAGTTTGTAAAGTAAATTATCTGGTTACAGATCAAGACAGTAAGAATGCTTGCTCTCGAATGATAGATACGAGGTAGTTTCATTGGAATTGTTGAAACTGTTTCCATATGTGCTTATTATCCGGACTTAACAAATTTCAAATCTATTTAGATACCGCGTACTTCGTATTGATCAAAGTACTGGCGTTGGAGACCCAGGGCCAGTGTTGTGGGATTTATGTCTTTGCCTTCTTCTGTCATGGATTGTTGTGTTGCTCTGCTTGATTAAAGGAATAAAATCTTCTGGAAAGGTACGAAACAATTTTTTTTTCGTAATGGCGTAGTTTCTGCCTGACCAATGATTAGTTAGTAGTCATGATGGAAGCTAGCATGGTGGAATTTTTATTATACAGCCTACGTATATCTTTAATACAGATTATAATTTGCTAAATTTTGGAAAGGTTTGCAAAAACACTTTCATCATTTTAATCTCGATATTCGACCGACAACTGAATCATTAGCTCAAATAAATCATAATGTTTTTGTTTGTTTTTCAAGTCAGTTCTACCCACGCATTACAGGTCGTCTATTTCACTGCTACTTTCCCGTACCTTATTCTGGTAATCTTACTCATACGAGGCTGTACTCTGGAGGGCGCATACGACGGGATTATTTTTTACGTGAGGCCAACATGGGAAAGACTACAGGATCCTAAGGTTTGCTTCTTTTTTTTGGATCTTTTGTACAAAGGCCCTCACCAAAGCTCAAAATAAGAAAATTGGTATATACCTAGTTAAGGTTTGGGTAGTGACTAGGAATGCAGATTGCGCTATAAATTCAAATTTTCAAATCATTCCTAATCCTTACCGCGACTGAATAAATAATTACTAATTTTTATTTTAAAACGTGATGGGGGTGGTTTTCTCAATTCTCACATGTTTGGCTTTGTATAAAAGATCAGCGTTTTGTACTGGGCGTGAGCAAGAGGTCGAACTGATGCCCGAACCTGGTGTCTGGCGGTAATTGTTTTCTTTGGCATGCGTTATAACTTTTCAAAGCTCAGTTTTTGCAATTATTTAAAACTACCTCCCATTGTTGCATTGGTCCCTGAATACCCGGTCACTATGGTCGTCTATTTTAACTTCGCTTGCTCTAAGCAAGCCTCAGCTTTGTGAAAACGCGTGTCATCACATCGCTCGGGCGTGGGCAACACCTAATTTCATGGTGTATGTTGATTTATGAGAGGATAGCTGAAATTCTCGCCGTCGCCGAGAGGTTAATGTGACCGATATATTTCCTCCTGTCTGTCTACATTTGAACCCCCGTACACACTTTTAATTTCATGCTCGATTGATCTTGTAGAAACCTGCAATAAATTTATATGTTTTGAGGGTTACAGCACCTCAAGTCGTGCATGTATTTTGGTTGTTGATTGTGTTAAACAAATACGTCGGTGTTTGTGTACAGAAAAATCGTGCAAAACAAAATCTGCGCAGCGGAACTGCGGTTCTTTTCAAAAAATGCCAAATCATTCTGCAATCTTTTTACGTTTCTTCGAAAACAAGGGAAATATAGTTGTCGTAGGGAAAGATCGTGACAAATGGCAAACGTTTTTGCCAGAAATTGAAATTTGACTCGCTCAGTTGTTTAGGACGTTGGGTCAATTAATTTCGTGGAATTTGATTTTTTGCGGTGTGCGTGCATGGATTGAGTTCTACATTGTACCCCCCTAATGTGAATGGTTGCTCCTCAAGTGTATAAATAAGGGGAAAAAATAGCATCTTTGTCTCTTATTTGCTTCTCGATGGTATTTCAATGGACGCTCCAAAAGTGTGTGTACCAATATGGAGGTAACTAATTTTGCTCGCCTACTTTACATCAGGTTATGTAAAGGAACTGAAACCTATGGACAGGTAGATGATATTCACCTGGCTAACACAGACAGTCCCCGAACTTGTAATACAACAGAAAATCGGAATAAAATTATGGCCTAAACCTAACCTGGTACACACACGACGGAAGTACCTTTCAATGACTTGGTTTAGTTTGACTATGTTAAGGTGCTTTAAAATATAATACAAGTATTTATGCCATATACCTTCGACGACATTGAGCGATCATTGTCAATAAAAAATATAAATTGAAGTATACATACTGTTTTGGAAACAGATAAATTATCTAGACTCTACTAGAGTCTCAGTCGAATTAGAACTGTGAAGCAGCATTGGACCAAGCCAAATGTTATGTTTGGTAACCAAAATCAGTCATGCGTGTGACATGATGAAGTACGGTATTACCCGCCGTGCCCAATATATCCTGATTAGTGTGTACTTGTGTCAAGACGTAAAAATTAAACGTAGAACAAAATGTCAAACAGAATAAAATATTTGTATTATAGGTATGGAGCACAGCCGCAGTACAAATATTCTACTCTCTTGGAATCGCATTCGGAAGCCTTCTTGCCTTTTCGTCATACAATAAATTCAACAACAACATTGTGAGGTGACTTCATTTTCGACTTTACTAGCCACTGTGCACTGATTATTTCGTAATAATGATTATATATTACTATCGAAGTAGTGCGGTACATGTAAATGTATGTTCTGTGTTTCATACTGGTAAACCGCCTTATCCGATACAGCAGCTACTTTTGTGTGTTGTTGATTGAATTCTCAAGTAGGCGACTTAGTCGAGTTAGGCTTTAAACCGTCAATCATTTTTGCTAAGAACGAGACGGGAAAATCCAATAAGATTGCTGCATTTATTCTCAGATGCGCACGATTTGGTCGGGTTTCACATTCCACAGAGATTGTATCTCCATTTAATGACTGCACCATTTATATTTGCACAAAACTTCTTTGTATTTCATAAGGGTCAAATAGGGTTCAAAAAATGCACATTTTTAATTTGATATATTTTTCTAGGACATGGTGATTAGTGATTACCAGGCCAATTGTCTTGTCAAAAGCTGCTTACTCTCCCGGTACCCAACAATAGCAGCCAGAATTCAATGCTATGGCTTAGTATTTGTTTGCTAGTTCACTGTTTATACGAGTCTTGGTCTTGAGTAACATCTAAAGTGAATGATTTTTCAAGTGAGCATCCTGAATCTCCGTGCAAGATTGCGTAAAAAAGATTATCGAGAAAGACTGCACCGTGCAGCATTCGGAGCGTCGCTCCAGAAGTGTGTGTACAAATATGGTAACAAATTTTGTTCGCCTACTTTACATCAAGTTGTGTAAAGGAACTGAAACATATGGGTAGGAGATATATTCACTTGGCTTACACAGACAGTCCCCGAAAAATCTGAATAAAGTCATGGCCTAACCCTAACCTGGTACACATACTACGGGAGTACATTCGCAACCGTCTGCATATTTTGCATTCCCTTTTATAGTTACTTTTATTGTTCTTTTTATTTGTGCAGGGACACTCTGATTGTGTCAATTGGCAATTGCGCGACCAGCATTTTTGCCGGCTTCGTGATTTTCTCCGTTCTTGGTCATATGGCGTTCAAGCAGAGAGTTATGGTGGAAGACGTGGCAGATACAGGTAAACCATAGGACTAATGTAGTTTCGTTAAAGAAAAAAAAGTCATAATACGAAGTCGTCGAACACGTCCGACATGCTTAGAATTTAGAAATCTGAGCTTTACGATCAATGTTGCGAATTTCTTCGCCTCTTTATCGAAAAAACGATCTAATTTAAGGAAATAAATAGTGAAAACACACCAGGTCTTTAACAGCCTGATTTAGATCTCGACGTACCTATCCGATTTCTTATTAAAGCCCTTCTGCTCTTCTTTTTGAGCCTTTCTCCTGTCAGATAATTGCCAATTGATGTATGTTTTTGACATCCTCAGTCAATAGTCTATGCTGTTCAATGGTGCGTAGAAAGAGGTTCACGCAAGGCAATTTTTCACCTGGAATCCTTTCGTATAGATAAACGTTTGAACTTGGGAAACGCCAAAATAAATAGTGATAATGCACCTTGGCGTTGAAAGCCTAAATCTTTAACAACTTGTCATATTTAAACGTGACTTGTATACGCATAAGCAACGATATATTAAATTACCGCGATGAAATGGAATAAAAAAAAATTTGTTCAGGTTCAATAACAGCTATTTCACTGTAAAGTATATTAAAATTTACAGAATTCGATGAAAAATTGACTTAATATATTTTTTTTATATATAATATTTATATATAGTTCATATTTTTTTATTTAATCTATCATTAACAGCTTGCTGAACATATAGTTTCATTTATAAGGTTTCAAAATTTTGTAACTGTTTTTTTACAGGGAGACTTAAAATCAAAAACAGAGCTCCTAAATGTCTAATTACTTTTATGCAAATGGCGGGAATTATCAAAATAGGTTTAGATTTAAACTTCTGTTTGAGTATGTTTTATTGTACCTGAAAGTTTCAGGAATCTGGGATATTTTGCACAAAAATTCGGTTCTCTATACTATAGAATATGTCCAAAATGACCTTATCGGCGTTCGAGAAAGACTTGCAAAGTTAAGAACACTGCTTGTATTCTGTCTAATCAAATAGCGTTGCAAATACTACAGTATCATTATCTGACTGCATCAGTAAGCTGAGCCTTAATTTTACATTTTATCATCATTCGGTGTTACAGGTCCTGGACTAGCATTCGTTGCTTATCCACAAGCAGTTGCTTTGCTTCCTGTACCGCAGCTTTGGTCGATTTTATTCTTCTTCATGCTGTTGACACTCGGATTGGATAGTCAAGTTAGTCCTTTATACTTATGGTCGCTAAAAGGTCTGTTGTTTCTTTTGAAACGGGAAAATTCCGCAGTATAATATGCGATCATGTGCAACTGCAATATTTACCCACCTTGGAAAAAAAAGAAAATTTTTAAACGTTTGATACTTTTCAATTGTAAATATAATTGCATATTTAATCAGATAAAGACTGAGGCAACATCGATGATATCTGCATATATTACACTAATGTTATGTCAAAAAGTCTTCTTTCCAGTCGCCGATGCTCATTGACGGGGTCCTACTACACACTTGAACTTATTTTTTTTTTTAACAAATTTTCAACGCGAATCCGCGATTTACTTTCAGTACAGAAATAATTCACTTGCTTTTGTATTTAGTTTGGAATGACTGAAGCCGTACTGACGGGATTTATCGATGAATTTCCAACACTTCTTCGACCTCACAAAGCAATCTTTACCACCCTAGTCTGTGTTGTCTGTTTCTTGATTGGATTAATTATGGTTACACCGGTATGAAATAGAATTCTAGAATTTTTTGTGTTCAGAGAAACCTTTGTTTTTGCTACTTTTTTTTGAAGCGATTTCTTTGTATAGTTATCCAGTTACGGTAATGTTTTTCATGTAATTCATATACCCAAAATACTCAATATTCAAGTTGATGCAATCTGAAAATGTGCCCAGTATTCAATGCTTCATTTTATATATACTATTTTATAGTTTATAAAAATGCCCTTTTCAAGTAGACTTGTGATATAATTAGGCTCTGTACAGTCGAATGGCTTTTTACCCATTCACGCAGTAAAGTCACACTTGCTCGAGAATCTTTTTGAAGACATTTATGTCCCAACAAAAACTATAATTTTGGAATCTTTCTAACAATTTATTATAACAGTAAAACCTGTTGAAATATCGACTGTCAGTTTAAATGCGTTTAATATCCCATTTTTTCACTTACTAAGACGTATCTCTATTTTATCAAAAAGCACCAAGATTATTCTCTGATTAATGTTGTTAAAACATAGTCCACAATATTTTCTTTGATTGTATTACCCCGAATACTGTTCATGAAGTGTGGAATTTTTACAGTTCTTTCCTTACGATATTTTAAAATTTCAGGGAGGATTTTACTGGTTCAATTTGTACAACTGGTATTCGGCATGGTATGGCCTGCTATTTCTGGCTCTGATGTTTGTGTTGGCTATATATTGGGGATATGGTAAGTACAATCTATGTGCTTCTTGGAATTCGTTCTCTATGCCTTTCAATTATCTATTCATACAACTCTCTTTTCCAAGCTCTAACAATTACCCCAAAAGAATATATTTTGGAAAACACCAACCCCTCAGACAACGGCTTGAAAAATTCGATATTTCATTTCTGTTATATATATTGATACGAGTCTGTGTGTGTGTGGTTAATTCCAATTCATGAAAGTACGTCTGCCGAGTGTTCAAATAATGTTATTTCACGATCTCTTATGGTCATGGTAATTTGAAATATGAAAAGTTGTTTTCACGTCGGTTTTAGGTTTTCTGTTCACGTATCGTTGGAGGCTGGATAAAGACATTGAACTTATGTTGGGTAGGAAACCAATGTGGTATTTCAGAATCTGCTGGGCTTTTGTTACACCGGTCATGCTTGTGGTAAGTAGCCAATCAGTGTGAGGCTAGATTTTAGTAGGTTCTAACTATAATATTATACCTCTGTCATTGTCTGATTTCAATGGGGCAAAAAGCAAAAATGAAAAATAGACTACAAAACACAGTAGATGAGAGAATTTGCTCAAACTAAAGTCGATGCAAAGTTACAGGTAATCACTGGAATGCAAAGAGACTACAATTTCATGTATGAAGGTGCACTCACTCAGAGGGAAGATACTCTTCTCTGAGCAAAATCACAGGGGCTACTGCTATGCCAAGAGTTATGACTGTTACTTTCAGTCCTGACACTGTGGAAATAGCTTGTCGAAATGAGGTGGAGTGATTTTCAAGTTTACAGAGTCGAAAGTTAATTTGGTTGACACTACAAGAGCCGGAAGTTGAATTTCAACATTAACTGAACTTGAAGATTGCAGACGATATCGTAGCCAAACCTCATTATTATTGAGCTGTATTGTTTGTATCTGGAGTCATAATTCTGAATTTTGTTTACCGGAGTTAGAGTTTCTGAGCATATCGAAGTCGAATGGACATGAAACCATTCTCCAATAATAAAGGCCCTGAACTTCCAAGTAACTGAAAACTAATATCTCAATTTACAGTTCGTCATTGTGATGGCATGTCTCAGCTATGGACCGATATCGTTGTCTGGAGAGGTATATCCAAAATGGGCGGATGACCTTGGTATGTGCATGTCAGTTACAATTGCAGCGGTTGTGCCGATATATGCAGTATATGCGATGATAAAAGCTGTGGTAAAAGGGGATTCGATTAAAGATGTAAGTATGTGTGCCGTGTATGCATTTGGTTTATCTCAGGAAAAGGTGCAATGAAGTTTTTGATAATACGAGCCCATGTGGAATTCATTTGACTTTTATCCTTCCACTCCTATAGTACGCAATAGCTCCTGTCTTAACTTATGAGGATATCAATCGTCGTAATCTGTTACATGTTAAAATAATTCTGCAAAAATTAAACCACTTCCAATACAAAACTGCAAGTTTTTGATTGAAGTACCTTGTGAATGGTACGTGTCGCACAGCCATTTAAAACATAAAGTTCGGTCACTTTTTATCGGATGCAATTCTTATTGTCACAGCTGTTCAAGCCGGACCCATCGTTCTGTCCAGCTGATCGAACCATTGCTTACGATCATCTTCATGGAGCTGTGAATGATCACAAGATGACTGCTTATGCCGTCAGTCCGTCTTCTTACCAACAAAAAGTGGATGATTCAATTCCAAACGCTTATCCTGAATTGTAAAGAGATACGTTTCTCATAATGTCTAGTCCTACTAATACTGAAACTTACCGCCCCGAAGTCAGCAGTAGAATAGTTCTAAAATATTGCATTAAATCATTTCTTTCTACATTTTCTATGATGTAAAAAAGGTTATTTGTAAATGAGAAATACGCGGCGCGATATCGTAACTCCGTTATCAGGAAAAATCAGACTATCGGGAAATCCCCTAGGATAATTATATATACACTAATATTAATAAGCTGTAATGGGCAGTGAATAAATATATAATATATGTGCGGTAAGTGTATTCAGTATAATGAAAAAATAACTATTTGTTACTAATCACGACTTTTCCGACGTTCTATGAATATCAAATTGACAACGGTGAAATATACTGAAAACGGTGATATATACTGAAAATAGATGTATAAAAAGTTCATTTTTACCTTGGAAATAACGTATAAGCTTGATTTTTTATGAATGAAGCGAAAACGGGGGTAAAAATATTAGTTTTTTTTGTTTGCTGTTGTATAGTTATTTTTTCACTATATAGTGCATACAGATAATGTAACATTGTAATTTTTATAAATTCAAATATATGAATAAAATACATAACACCTTGCACAGTAAGGCATCTTAAAATATACAGTAAGTATGAAAACAATGATGTGCTGGGATGTAGCAAGGTTTGGTATAGTATGTTGAAGATGACAAGGCATTTAGTGCTAGTCCACACCTAATAAAATACAAAATTGCATCTGGTATATGAAATGGCATCGTATAGTTGATTGTACGTTGCATATCACAGACTATACTTACATTACCGTGGTTTCAAAATTGAGCTTGGAAATACAATTCAAGAAGCAAATAAATAAATAGCACTTACTACAAAGTTAACTACTTCATATCTACAATTCATGATTAAGTAATAAAATAAAATGCGATCAGTCGATATAAAATTCTGATATTAGGAAGGTATATTTCGGAATTGATGTACAATTTATTCAGTGCAAATAAAATACATAAGATAATTGAGCGGAGTTAACACTAGTTTAGCACATTAATCTCCTGTAAACAATTCAGAGTTAAAGGAGTCGCATCAGGTGAAACGTCAGATATAGATAGATATACATAAGCAAATAGTTTGTTTCAAGCTATCATGTATCTAAAGCAATAAAATGTCAAATCAAATACGAGAATGTACAAAAAATTTATAAATTTACCAAGAGACAGGATTGAGGTTCATTGAATAATAAATTATTTCAATATAAATGAGCACATGATTCAACCCAGATCGACAAAAGTTCTATTGAAATAGCAAAGAATAATTATATACATAGATATGTACTTTACAGATATAAAAGAGGGCAAGCATTATTAACAGCCACACACTTTGGTATTATGATGTTCTAGGTATTTTTCTTCCCCATTGGGGTACAATATTCAGTTTAAAATAACATAAACAACTGATTTGCAGATTGCTACAGAGAGTCGAAAAAAGTTGAGTGAAAGCATTGCTATATTTTGTTCATTTATATATAAGTGCCAAGAACACGACGAACCACAAAATTTAGAATAGGCTGAGGCCCGAGCAATCTTCCCATCCATCTGTGGCTCTCCAAGTGGCCACGTGACGCCTTATTTCATAGCCAACAGCAAACCAGTGCTCACCGGGGATCTCAGTAGTATTGACTATTGCACATTTTGACACTACAAAATCCCTGTCTGTGGCGCGAATCTCTTCTTGAATATGGCGCAGGAAAGCTTCATATGAAAATACACCTGCGAACCAATTTCCCGCGGAAAAATTATCAACGGCGTGATGGAATATTCTTGAAATCTCTTCATAATCTGCCCTCCCAGATTTTATGAGATTTGTGATACTTTGGAGTAAGGACTTGAAGTTCCCATCCTTCGCTCGGCCCAGGCAATGTCGCAGTAATTGCTTTATGAATTCGATAGTAAGACGATGTTCGTGGCCCATGTTGCCAGTCTCTCCGGAAGCATCCACAAGAAAATATTTCAATTCTCTAATTCTTTGAAATAAATTAAATGCTGCATCGATAGGTGTCAATTGATGTGACAAATGAAAATTAACATCGAGAAATTCGATTTTTCGAACGATTTCGCAAATTTGAACATCATTAAGACGAATCGGTCCTGTGTTGCTGTGTAAGCCGATCATGCAATTAAACATCTTTATCACTTTATCAGGAATATTAAAAAGTGACGGGTTCGATAATTTGATTTCCCAGTCACGTTTACGAAGATTGAACGCACTACATATTGAGATATAACCGCATTCATCTCGTCCTTGTTCATTCGGGTATAATTTCACCTGGCCGTCAAAATACTTCAGACCGATTTTTAATAAACGTTCTCTCAGAAGATTCAAAGCGTAGTGCATAGGGACCGAGTCGACTAATACGAACGTCCCTGAATATTGTACCAAGGCATCACTTTCCGGCTGTATTGAATGACTGTGCAATGTTTGAGTTTGTTCAATAGAGTTGGTAGTCGAAATTTCGAGTATTGTGGTTTCCCATTCCATGGAAGTCCTTGTATTCTGGTTCCCATGTATGTCAATGTGCAGTGTTTGCGTAACAACAGAGTCATTGGTTAAAACTTCGAGCATGGTATTTTGCCTTTCCACATATTCGCAAGCAACGCTCGGATCCGAATTGTTTTCATCGTTCAAATTAATAAATCTTTGCCCGCTAATACAATTATCTGTTTCATCGCTCTCTTCGTCTGCCCGTTTCGCTAACAAAGCAAAGTTTGCATTGTCATCACTACTTTCTGAATGTGTACGTTCATGGGCCATTGCGAAAACAGCTCGAAGTTCAAACCAGTGACTGAGACACCGGCCTTGCCGATAAGGGACACGTAAAATATCTCAATAGCACAATGAAACATAATTTCCTCCACACGCACGAACTTGTCCAACTCTAGCCCTAAATCTGTGACTGCTTTCTGAAACCCTCTGTGCCCACTGGTATTTCGTAACAAAAATTTCACTTCCTGTTTCATGTAGGTGTCACATTCAGGTAAGATCCGTTCTGGCTGAGTGAATAAAACTATATGCACACACACAAATATCCTTCAATACCGCCTGCCATTTAAATTTTGCCAGACGATAAATAAATACAGTATAATAATCGCTAATTCATTTATACAGTGCCATTGTATAAAATAATATAGATGGATGGAATTTGATTTTATGCGTTCGTAGGCCGTTCTCATTACATACAAAAATACCACAACACAAAAACAATGAGTAACAGAAGGGATTTGAGAAAATTTAGAAACACGTATTTTGCGATCGACATCGTCACACTATTGATGACCGGTGACTTTTCAGGTACCCATGTACTCTCGAAATTTCCGCGTGAGTTTTTATTCACTATAATTTTATTCTATAAGTAATCATTATAATCATTTGATCTAGTTTCATTTTAATACGTGGGTGAACACAAAAATGAAAAATATCATTTCGTTCGATAACGAAAAACAAAAAATGGTGGACAACCGCAAGATGCTTAATTAATCTGGCATCATCTGAATTTTCTAACATATGGTTTTAATTCAACAATATGACGTTGAATATTTCGTGTCATATCATAATCGAAATAATATAACACGCGTAGTAGAACACGCGTCCAATTTCCCTTTTGTAAAAAGTAAAATTTTCAAAAAGAGTTTTGCTTAATAAATACGAATATGTTTTAAAGGACACAAAACAGATAAAATTTAACTTTAATTTAATTTTTAACACGTAAAATCAAAAATTTACTGCGTGCTCAAAATACATTTAAATAATTCACCTAATAAAAAATATCAACAGGAACACTAATTTTTACGCGTGGGGTTAATGATGAAATTTTCTTATTGTGGTTATCTTTATTCAAAGCGTTATAACAAGCTTATTAGTCCGGCTGTTTTCAATCTGGTATATTTCCTACTTCGGGACTTAATTTATTCGAGATGTTGGACTTTTTTACTATTTTGAGTAAAGGTGGATTTGTGCTTTGGTGTTACACTTTTCAAGGCATCAAGACAAATATATCAGAGCCAGTTAACGCCCTGATAAAAGGTGTTATTCTTCAGGTAACGATTGGAATTTTTTAATTCTATGCATCTGCGCGTCAAGCACAACTAGGTACCGTACCGAGCTAAGGATTATTTGAAATTCCAAGTATAGAATTAGCTACTACTTTGTTTTTGTAATTTTTAGTCAGAGGCAGAAACCAAACACCTACGAACAGTAACAATGTTTCAAATCTGCAAATCAGAAATAGGTAGTTAAAGTTTGATTGTTGTATACCGGTACCTGTCCGTACCTCCTGCCAATTTGCCATTGTTTAATGTGTAAATAAATGCTGGAATGAGGGGTATAGCGAAGTACACGCCGTACCATAAGTGTCTAAATAATGCCAAACAAAAATGTTATGTGAAAATGAATGCTGAGAGGGCTTAAATAACGCAAAACGAAATATAATATCTGAATGTAAAAATAGAACCCAAATTGCAATAAATATACTGGTAAGTCTGTCATGTCGGAACGCACAGTACCCATCTGGCATGCCCTGTTTAGTTGAAAATTGAGTGGTTTTGATTTGACTAAACGCGTCTGTCAAGAATTCTATTCTTCACAAAACAGATGTTTTTAAAAAAACACCAAAATTTCATATCAAATTTTTGTTTGGCATTATTTGACTAAGCATTTTCGGCGCTCATTTCACATCAGATTTTTGTTTGGCGTTATTTCACTAAGCAGTTTTGGGATCTATTTTACATTACATTTGTTTTGACGTTATTTAAACACTCAAGGCATGTACTTTGCTAGACCGGAAATGGGAGTAGTGGAGCTTGGAAAATTCATTCCCATATCATATTTCAAATTTGCATCATTTTTCCAGGTTTTCCCAAACTTTTTTGTGTTCGTTGGTTTTTTGTATGGTTTTTTTTTTCTGGGAAACTGAAACAGACTTATACTATACTTATCAATTCTCCATATTTTCAGGAGCGAGGTGGAAGTTCTCGCTTTGATCATGGATCATTAACATTAAAATATAAACTTGACAATGAATTTGAACTTGTGTTTGTGGTAAGTTGGATAATTCATTTTGTATATGCTTTTTACCTCAAACTCAGCCCAAGTCTAGCTTATCAGAGGGATTTAATTTATTTTACAAAGCTTGCTTACATCAGGAAGATTATGTTTTTAATAATTGAATATTTTTTTTTTTATTCATGGCAATGTTGAGTTCGCTGTTTTGTTCACAATAAAACTACACCATTTCTCCTTTCTGATTAATTTAAATAGTTGAAGATCTATTTGTATATACATCATGATTTACAGAGAAAAAAACAGGATTTTTATCATTTGAATTCTCAAATATATATATTATCCCAGAGCACTATTATTTTTAAACTTCAGTATTTTGTATTTCAGTATTTATTTTTATATTTCTCTATTTTAGCATTCATGTTTTACATTCGTGGATGGGTCCCATGATCGTATGTTTCGGTTTTTCCCAGTTTTAGTTCAGTGATGTTTTTTGTTTTGCCATTAGGTTGGTTATCAGAAGATTTTATCTCTGACGTATATTGACAAATTTATCGACGATGTCCACCGTACTTTTAGAGATCTTTACCGGCAAAAACTGGAAAATTCTGGTTTTATCAAGTTGATCAAAGAGGAGTTTGAATATGGAGAAAAATTTCTCAAAATGTTAAAGTAAGCCCATAATTTTTTTTCGTGATTTCCTTATCATTATGCATAGCAGTTGCCATAGCAGGTTCCAATCTCGAAATGAGTGAATATGCATGAGTGGATCACTGGAATTTCTGACAGATTTTATCGCCCATGTCTCTGAAGTTTATTTACATCCCACTTATTCACGAGTTATGCTCCAAACAAGTTTTTTGCAGGCATCCTAATATCTAATGATATGTAGGGAGCCATTCTTTTTGTAAGTACCAAAATCTGTACAATTTGGCATTGCCTATCAATTTATTACACTCTGTGTAAGACAGTGGGCACAGGGTTCAATCCCAATATTTTTAACCTGTGATGTCAGCAGAGTTGAGTCTAACTCAGGCGGGTAAGGTTTTATAACCAGGGGCTGGCGGGTCATGTAAGTGTGACGTAAAAAGTTACATTTTATGAACAATATTTACAGTGTTACAAAGCAAAGGTGGAAAACAATATGCCTCGTGCCAAAACTAAATTTAACCGCAATTTCAACAAATTCTTGAGCTATTTTTAGCTAAAACATCAAAATTTGATTTCAGTTTGGTTGTGGCAGCTTCAGGCGGGCCAGATTGAATTACGCAACGGGCTGGGTTTGGCCCACGGGCAGTACTTTGCCCATGTCTGGTCTAACTGCTTTGGCATGCCTGAGATAGGGGACAACTTTTTAAAATGAATATGGCCCTCTCGTTGTGTACATATATTCATATATCTGGCCATGCTTGTCTTATTGTTAGTTTTAGGTGAGTTATAAATGACGTTAATGATATTTCATCAGGGCTGCTGAAGCAATTAAAGTGCAAACTAAAATGAAGGATTTCCATGAATCTGAAAAATCTAAGAAAACTGTCAAATCATTGAAAATGGACAAGAAAGAAAAAGATAAAAAAGTTGAAAATGAAGTTGTTGCTCCAGTTGTTGTTAAAGGTTGGATTGTTAATCGATTTTTACCCTCAATGTCGACGATTTTTAGCTAATTCCATATTGTGAAGTATCATTCTTGAGTTCTATCATTCATTCATATAGTGGATCCCAACCCCTTTCCTGAAATTCCTCTCTCACTGAGCATAAAAATTACCAATTTATTCAATCTTCAATTGATTCTTAGCTGGTGTTATGCACAAATCACACTTCCGTTTTTGTGCAGCCCAGTTTATAGTGTATGAAAAAATAGGTATTATAGTAATAATAAAGAACTAAATCATTTTAGTATTCCCCAGGAACGCCGAAATTCCTCCCTGGAGAGATTCTTTCACGATTGGGAAATGTGGATAAATATATTAGACTATGATCCTATATCTTGATTATACAGGGTTTCCAAAAAGTTTCGCCCGATTTTATGGCAAAATCAAATGTAAATTCAAATAAATTTTATTGTATGATAGTTGATAAGTACAACATCCAACATCTATAACATCCAATTCAATACAGGTTGACTATAAATCTTTTCACAATTAAAAAATAAATTATCATTTGGTTTTGAAGACTTTATGATCGGGCGAAACTTCTTGGACACCCTGTATGTTTATGCAAAAGCATTTTCCATTCACAAGTAGCAATCTCAGAGGATGTTGTTTCCTTAGTGGTGAGAAGGTGAAATGCTGTAAGAGACCCAATGAGATATTTTATGTCCCATATATTTATTATTTAGCCTATATACAGTATTTCTAGCATTAATAATCTCTAGTATCAGCAAAAATTTGTAAAACAATTAATATTCTTGTTTAAAACTGCTCAATTTGTATTTGATTTTTTTTCTGATTATACAAATCGTTCTATCATCAGACATGATGTAGGTTTTCACATGAATCACTATTATCCTGGTGTTTGAAACTATGAAACAAGCAGCTTAAATTCATTATTTATAAGTTTATTTTTATATTCTAATTCAATTCACTCAAAGTATTACATTTTCAACCTATTTATTTTATCGTAGCGAGTCCAAAAGCATCTCCAAAAGCCAGAGGAGGTAAAATAGTTGGATCCACAGAGTCTGACGAGGTTTCGAAAAACCGAGAAGCTTTCATTCAACGACAACTTGGGGGAGGAAAGAAAAAAGAAGCGTAAGATCTTTAAAAACTCACCGTATATTTCTTTTGATTATCAGCTAATAATGATGATTACAGCAGTAATGGTGCAACCTGAGATATGCTTGCCTTAAAGATTAAGCTATGCAGATGCTAGTACGAGTTCTCGTAAAGCAAAACTGCAAATGGCTCATTAAATCAGTTTTGGTTTAATTGGTCTCGTAAGCGAAGTGGTAACTGTGGTCATTCTAGATGCAATAATCGGCAACTTTGGGAGGCGCACTTTTATCAGATCAAAACAGCGGGGTTCGTCCTGTCACATTTCACATGCTATTTCGATGGAAAAGATTATGCTTTTCTTATTTATCTTTATAATGCTATCAAACATCCTTGTGCAAATGCTACTTACGAATTCGAAGTAGCAAGTAAACAAGGAGAAAGGACTTCTCGTTCATTAAATAATAAGCATATTCAATGTTGGTCTTCCCTGCATTTTAGTCCAAAGAAATCCGAACCTAAGCCTAAAGGCAAGAAAGCTAGAGTGTGGGAGAATGGAGGAACAACCAAGGATGAAGCAGCATATGATTACAGCAGTAAAACAAATGGGGATTCAGAACAACCACTTGTCAATGAACGGCAAGAATTATTGGACGTAGAAGTAAGTTTTTGGTTGTTTATTTCTGTCACGCAAAAACGCCCAATGGCGACGTAGCACGTAGCCATTGAAATTAAAGCTGTGCCTGGAATAGGTTATTCTGAAAGAGTAGATGCTCGAACAGGGCTTTAAATTGTGGAAACAGAATAGTGATTTTGAAGATGTAAGCCAGTCTGCCAACTCCAGATTAAAGTCTTTATACTATTATCAAAAATTTCTCTATAGTTTAGTATCGAAAGATTTTGCTAGGTTTAAACTCTGGCAGAACATACATTTGATCATTGTGACTTACTGACTTTATACAAAAATTTGCAACATTAGCTTCCTCTGTTCATTTTCTCATAACTTTATGACTACCCCAATCCTGGGAAAATACCTAAATTTAATCTTCAAGCTTTTAAGTTTTTTGAATTATCGATCTCTTTCTTAACTATGAACAGCTTGCAATGGTGGGAACAGCAAGTGGAGCAATAAAAGATCTCGAAGTAAATGAAGATGATAGCGATGATGAAGATGAATATGAGGAAGAGGAAGTTCAAAGGTTGGGTCAAAGTGCATTTCTTTATTGAAAATGAATGATACAAAAGTCGCGCTTTTAAGAAAAAGTTCCACATAATCTTGTTTGAACAGAATTCAAATATTTGCCCTTTCACAGCAGTGTTTGCTTTACTTTCCTGTATTTCTATTATTTAGTATTGGTCATCCCTGATACAATCTTTTTAGCAGCCTTGCCCGCCCTTGACCTCGGCTGAGGGTTTATCATACCGGTACTGCTACGCTAGTACCTTAGTGTCCTTGTATTTAAGATTTGCTGTCTTGTCTTAATCTTTTATCGACTAAATTGAACTGTATTTTTAGTAAAAAGTCCTCTGGAATGTTTGGTGTCTTCCGTGGTCTGGTTGGGTCGAAAGCTCTAACGAAAGAGAATCTGACTCCTGTTCTTGATAAAATGCGAGATCATTTGATTGGAAAGAATGTTGCTGCTGATATTGCTGATAAATTATGTCTATCTGTTGCTGGAAAACTGGAAGGAAAAGTGTTAGGAACTTTCAGCTGTGAGTTGTATATATTTCAAATGTTGGATTCTTTCAATCATGGAATGTGAACATAAGATATTGCTTCTGGTTAGAGAATTTAGGCACATTTATTCATTGAATTAGCGCAGTTGGGATTTTTCTGTGTGCTTTAATCTTTCTGAAACGTGTTTTTGTAGCAAAATTTTGCAAATTTGCAATATGGCGTCGGGGCATATTCTGACACATATTTTGGACCTCTAAAGAAATTTTGACTGGATTCTGAGATTTTGAAACAAACAAAAAAATTGGTGCATGTAATCCTTTTCACTGTAATCCTTTTCCTGTTTCACTGAGAATGCTTTGTTAACTAGGTGCTTTCGCTTGGGGATTAAGACTTCATTTCATTCAAAGTGCGAGTCCCTGGGAATTCAAAGTTTGAAAATTATGACTCCACATCAAGAGTATTATTCTTCATTGTGGGGCTACTCAATTTTTTTCGAAAGATCGATATAAAAATTATCTAAATGTCTGGAGTGCGGCCGTTTCAGGAAATATGCGTTGCGCACGAGAATTTTTGCCTGTTTAAGTATCGTTATAAATGATAATACTTTTTTTTAGCTGTTGCATCAACTGTAAAGCAGTGTTTGAATGAATCCTTGGTTCAAATCTTGACTCCAAAACGTAGAGTTGATATTCTTCGTGATGTATTGGATGCTCAAAGAAGCAAGAGGCCTTATGTTATTACCTTTTGTGGAGTCAATGGTGTTGGAAAATCCACTAATCTTGCCAAGGTAATTAGCGTTGATAGGGGTTGGGCTTGGTAATGAAGTGTTTTGACTCGCAATAAAACTTTATTAATGTGAACTATGGATGCCAAAAAAAGAAAAAATTTAAATCTGGGAATTACATGTAACTAAATTCATTACACCTTTATGTGTAGTAGTTTATCCAAATGTGTTTAGGAAGTGTTCAAATTATTATTTAATTCAATTTCGAAATATTTTGGTTTCTGCATTCAAATTGTGATCTTTATCAAATTATATGGATTAATACTGCGAGAAAGTCAAATATATATAATGATTTTTGCTGCTGCAAATTATAGTCATTATGAATTTCGTGAATATATCGTTATGAGTTACCAGATGTTAATCTGAGTAACATATTGTTTTTATCCTTCATGAATTGTAAGATGATTTATGTTTTATCACTGAACTGAAAACAGTTTCTCATCGGTAGAATTAATGGTACTCCCATAGTATGTGTACTAGGTTAGATTTAGGCCATAATTTTATTCCGATTTCCCTTATTTTCGTTATATTACGAGTTCGGGGACTGTCTGTGTTAGCCAAGTGAATATATACCCCCTGTTCATAGGTTTCAGTCTTTTACACAACTTGATGTGAATTAGGCGAACAAAATTATTTACCTCCATATGGATACACATACTTCTGGAGCGCCGAATTAATTTCCTTTAAACCAGTGATATTTATTAATTTAATTTAATTCACTGTTTTTTCATGACTAATTTTTGTTTATTTAGATCTGTTTTTGGTTGGTTGAGAACGGATTTCGAGTCTTGATTGCTGCTTGTGATACATTCCGAGCTGGAGCAGTAGAACAACTTCGTACTCACGTCGCTCGTTTGAATACACTTCATCCTGCTGAAAATCATGGAGGAAGTAAAACTGTTTTTCTGTTCGAAAAAGGTTATGGGAAGGATGCTGCTGGAATAGCTATGCAAGCTATCAATGCTGGTAGGTGTGCATTTTGTAGAAATTTCAAATAATCTGGTTTATTTTTTATATGATGTTCTCCCTCTTTATTCTGATCTGTACCAGTAGCTTCTACTTTAGGGGAGGACCAGTATCTCTTTGGTATTTGATTGGTTTATCACCATACACACAAGACGACATATTCATTTCCGTCTCTCTATGCCGTGCAATTTTACTAATCAAATTAACTTTGACATTCTAACTTGTTAGATTCCATATTTGTTTTTATACTTGAATAATATATGAAAATTATTTGAAACATATTTCTGTGGGCTCTGTAATAATACATTTTCGTAGGAATCATCGCTATTGTGATTCACACTTCTTGAAATGCTGCATTGGAAAAATATGGCAATATCATTGATTCTAAACTAGGATATGACAATTTTTCGACCTGGTGTTAGGAAATTTGTATAACAAATTTTGCTTCTAATTATCATATCATATTTTATATATTTTTGTTTTGTTGTATACAAAGCTGGGAACATTCAGTCGTGAAATGTCACTTGGACTAATTTTCGGAAAAATTTGATTTGTCTAGTTCATGTAACCCACCAAAGTCTTAAAAAACCCTGAGTGAGATAAATTTTTCACTGATTATGAAGTGCATATATATATATTTATTCCAAGATTTCCACAAACAGAAATCGATATTAAATATAGGTAATTTCAAACTCTTTTCTTGAAGCTCGGGATCAGCGCTACGATGTTGTGTTGGTTGATACGGCAGGCAGAATGCAAGATAATGAACCTTTGATGCGATCACTTGCCAAACTTATTGCAATCAACTCTCCTGATCTCGTTTTGTTTGTTGGTAAGTGGAGTTTAATTGTCCAAATTTTTATCCGATTCTTACTCTGAACACGGCTATGTGCAAGCAGTCATGTGAATACCTTGTTTACCTCCACACTCGAGTGTTGGATGTTTTTTCATGACTTTCCCACTTAACAAGGCAATGTGAAATGATACGCCTGGATAACTTATTACTTATCGATCTTGATCGGTAAGTATGTTGATAGGTACTTGTCTGTCTGTTTGTCTGTGTGTTAGATGCACGCGATATCTCACGAAAGATTTTGTATGTGCATTCATCATAGCTCGGATCAGAAGCCTATTGATTTTGGATGGATTATGTCGTATAATTAGCGAGGTATTAATTAATTAGTGATGGGACACACGGTGTCATTATGGAGTAAGACCACTGTTTTGGGGATACCCTAACCTTCGATCGATAAGACTTCGGTTTCCAACCGAATTCTAGTTTACCTGTTATCTTGAAGCATGTGGATGTGGGTTGACGTAAAATTCAGTTTGAATAAAAGCAGGGTATTTAGATAACCCCGATCAAGAGCAAAAGGAAGAGGAACCATTCCATATAGAATAGACCACATCAGTAATCACTGAAAATTATAAATTTCTGCCTCGAGTGATTGTGGTGGTTTATTGTATAAATCATTAAAAGATAGTTGATTTAAACAAAGAATAGTAAACACAAATATAATAATTAAGTACTGATACTATTTGATAGCCTATAGTAGATAGTTTTATGCAATTGATATAGTTCGCCATTCAGCTGATAGTTTTTTTTTGTCAGGTGAAGCTCTAGTTGGAAATGAAGCTGTTGATCAACTTGTGAAATTTAATCAAGCTCTTGCTGACTTCTCTCAGATACAAAATCCAAGACTCATCGATGGGATTGTACTAACTAAGTTTGATACTATTGATGATAAGGTAGGAATCCTACCATAGGTTTTTATAAAAATATCTTAGTATTTTATATACTAACTACTATGGCCGAAAAAACAAGCTGTAGGATCAGAGGTTCTCGTGTTTGTGATGCTATTTGAGTCAGAAGTGGAAATTTCATACTTTTAATGGTGATTATCAAAATTTGCTTTTCGGAGCTGGAGTCTTACAGTAATTAAAATTTCTTTCAACCTTTAGTCAAGAGTCAGTTCCACTTGTGTGAGTGAGAGTTGGGGAGTCTATTATTGAATAGATCTTAGTTTGCAGCTCTGCAGAAAACAGCTGTACTCAATCTTGTACGGGTATAAGAGTAATGTACAAAAGCTGGTCCTGTTCCATAAACAAAGAAGTTGGTTTTGCGAGTCCTGCAGTAAATTAGGGAATATTCGTGCTGCTTTCAATGGTGTTGTTTTTACATGTCTAGGCAGTTCAATGCTATATGAATGCTCCAGGAAATTCTTGATCAAAAGTTGGCTGGTTGTACAAGACAGACTATTTGTGCCACTACCACCATAATATGCAAACAAACTATTGCCATATTCATTGCTACTAAGTTTCCTATTCAATATATTTAGTTACTTTTTGTCTTAACTGTAGTTATGTTCTTTTCTAGGTTGGAGCTGCTATTTCTATGACCTATACAACTGGTCAACCAATAGTGTTCGTTGGAACTGGTCAGTCCTATCCTGATTTACGCAGTTTGAATGCAAAAGCAATTGTACATGCACTTCTCAAATAAATGTTGTGATTGATAGAAGATCATTGCCTCAATGAAAACCAAGCAGTTAAAATTTTGTCCACTTTAATGAAAGTTTTTTGTTATTGTTTAATATGAAAACGAATCTATTAAACAGGGATAATAACACTTTATGCCCTGTTTATGAGTTGAATGATAAAATTCCAAATAGTACTCAATATCGACAATCGGATTTTCTTCATAGATTACCTAACAATGTGAGAGTATAAATCTATCTATACAAAGGAAATACCTTTATTATTGCAGCATCTTATTTGTTCTCTGTTCTATCTTGTAAAAATGTCTATCAGTGGTGTTATCATGTTATCTAGAATTTTTTGTGCCAAATGTGATTCCGGATTTTTGACAGATATTATAGAGAGAAGGGCTTATTTTTTTTTTCTTTTGGTGGGGCCTTCGCCCAAATTTCAAAGTCAGAAATTACTCAGCATCATATGAATGATTTCTGACTATGTTGGTGTTTACAGATATAAATTATCATTGTGTGATCTGGAAAAATGTGTTAAAAGTTGCTGACTTACAACAAGTAGATTGGACCTTGTGATAAAACCTATATGGAGTAATAAATATGTTTGCATTTTTAACAAACATTCCATTTTAAAAATGGAATTTCCAATATCTTTTCCTACTAAATTTCCACTCTTGTAGCTTGGCATCAGACTGTCTCTGATCTCTGTGCTGCTGTAGAGTATGAAAATTCCCTTTGTTGTTTCAGCAACTTCCTGCGTTGTTCAGTGCTTTTGAAAAGAAATGCAGATGCATATACTGCTGTTTTATGTTGCAGGAATTTAAATATAATATATTGACGTGGTTGCCTCATACAGAAAGTAAAGCGTCTTGTGGGGATGGGGGATCTTAGTTGTACGGTGCGACGTGTAGTAGCCTTTGTTTTGACGATCTTAGGATTTTTACATTTCTCCCCTAAAAACGGGAAAGTTGGTCGCATCACAAACCGCGGTCTTTTTTTGGGATGCCAGTCCATGTCTGGTATGGGAATAGTTAACTTGAAAACCTGCAACTGGTCAGCCATTACGCGAGCCGTCTAGCATAATTATTTCTTCGAATGTGCGAATACAAACTTAGAATTCACTTGTGAATTTTATCAACTTCTGTACAAAAGAAATACTATAGTCAGGTGGTTTCTAATCTTTTTCGTTAAATTCCCGCACTCGCCTATTTTCAGACTTTTATTTCTCGCTCGCTGTGCATAAAACCAATTTTTAATGGATCCTTAGCCGGCGTTACGCGCATGCGAAATAAAGTAAAGAAAATCAGTAATACAAAGCAAAATTCCTCCACAAGAACGATTTAATGAATTTTTATATTATTTTTAATGGAAGATTATCTGATGTTACGCGCATAAGAAATAATAGTAAAGAACTAAGATATATTTACAAAGCAAAATTCCTTCACAAAAACGACAAAATTTCTTCCCGATTGGGAAATGTGGCTTTGTCTTTTTATAGAATTGAGTTATTTAGAATATTGAATGAATGAGCCCTTATTTGAAAAACCCCTGTTTGTTTACGAGTAGGCCTACTGCAAATTCATTGTTGCTGTCTTCGCATAGATAAACGGAACTGCATGTAGTAAATATTATCCATGCACAAACCGCAACTGACATTTTTAGGAATCACGTGCTACGTATCATTGTGCAGTATCAAAAAGATCGCAGACTTCCCTTCTCGAACAATAGCTTCACGCGAACGTATCTCTTATACAGTATATTTATAATGTTTAAAATAGGAGCGAAAACGACCGACTTCAAATGAAGCGGTTGACACTACCCAGGACAGTTTTTCAGAGTGTTCTTGTGTCGTGCAAATATATACACCTCATAACTTTGAATATTATATAATGCTTCATAATATTTAACCTAAAGGTATTTAGAAACTTTTTCAGACGATAAAATGAACGTGCACTGTTATCTTTTATTGTTGTTTGGATGGGCATCCATTATTGGAGGAACAGGTAAGAGTTTAGTTTAGGTTAGCAATTTAGTTTAGGCCAGGGCCTGCCTTTGACGAAGGTCAGAGGTTCAAAAGTCCATGTATATTGAGTTCATGGAGCACTAAAATTCGTTTAAATTTGATGGTCTCACGAAGACTAACCAAAAAGATCAATATGGACAATCTTGTCAAAAAAGAGACGCTTCGTTGGACACCGGCATAAGTTATGACGATAATAGTAATTTATTGGACAAGAAATGTATGATATGTGAACGATACGTATCGTTTTGTCATTACCTTGTTGTTGTGCTCGTTATTATTCTTGTTGATATTCTTATTTTGTTCTGAAAACATCGCTTTTCTGATTCACTACAGGACAAATTGCTGTAAAATTTTCAGCGGGTAAAATTTTTTTTTTTTTTAGAAATGTATTACTTCTATTTATTTCAAAAATTTCTGTGGGATTCGTTTTTGTATGTGATGACGTTATCAAAAATTGCGCGTAGTGCACACTGCTGCACTGGTAATCACTGTGACAGATTGCATACCCGTACTACGGCGATTGCTTGGCATATATATCAGTTCGCCATTACGTATCTTGATTTTTCTCTTTAATTTTTTTATTAAATATTTAGTTCGATTTTATCCTATTTATCACGTTCTGTTAGATTAGACTTCCCCAGGGGTGCCGTCGCTCGATAACCAGTTTCACCCTGAAATGCGATCTTTTTGTATTTTCTTTAATTTGTGTATGTATAGTTCGTGCTTTCAGCATGGCGAAAAAATTAATTGCTGATTACTACTTCGTTTTAGCCTCTTCGTTCATATACTTTAGCTTTCTTTGCTTTTTATACTCACTCAATAGTAACCATCCTGTTAAAACCAAGAGTAGCAGCTGACCACACTCACGTCATAATGGGCAAAATCCTATTATATACAATATACATGATATCGTGCACAAGTATTATATTTCCAATGCCATATTATTGAGTATATAGGTACATACGAGGCGTATAAAAATTCAAACGTCTGTAACACTGTTAATGAAGATATTGCTTAAACATATGACACGTTTCTTGCAGTCACAATATCGGTCAATATTAAACTCGAACAAGGAAGTGAAAATTCCGATGAATCATACGACGAAGAGATTCAGATTCATGTGAGTTATTTTTGCAGCAATGTACAATGTACGGTTTTATAAGAGTAATGTTTAACCAGCATTTGTTAGTATTTGAAGTGGGACGAAAAATTATATGTGGACCTAAAACAGGGCTTCCCAACCTTTTTACGCTGTGGAGCCCTGAATTTTTATTCGAAGTTATTCACAAGCATTGAGATCTGTGGGGTCAGGTTACTCACTAATTAGGGATGGCGAAATCGAGTCTGGATTCGATTACAGAATCGAATCTCCGCGGAATCGACTAGAATCGATGCATTGGAATCAATTCTTAGATTAAAACTCGGATTGCAAACGATGTGTAACGTAACGTAACAATGTGTAACATACATGTATAAACTGCTTTACTGTTATGCTGAGTTGCTACGACGCCGCGAATTTCACTATACATACACCTATATTATATATATAATGCTAAAATCTGTTTTTATATAATAAAAAATCTTTGTGGGTTCTGAGGGATTCATTTTTTTGTGCGATTTTGTATACAATGACAGATTAAATACCCATTTATACTACTTAGTTTTGGCCTTCTTGTCCGCCCGTATATTTGAACATCGCTCATTTGTTTTTTCACATGGTGTGGTAACTTTGGTTAAGGAAGTATGTTTTCGCGGTAAAATATGCTTCGGAATCGAGATTCGGAATCGAGAATCGGAATCGAAAATTTAGGAATCGGATAAGAATCAAATACTTGTAAGCAGTCATACTTAGCAGCCTTACTCACTATGGAGTGCCATTTCTGCATTATCGTTCAAATGCATGCTCCTTGCTAATCTAAGCACTAATACAACAAGTGCTCTTTCGTTTATTTCAGTTTATCAAACAACAAATGAAAAGAGAAACAACTATAAAATGTACTTATTTTAATATAATTCGCACTTTATCTGCGGACCCCATGTAATCGCGCTGTAGACCCCGTTGGGAAGTCCTGACCTAAAAGCTTACCCACGGCCTTTTTTACAATATTCCTTGTAACGACAATTCTATAGCATATAGATTCTAGATACTAGATTCGAGCTTTCTGCTCAAATACTGCTTCAGTTGAGAATTAATTGCATATATTACAGGTCTCGTCTAGGTTCAATTGTGGAATATACAAAATTCTAACTCCTTATGTCTTGTCATATCATTATAAAAACTTTGCCCCATTCAAATTTTCAACATTGAAATAAGACCTAGTATTCATCTAGTATTATGTCGTATTATCATTTTCAAACTGTTCTGATTTTATTTCAACAGGGAGATAATCTGGATGGTAAGAAATTTTTTGTCGAAATACGTAGCCGTGAAAAAAGTTGAAAGCCTAATATTTTGAAGTCAAATGTGATGCTAATTTTCTTTATTGCAAAGCAAAATTTACTTAAACAGTTTTAGGGACAGGTCGTATTTAATAAGGAATAGTTTCATTACAACAGCGGTTCCCAAACTGCCTTTAAATGAAACTCAATTTTATGATCGTTAATGTGTACTTTACGCCTTTTGTTTGTAAACATGGAAATAGGCCTGAGGAATAAATGCAAAAGGTCAAATTTTCCTTCTCAAAGCTGACTCATTTCCCTTTGAAATACCTTAAAAATCACTTGTGTTCGCCAATTTCGGTTCAGCAAATAAATAAACTGCATCTCAGGAAATTGCGAAAGTAGTGTACACCTCTATTGTTACGTAACAACAGAGGCAGACACTACACAGAAAGCGACATAAAAAGTTCAAATGAATATATTGATCATATTATATACACAGCATTTCAAATAAAAAACAATAAAACATTTATATTAATTACAACATGTAAAATATTCAATCATATATTAGGTATGTTTAATACAATTATGTTAATCTTCGGGGCGCACTTTTCAAATCGTCGCTGCGCACTAGTGGGAAAATTACTTTGTTCCATTGTTACAATGTTGTAAATTGGTTCCATTACATTTGAACCCACGTACATTTGAACCCATGACAATTGCACCTGTATGCTATTGCACCTATGGAATTTTTTTTGTTTTTCGGATAGTTGAACGCATACTAACCCTAACCCATGGGTTTTAGCACCCGCATATAAATTGAACCCGTGGATATACACATGGGTTCAAATGTACGTGGGTTCAAATGTACGGTCACCTTGTAAATTGCTTAGATTTGAGGCGGGAAATGGAAGAGAGAATCAGCTTATTGCTAGAGCGTTTCCCCGGAAATCAGGTTTCCATAACTACAACATTCTATAGCGACAATGACATTACAATGAGCGTAATTAAAAGCGAACAAACAGCAAAGAGATCGCAGCTTCGGAAGACTTGCCACATCCGCAAACCACATACAAACCGAAAAAAAAAATATCGAAGTCGTATCCAGATGATCAATACAATTTCTGTAAGTGCTTTATTTTTATTTAATTCAAAACTACTACAAGCTAAGCAAATTTTATTATTGGACGCATAGTGGACCTATGGATTGTTTTACATATTGTTGTTGTTGGTTTGGTTGTGAAAAATCACATTCCCTTGCAATTATTGGACCAATTGATTTCGATTATAGCCTACTAGGAAATGGCAAGGTACCATAAGGCGCGATACCACATACTGAATTTCGCTGTTTTATTGTAATTATGGAAATCAGCTTACGTGTTACTTTGTCTCCGTATCCATATATTTGAAAGGTGGTTCTATGATCATTATTTTCATATGGTTTTGGCTTAAGTCGGCATAGGAGAAATATATACATAACGCATGATTGCCACTAGGTATATGTTCAAGTCGATGATAAATAAAGTACAACAGGTGTTAGCAAAACGATTTGATTTGCCGACGTTTCGAATTTCTTTCGACTTTTAAACCAACGAGTTCAGCAGTTTTTCCAAAAAGTGACATTTACGATTCGAAAACTAATCAATGCTGACACTGAAGGCACATGTCAGCAGATTCGCTCGTATTTTAGTGTGAAACTTATCTAGTAGGAATTGACGTCATACATTTGAACATGTTTCACTTAATCTAGCCTGCTGTCACCCACACAAAGAAAAAAACTATACAATTCTGGTGAGCAGCGAAAGTGCATTCAATCGTACACAGGCTTCGGCAAAGTGCAATGATATCAATCAAGAGCTCGGGATTATTTTTGACGGCCAGTTGTACAATGCTCTTAAAAATACCACCCGCCAACTCATAATAGAACAGAAGTCGATCAAGATGTGGACAGGAATGGAGTTTTCCCCAATTGTAAGTAAATCTGAGTTTTCACCGAAGTTCATATTATAACATTAATATTCGAAAGTATCGATGTCCGTTCAACTTTTTGATTCTAGTCGTTACTGCCGCAATAGGCTGGAATATGACACGTACTAATTTCACTTAAAAATAAAGCAGTTATTTATAAATGGTAGTGTTTTGCATTATGCAGACCTAACATGAGTATGGAAATTTATTAAAAATGAGAAGTTATCATTCACGTCACTGTACCCGAAATTCCCCAGCATTTTATGTTCAAATTTATATTCCAAGGACATTTACTTTCAGAAAGATAAAATCACCTGTCCAGTTCCTTCAAAGTTTGGAAAATGGCGTCCAAATAATAGGTGGAATGGAATGGAATATATAAATCTCACAGCAATTTATTTGCACATCGATGATACTGACGACGGAATGGTAAACGCAGAACCATCCAAACTCTTGTACAGCGTTTTGTGTCAACCTCGTGAAGATCATAACGATGTCTCCTAAATTCAACAATAAAGGCATATACTTGACGGCATCACACTTTATTAATGGCACGTGAGCAATAAACAGTTGAATAAGCATACTGAAAAAAAGAGATAAAGACAAATATATATATTATACTGATTTATATCGTATTTCAATCGACAAATCGCGTCGCGAGTTTTCAATATATGGAGCATCGCACATAAATAACGGTATTTATTAATTTTGTTTCAAACAATTTAATTTTCTGTATGAAATACGATATTCTGTACAATATCCATTGTTCGTAGAGATTGAATGCACTGTTGAATATTCGTTATATATTTTTCATTCCACTCTATTCTCTGTTCTCCAAATGTATAGGGTGTCCATATAGTCTTAAAGTTGCAAAGGGAATTTATCAATACCATATATTGTTTTGGCCTTCAAGGATGCATTAAATGAAAAAAAATACTTAAACAATTACTGATCAAATACAGCAAACCTGGTTAGGATATATTGAGAACTGACTAAAGAATTTAAATTGTAAAGGAACTTCATGGACACCCTGGCATATTAAATTTCAAGTTTATATTTCTTTAATATTGTTCCAGCATGAACTTGAGTGTAACGAAGTTGTATCCTTGTGTATGTTTTTCTTGATTATCTTTAATGGTCTCGTTTCTAATCGATTAACGAAAGAATATACAAAGAATTGATTTGATTGCGTTTCTCGTTTTACTTGCGGGCGTGGCATGATTTTTTTATTTCATCAGTTACCAATAAAGCTATTTGAGTATAAAACTTTTGAATTGGAAGGACGATGAATGTCAAGCGGGGAGCGATAGAGTGTTGGTGCTGAACTACTTTAACCTTTTTATTCCTAGTTAGAAATTTGTAACAAAAGACGCGAGGGCGGTTTCATAAGTCATGGAACGATTATACATCTTAAGTAAAACACAATAGAGCAGAGTATATGAAATTATTATTTAGAAGATGCATTCCGTTATCAGGCTTGTTATTCAGAATGGATTTTCCGTGCGTGATAGATAATAGTCTTATAATACATTATAAGAAACTGGCGGGACGATCCGCATGAAACTTGGCATATTCGAAACCAGAGAAAGTTTTATTTGTGATTTGAAGTAGGGAACCTGTCACACACGAGTGATTTTGTGGCGTAGAGTCCGTTTGGCGTCGATTCTGTAATGGGAAAGCGTTTGTCCGACCACTTGGAACTTTTTCGAGTAGCTTTGGCGTTAGAGGCTGTTTAACTAAATCGTCATATTTAGACATTACTTCTGAATTTTAAAGTAAACGACGTCGATAAATTTTGCATGTCTCGTTGTACACATTGTCCCATTTAGTAGACACCAAATCTAAATTTTCATGAATCTAATCATGTTTATTGAATTGTGTTTCAATGGAAATTCCATGAGATGGGACAGAAAGTAGTTTCCTTGGACAAGCATGGGGCATCGTCACGCTAATAGCCGAATTGCGTAAGTCATTTTTAGCAGTTTTGAGAAAAACGTAAAAAACTTCCTAATGATATTGTTATGCCATTGAGAGTCAATAATTTGCCATGGTTCAATTTTTTGATCGTAGCCGGATTTAAGTTAATTTGTATGACGCAGTTAAGTGACGTCATAATGGCGCACTGTGACTTAGTCAGGAATGTGTCTATGACTTGGGGACATACGCAATTTTGCAACTTTACTATATGCACCAGTCCTGAAAACTAAACATTCCAAAAACGAATGTAATTTTCAGTATCTACCATGTCTAATCCCAAAAATAGCTAATCAGTTTCAATTACATTATAACACGTTCTGCACACCCACCGAAATAAGACTAAGAATAAATATAATGAATAAAACAGCAATGCACCCAATATAAAAGCCAACCAAGGTGAACTGGACTCGGACAGTGAACATCACAAGTGCACGTCCTCCTATACTGTAGTATAAATTCAAACTAATACGCGCTAAGCTAGAATCCGAGATGCAAAAACTCGAAAGGGGGCATGACGCGTTGTCGCCCCGTTTGAGAGAAATTTCATCTACAAAAAACCAACAGCGTCGTTTTACGATCGCGCATATTGGTTTCCCAGTCAAAACGATATTATTCTGTGCGTTATCACCGTACCGCAATTAACACCGCCTGACTTTTTTGACTTCACGATATGGTATCTTTTTTTATTCGGCGCTGATAATTATAAATAAGAGTGCGTGATTGTTGATTGCAATTCCGGAAGGCGTATTTTTATTTCTCTCCATGAAACAGACATGTACGAATTTTACCGCCGTTATGGGCACTCGAATAGAGAGAAGGAGACTTCCTTTTCTGACTCAATCACTTTCATTAATACAAAGTACAGCGCATTGAAAAGCAAAATATAATTTATTAGCATTGATTTACAACGAGTTACGGGTAAGAATTTACCGACGGCTATCGCTAACTGGTAGCAACGATAATTGTGTAAAGAAAAATTTCCTTGCCTTTTTGCGTCATATTTTTCAATCCCTAATTTTACATAAAGCGTGTCAACACCGTTTTTGTAAATTTAGAAACGTCGAAACAAGTAAGTGAGACAAATATATATATATATTTATTTTACGTTATTTGTATTTATTTTACTTTTATGTATTATTATCAACACTTGATATATGAACCATGGAATATCATACTGTTTTTGACTGTTTTATTTCGACTTGGGGGAATAAACAGGAAAATATCCATATCTATTCAACACAAATGCTGATTTTTAGGTTTCTCGATCTCGCCAAATTTAACGAAGCGCTTTCGCGACGAATCGGAACAGAAAAAGCGAAAGAGCGATTGATTACACGACGCCAATACGTCGCCGTGATAATTAATGTTGCGATTATCAAACAGTAATATGACGACGGAAGATATATTGCGTAATAAACTAACACAACTTCGTCTTTTCGGCATCGGTGAAGCGATTCAGACGGCAGAGAAACAACAAAACGACGGGATTTTCCGCGGACCGGTAAAAATCCTTTGCGGACCGGCGGTTAGGAACTTAAGAACATGTGTGAACACTGTTTATTTCATGTCTGATTTCGGAGCTAGGCGAGGCGCTTGCATTGCACCCGAGAAGTTCTAACGAATGTGAAGATTAATTTCGATAAAGTAACTATTTGTAATTATTGCTGTTTTGATTAAGGCAACCCCTCACCGGGTTAGGCCCTCGACAGCAACGAAGCAAGAAGAAAAGAAACGAAGAAAAAGATGAATTACGCCGAAGCCGCCTCAACAACGTCTACACCTACAAGAGAAGAAACATCTGCACCGACTACACGACCCCGCACTCTGTTCCTGACTACCACCGAAGACCTGGACTTCCCTTGATTGTTCGACATCCTTAAGACCGACTCAACCACCTGCAACTACGTCGACCACATCACGGGACTCTTCGAGGGAAGAAAAGGTCAGTGGATATGCACCTTTGCCGCCACCGAAGACCCCAACTCTAGCTGCCGCGATCAATTCTTGCACGACACAAAGGGTCAAATAAGAGTTTCAGGCGGTACTATTACGGTATCACTGCCAACCGAAGCACCAGTTCGAATATCCGTTCGATGGATACCGGGAGAAACGTCCTACAAAAAGGCTGTGGCTACAATCGAAAGACTGCAGTGCGGAAAAGTGCGGAATGCCACCAGAAACTGGTACAAAGGTACGACTATTTATAATGGATATACTTCTTTTTTTATAGAAAATTTTAAAAAAGACCGGTTACCTGATTATTTGATGATTGATGGAAAGAGTTGTAAGACGTATTTACCCCGAGAGTTGTATGTGCCAACCTGCGGAAGGTGCTTGAAGCCCGGTCACAATTTCATTGAATGTGAGAGCGAACCCGTTTGTCGCTATTGCAAAGAAATGGGGCATATTCTAAAGGATTGCCCATCCAAACGGAATGATTTTCCAACAACTTCTGGATATACATGGACCATACCAAAGCGAAGACGAACGCAGACAACCAACCCACATTATTCGGAATTACAAACCAATATCATTCGAAATGCTTCACAACCTGCTGCAACTTCAAACAACTCAACGGAACTACCAAATGACGTACAACCTACTGTGGAATTACAAATGACGCACTACCTAATATGGAGCTACAAAATGGCGCACAACCTAATATGGATATACGAGAATTACAAAGCACAGTCAACCAAAACGTCTTACAACCTGCAACAACTCCAGAAAACTGCTCGCACAACGCCACAACCAACAACAAGCAAGGCAATTCGATGCCAGAATCTGACTTCGTCTCGAAGGTACATGAGTTCTCATCCTCCTCAAACTCCGATGATCTAAAAGAAATAAGTAACTGGTCAGAGTGCGAAGATGCGGGGAGCGTTTTGAGCCCTCTATCAACACCGCCGAACCTACCACTGCCCAAACAAACAAGGCAATCGTCGAGATTGAAACAAACGTCGACGATAGGCAACACTCCTTTTCATCCTCCATCAAAAAGTAACCCGTATGTGAGAGTGATGGTGCGAAACATCCAGGCTCCGGACATATCAACCTCTTCCGTCTTCAGCACCACACCTGATGAAACATCCTCTGCACCAGCAGTTCTGGAATATAACAAATCACAATCAAATACCGTGGACTTAAATGAATCAAATCTCGACAATTCGGATTATGCTAATAAAAGAAGCCGTGAAGAAACGTCATCAGACTCGTCATTTTCGACCACTTTGGAATTTAGACTTGTTGGCAAAAAGAAAAAATAGTTGTAAGTTAATTCGGACCCCACAAATCAAAATTCTGTAACCTGGACATTTAATTCGGCCTTTAAACATCGAGCGTAAAACAAACTGCCCAGTTGATGGCATAAAACTCAACTTGATAATACCATCCCACTTATAGCGGATGTGATGAATGGAAGACTACCTCTTCATGTGATATATAAAATGGTGATCTCTATGGCAAAGAGAAGGGATCCATATAACTTCCGTCGGCATAGTCTGGGTATGAAGGCAATTGGGCTGGATTCCAGACTTTGTCGTTCTGATCCGTACTAAAAAAAAAAAAAAAAAAAAAAAAAAAGTAATCGTATTATAAGCGATAGCGTGGCCTGGAATGTCGGATTTCGAATAGAATATAAGAATATCGAATGACAGGTGCACATCCCAGCGCCACCCATCCACGTTTTAATTGAAAGTATTCCACAATTATTTTATGTTTTATCGTAATTGTAGACCTTCGCGCCACATTAAATTACAGCCGGCACAAGAGGATTTAAATCAACGCCGACTTGAAGTACTTATAACGTTGAGGATGTTTTGAGTGAAAATATTATACAATTATTATCTTATATTTCAACTTAGTTGAGATAGTCTGGGCGACCACGACATTAAATCTAAAAGTATATATATATATTGTGTCGTAATTAATTGTTTTCATCCTCAGCTTCGATAGTGACTGAGCATAACGATATTTTTATTTTATTACTTGCAATCTTATATACAGCGTATAAAATCTTTAAAATAAATATTATATATATTATTATATATATTATTAAAAAAGCTTTAAGCTTTAAATATTATTTAGTACCCATCGCGGATTTTATCGTTCGGTTTAAGTGTAAAAAAAACGTAACAGACGAAAGCCGAAAAATAAAACTCAATTTTCGATCTTAAATTGAGCAAAGAATTATGGAAACTTTCTTCGTCAACGCCGCAACAAAGTATGAAATACATGCGGATTTATACGAAGTTCAAGAAAATACAATGTTCATTTTATTCGGGTATTGCAAATAATATATGTTTATTCCAACGCAAATGTTGCTTATTAGCTTGGCTATTCGTCCGTTTTATTTTGTTCGATTTCGTTTCGTCGGCAAGTGCCAAAGTAAGTTAAACTATCACAATTACAGAATTACGTAAACAATTTTGTCGTAATTTCGGAATTGATTTTGGTCTTTACGTGCAAGCCTAACAGTGACGTCACAACGCTCCACGAAATCAATTATGACGAAATAATAGAACGTGTTAAAAAGCTCGGGCAAATGATATCCTTCCTAGTCGCGGAAGTTGTGTCGGGGGCGGCTTTATGGCCCAAATGAATAATAAATTGAAAACATCATTAAATAAAAATTATTTTTTGTTAAAAACGGGTGGTCTTTGATAGAAAAAGATCCGTAAATAGATCATGTGCGAGAGGATGACCCTTCCCCGAGCATCGACTTCCTTGTCTACTACGTGACATTGGCCAATCAGCAAGATGCAAAAAGTGGCGTAACAATGCTTCCTTTGCGCATCCGCTCAGACACTTTTCTCACTCAGACAGCTTTTCAAGCGTGGTCGTAAACATTACCTCGTTTTCGAACTCTATTCGTTAGTTTTCAGCTGTGTTTAGGAAACTTAAATATAAATCAGATAATTCAATGATCACTCTGTCTTTCTAGAAGTTTTGTTGGACTCCTTGCCGCCGTAGGGTGGTTCACATACGTCGGTTACGGCTTCCTCAACCATCAAGTTCATGCTTCCGAAAAGAAATTAATGGCTAACTAATCCCATACCCGACCTGAACCGGTAACCGGACGAGAGGCCGTGGTTCGCCATACGATTAAGCCGTCTTATCGGCTTTCGTCTCCACCGGGATAAATATGTAAATCCTTCCTTCCTTCCAACTAATTTTAGATTCATTCCCGCTCAGATAAATAGTATAGCGCACTGCTTCTCAACTAGTGGGCCATGGCCCACAGATCGGTTGAAAGTTGCTAGTTTTATGTATGTCACAATAAGTAATTTTGATTGTAGCAGCAATTAATGAAGATGCCGTTTTCTGCTACTGAGTAGTAATTCCCATTCTAATCATAAACGCTAGAGATATTTACGGTTAGAGTGTCTATTTTCGCCGGAAGATCTTGATTTTTTTTGTAGTTTTCTCTTGCAATAAAAATTTAATGGGCCATTAGAGAAAAATGGCTGAGAACCACTGAACTATAGCGCAATGAGGATATTATATATTGGTATAGCTATATAAATATAATGATATTTTCTTATCTTTTCCAAAAAATAAAGGAATTGTTAGGGTAAAATACTGAGTAAAATTTGTGACAAGAGCTGCTTCAAAAATAAATAAATGTCGGTAAGTTAGTCGTTGGTTTAACCCTTTCCGTGCGGTGGGCACGTATACGTACCCACGACAAAACTCGCTAGTTTGCGGCGGGTACGTTGATGTACTCCACTGTTTTATTTAGCAATCGGTCGCAAACTGTTGGTCTAGTTTTTCCGGGTTTTAGTTTATTGATAAGAAGCCTTCTTCGAGATTAACATAAGCGACGGTAAATCTCGCTTTCGTTTACCATGGGAGTTTTATTTGCGGCGGAACGAGGGAGTGTTTTTGATATATGCAAATTTCGGTGTTTTTTGGGTGGTAATAGAAGACATATTATCCCTTCCATCTACCAAAGTATTTAGAGTTAGATAACGAAATTGCTACAGTAATATCATGCTATTGTTTGCCAACCAAGAAGCGGTAACAGTAAAGGATTTAGCGAATATTTCTATTTTTTATCACGGCTTGAAGTTTCAACACCCAAGAAAAAAAATGCCTTTTTCCTATCCTGTTTGTGACTCAGACCACCCCTTTTGAGAAAAAAAAAAATTTTTCAATCGCCAATGGACCTTTCCCCGAGCATTGACTTCCTTGTTTACTTCGTGACATTGGCCAATCAGCAAATTGCAAAAAGTGACGTAACAATGCCCCCTTTTCGCATCCGCTCAGACACTTTTCTCACTCAGACAGATTTTCAATCGTGGTCGTAAACATTACCTCGTTTTCGCATTTTTGAACTCTATTCGTTAGTTTTCAGTTGTGTTTTGGAAACTTAAATGTAAATCAGATAATTCAATGGTCACCCTGTCTTCCTAGGAGTTTTAATTTAATTGCAGTAATAAAAATTAGTGTAGAAATAGCTGTGATAGACTAGGCTAAAATTCTTTAACGGTACTTTTTAAAAAACAGATTGTTGTATGCTATGAATCATAATGATGGTTTGAAACACATAACCCATTTCACAGACGCCAACTCGCAAAAGCACTCTTGAAATAGCCCCGAAAATTTACAATGGTGAAGTATAGGAAGAATTTTCCGGGGGTCAAAGGTCGGGGAAAGGTCCATTGCAAGCTCTTTAAATAAGCTTTCCAACGAGCCGTCAGTGGGCAGCAGAGGATCATTACTTTTTCGTTAGTCGATCGATTAGTTGTGGGCGTACAAATGCATAAAGTCGGCGTAGCAAATACGATTATTTAATAAAAAATAAAAATCGCATGGAAAGGGTTAAAAACAATTCAGTCTATTTTTTGATTGGCGATGTTGCGACTTGCTGCACAGGGGAGTTCGAAAGAAAACTTACGTTCGCTCTTTCGCCCTCTAGTAGCCTATGTGATGTTGAACAATTCGGATACACACGATTGCTTGTTTTGTGGTGTGTGTGACTCATTGGTGTGACTTTGTGCCTTGTAAAGGGGAATGCTGAAGTGCAAGGTGCAGTTTAGCATAACATGGTACCGTAACTGTCATATTTAACGATACCATTTAGGTTTAAAATGCTGATTTTTAAGTCCATTTTTCTGAACAAATAACTGGGGTCTCGGACCGTACAAGTGCAGTTTTAAGTATTTCGCGGCATCTGAAGCTGCCGCAAAACCATGGCGGAATCTCCAAACCATGGCCACAATGACCAAACCACGGCGGCTAACTTTCAAGCTGCCACAAACAATGGCGTGAGGCGGGGTACCACGGCAGCAAATTGAAAACCACGGCAGGTGAAATTATACTGCCATGAACCGTAGCTACGCTGCCGTAACCACGGCAAGAGCTGCCGTAACCACGGCAGGAGCTGCCGCGGTTACGGCAGGTAGGAATAACCTGTGATAGCGAAAGATTTCTCGCCATGAACAGTGGAAGATAGCGGGGAACCTTGTGGTTAATTGCGCATTACCACGGCGGGATAACGGGGAGCGCGGCGACAAGTTGGTTGCTGCCATCAACTGAAGAAGCGAGATTAGCATTCAGTGTTGTTTGTTGTTTTGGACCAAGAAAATCAGAAAGTGATGTAAATAGCTATTTGGGGGAAGAAATTTTGCAATTTGATGAAGACCAATTAATGTATTGGAAGAAGAAATCAGAAAAATTTCCCACGCTGAATTACAGCAACATCAGCCCCGTCAGAAAGAGTTTTTTCAATTGCGGATAACTTTTATACAGCATGAAGAAATTTATTGGGTTCAGAAACTTTGCGCAGCCTAATCTTCATCAAGTGCAATCCAACAGTTCTTGAGCAAGGGAAAATGTAAATACGAACCAAAATGTTATAATTGTAAATGCAGTTTGATATTTTTTGCACAGAGTAATTGTAATGTAATTGAAACATTTAAGGGAGTAGTTGTATTTGTAATTGAACTGAATTAGTGTAATTGATCCAACTCTGGTTAGGAAGTAATGGCTGGTTGGAAGTAAGGTGCCATTACTTCCTCTGGCAATAAATAATCTTGTATATCATTTGCGCTGTGTCTTTTTTAGTCATATTGATTCAAATTAGATCGCAGTACTACCAGAGTAAAATTGTGTCGGTTGGGTTTGATTAAAATTGCATTTACTCTGCTAGGCGATTCATCTACAGTAGAGGTTCTCAACCTTCTACTTTCTGCGAACCGGTACCACTTATATTTTTCCTTTACCCCGAAAAAGCCACTCTTTGTAAGAAAACGGGAATGGAAGTATTTTATAATGTGGCACTACATCCATTTTTTCAGGGACAAATTATAACCAGTTGCATTAATTATATGCAGTAACAACATATTATTTTCTCTTCGTTTCTGATTTCCCAATACAGACAGATAACTTTTAACTTAAAATGAAAACATGCCAGTCTCTCTCGTTTTAGGGGTGTAGTGGCGGGTGAGGGCAATCCGTGAAAACAAGAAATGGTTTGCATGCGATAAAAAAGAGAGAGGGTAATGCTCTCATAAATTACCCAACATAAGGGTTTGTTGTTGCAATAATTTAAAGCTGATTGCGTACCACAGCTCTACAGTTGGCCCCTACAGCTTCTTGCACACTCACTATCTCCATCGTTGACACTGGAATCCTTTTATGACAAAGCCACTTAGATATGTCAACTATTTGTTAGGACAATTCTCGAATATTTCTATAATATTTACAGGCAGATGAGGAACCTCAACTAGCGAACATCAAATTCCAAAAAAGAAGTATGACATTGTGCATGTTATTAAATTTTATTAAAGAAAATTACACAAAAAAGTTTTATGTGCAGTGTTCACAGAAAAACTCTTCGTTACCCGCAAAATCTGCGCAATATTGGTGGCACCACCTTTCGCATCCATCACATTCGACCTACAACAAAATTATTACTTTATCCATCAAAACTGCATCCATAAGGAAAATGTTTGACCTTACCCAAAGTGTGCCACCATCAGGGGCAGTCCTGCCATTACAGCCCACACAAAAGTGTGCCAGCTCATCAACATCTAAAAGATGAGGAAAACAAATGTAGGATTGCAAATACCTAACTAATATAGTCATGTATATTCCTCCTCAGATTCTAACCAACCGCAAAAATGAGTAAAATTTCTTTGCATACACGATCAATATTGACCTCAATCCGATACTTAATTAACTTCCTTTTCCATTCCATTTTTCAATATCATCAAATTAAAGCTCTGGGCTCTGAGTTTTATAACCCACTTAGCCATGTTCAAAAGAAAGTTCTAAATATCATCAAAATATAGCTGTGTGCTACCAACATATCCGTGACCGCATAGATGTTATGGTGCTAGTTGTTACTCGACTTCCAGCACTGCTCTCCACACTTGAATAAAAATGACTTATGCTTAGACCTAGTTAATAAAATAATAATGCACCTGTGGCTTCCAACAGAAGGTCTCCAAAATGGATTCTGTAGACTTTACAGATGCCTGTCGAATGATTGAAATCCGTTGTACAACCTGTTAAGATTGCTTCGGCAGCCTAGAATGTAAAAAAATAAAACAACTCATATTTCTATAGATTTGCACCAATGAGATGATTTAAAAATAAGGTTCCAGTTGAATGGTGGTGGTATCAATATAAAGTACTACTAGTAGTAAATGTTTACTCACAAATATAAATGAAAATTTAAAGATCTACCGTAATGAGCCTGTGTGCATCCTTATCAGTTTAATAATACCACTATAAAAACAAATTGGACCCGATGTACCTTCACAACCAAAATTCCACAATTAAACCCATCTTCTTGTTCACTATGCTTGTTTGTTAACAGTCTCCAATCTCTTTTGTCACCTCCATGGTATTTCCAAAATTTCCTGGGAGAAAACGTAAAAAAAAGAACAGCCCTGATTAGTCCCACAACACATAGGAACAATTTCATTTCTAGATCCTTAACTTTTTTTTTGAAGTGTTCTAAGAACTGCATATTCTTGCTAATATGAGCTTTCATACCTAGCTTGCAATCTCAGTGCAAAAAACTCGTACGATCCATACAGTTTCGGTAATCTGTTTTTGATGTTTTAAAATTCAGATAACACTAGTAGAGATTTGAATGCATGACTAAAACATTGATGTTCTATCGTTGAACTCAATAAGGGCATGATAATTTAAAATGAATCTGTGAGTGTTTACAAGCCAATAATCATTTAGTCAAGCAGAAAACCACAAACCTCCAATTCTCCATCAGCGTTTCAGCATAACTCTCTTCATGGCCAACAGGGTCATAAATAGTGACACTCCCTTGAGATGGATCTGTAATCTGAAAACATGAAACTTTGTTCACAAGAGTAGAAGAATTTCTGGTTTGAAGAGCAATACAATACAGAATATGCCATATTTGTTTTGACGTGATATATTGAAACATTTTGTAATTGCATTTGAGAAGAAAATTTTCCAAAAGAATTTCATTTAAATTAACAAAGATCTAGCAATTTACCTACCATTAGAGTCCAGTGATTGCCATGGTTCACAGCACTCATAGTTGGTTTTTCAATAGTCAACTTGGCCTGGATGTAAAATAGGATGGTAACGAAAGCGAATAAACGATGATCAAAAATAATAAACATGTTATTTTACCAAACTTTTGTACTTTCGACGATAAATCCCCTCCCAAAACCACATTGTGGAATATAATGCAGACAGAGCGCTATATTGAGTATGACTGGTCCACTAAAAACAAGTTGATTTAGAAAGATTAACATAATAATAAACTGAGTCACTGATAAGAAATTTCGGACTGAAATATAATTTATGGAGATGTCACAGTTCCACATGGAATACAGAGATGAACAATACTAAAAGACATACCTTATGACAAAGAGCTGCAATTATTCCATCTATTATCTTCAGCAAAGTTGGTAGCATTTGAAATAAAAATAATTATTGAAAAACTATAAGTTCAATTTTATAAACAATCTTACACAAACTAGAAATGATGGTTACATTCTGATGGTAATACTCCTGTATAAATTAGTACTTGTGTACATGCATAACATCTGAGTGATTTCCAAACTATGAACATGGCTGTACAGTTCCTTTGTTATGTACACACTGAGTTCTTAACAGCTAAAAATCATTTTATATAAATATTCGTTCAAAATGTTCCTCGGTATATTACTTCTATTGGCAGGGTTAGCGCTGCTGCTGAATTTCCTTGCAAGACAAAGATTAATTTCTGTTCAATGGTTAACCTAATCTATGGCTAATCCCCATGAAATTTGAATTCTTTATTTATCGCGAATGTATAGATTGTTTCTCTCACTAGGCCTCAATGACGGTTAAACACACATAACTCTACAACGGGTGGAACAAATTCGATGAACACTTTTAAAGGAATTTTCACGTTCTATTTTCTCACTTTATCATCAAGATAGCTGTCACCCTCAAGAAGGCACATACACTCCTTGTCTAGCCCTTTCTTTGTATCTCCAACTACACACTCAATCCTATTCCTATGAGTTGACTTCCATAATTTCTGTATGTCTGAAGATAATATTATGCATAGCATTATCAGTAACACGTAATTGCAACGCTATGACTGATAACAAAACTGAATCATTCATTGAATAATAACGCCTCATAATAACCTCATAAAATCAAAGTATTGTCATATAGAAGGAGATCAGCTATTGCTCAAAAAACTATCATTCAGACAATTACCAAAATATATCAAATTTTAAAGAAAAATTTAATACAATGAATATTATAAAATTTACCATTAAATTTGGCAGGCAGAAAAAGACATTTTCTTGATTCATCACTATCTGAAAAATGAATAATTAGAGATAAGTATCATACCAAGACATCTTAACGATAAACCAAGTAACTCCCACCTTTATTCTCGGAGTCATAAATATTACCATCACTGCATGAAGTTGATTTCATTTTTGCTGAACTGCAATGAAAAGTTTGACCCATAAGTATGAAGATAAAGTAAGAAAGACTGAAAATTGTGGATGACATTTTAATAGAAATATGAACTTCTTTGAAGGCTTCAGCATATTATGAGATTGAAGAATGTACCATATAAAGCATCGTTAAATATTCATTTTAATCATTACATCGTTGAAACACATGGTATACTCATCCTCTAAGTGCAAATACTTACCAAAATGTCTGATCTTCTTGATATTGTGACACTGTTCCAGTAGTCATTCCACTCTGCTTTAATAGGAAGTAGGAATTTGAAAAAAATATGACACAATAAATTAACTTTGCGAAGCTTTCTTCGAACACAATTATCTGACCGAAACTCGTTTATTTCGTTATAATAAATAATGCAGAATGAAATTCTTGAATTTACAAGTTAATTAAAACAATACAATGAAATATGAGCGCAATAAAGTGGAATAGGGGGGAATGTTTGTTTCACCTATTATAGTTTGTCAGGCCAGACTCCTGATGTCAAATAACATGATAAAACTCACTCATAGTGAACATCGTACTATTTCAGTTTTGTGGAAAAATCTCAACCGTGACGCAGGCCGAAAAATTGCCTCATGGGCAGCGTTTTGGAGACTCCTGGCATAGATAATTTGATCAATACCATCATGCAAAAAATTCATAACTCCACATATCAAACTCGATACAATGCATTATAATACAAAAGCGGTAAGAGCAAGAAAAAAATTATCTCACTATATTTTCAGAGTACACATTGTCTTCAGGGTTGGCAACTACCTCATTCATAGCTTCATCATCTTCGTCGATGAGTAATTCTTCCTAAATTTTCAAACCTCAGGAAATATAATCGATGTAGGTAGGTAGTAGCATGAATTATAAGACACATATAATAGAATTCTGTTTAATTCCTTCCTAAATCTTATATTAGAAAAAAGCATTCCATAGTATAACTAAGAAATTGCTACAATTCATTTACAGGTTTGTACATTTACGATAACTCGAAAGAATGGGATAACATAAAGCCATTAACATTTTAAAGATATCTTTTATACTTGATTAATGATATTGTCGGAAACCGCAAAAGCAGACCTTTATAAATCGTAAATGTCTTATTCTACTTTTATTTTACAATACTATGCATTCACATGAAAACAAATTTAATAATACATGCATACCTCTGTGACCGATCCACTGGTTCCATCCAAAACGTTACCTAAAATGAGGTGTGTAGTGAGAAAATATATCCACATTACTCAATAACATGAAAATCATGTACCTTTAACATCTGGTATAGCAATTCCTTCATGATTCCTCCGAATTTTATTTCCAAATTGAGTCTTCATTTTTTTTTCATATCTTGAGTTTATGTCTTTATTACGCAGGTTAATGCTAACTCGCGAAAGCCAAAGGAAATTGGTAGTGTCCATAGAGCAAACTGAAGATCTACAAGTAAGGTTGTAAAGCATTTTACCAAACATATTCGCACAGCATGAACTCTTAAAACATGTCAATATTCAAGCGATTCATCTCAGTAAAATATCAATTTCCAACTATCTTGAGTTTTTTTATTCGTGTCATAGCATCAAATTAATTTCTTGCCTATTAACATTAAATGGTCATGCTTTATTGCCTCAAAATAATCGACAATGTACATCACAACATGAGTTAAATAGTAATATGATCCATCTACCATTAACAATATCTTTTCAATAAGCAAACTATCAATACATCCTCGATTGAAGCATTTGTGTAATAATGGCCAATCACTGAATAGTATGAAAAATGTCAAATACGACATGCCACAATTGGTATCTGAACTGGAGAAATTTCCCATCTAGCAAACAAACAAACCTTCTTCATATTTATGATATCTAACTTCCATTCCACATTCAGCACATTCCTTGATGAATAATTCAGTTGCTGTGCAAACATTTATAATAACTCGTAAAAATAGTTGTTAAGGAATAAAACATAGAAGCATGATTTAAATATCTGGGTATAATTTCACAGGCTATTATCTAACGTTTCGACTTAGGCAAAGTTATTTGGTCGAAATACAAAATTCGTATTTTATACCAATAAGAAGTTTAAACCATACAATGACAAGCATTCATACTTTTCCAAATGTGGCCCATTCCATATGCTACTGTTCGTTTTTTATTCTTGATGCATAAATCCTCGTTGCACTTAAGACATTTTTGTTCAGAGGGAGTCAGCAAAAGCGGAGGAGAAATGTCACGCAAAAGACGCTGAGGTATTTCAGCTGGAATTCTTTTTTTGTTAAAAAATACTTCATCATATAGTCCATATTATCAGTCAGTGTATGACAAATACTGTAAAAGATGTGAAGCATTGTAAATGAGAAATATCAGAAAATGCATCTTGCCCAAGCAAGTTCTACTATGTTAAAAAATACCTAATCCAAATATTTATAAAAAAATATTGAATAGGCTACAACAGAGGTGGCCAACCTACTTGCGACCGCGATCGACTAAAATCTAGTTTTCAGTCGTAAGTGTTGAATTTCTCAAAAAAAACTTGCTTAGTATCCATGTATTATCTAAATAGCAAAAAATAAATATTCGCAAACCATAACAGTTACATGATTGTTGAAACTTCCTGATATCCTCTTAGCTCGCCTAGAATTAGGAAAAATTGGCATTCTGATGCGACTGCTACAGTTGAGAATAAAATTTATCACACTACTCCCGGAGTGAGACAACTACTTTCCACAGAGCGCAAGAGTTATCGTACGATCCTACGTTAGTTCAGGCAATATTCAATACTCGATTCAGGCGACACGACATTCGGAACGCTCATTTTCTTACTTTTGGCAGCGGCAAAACTTTCTTTCGTTGCATATCGCATAATAATTTGTTCAGTCGGCCTCGCTTGGGTTCAAGGACTATATGTGTATATCGTATTTAGCGTGTGCGCAGTACTGCGTTATTTCTATTATAAAACACACAATGCGCTGCATGAAACTGGTTAAACGCAATTTTTTAAGATATGTTACCGAATTTTCTAAACATCAGACGAGATCGACCACTCAGAACGTGGCGATCAACCGGTCGATCAACGTGTTGGCCACCCCTGGGCTACAACATAAAAATGAAATAAAAAATTAGGCATTTAACCAATCTGTCCAATAAAACAAGGAAGCACACATGCTACTAAGTAATATTGCTGGTAGAAAGGAAAGATGAGGTGAATATTTTGGATTATATAACTAATACTACTGCAGAATATAATTCATTATAAAAGAAAATACACCTATTATGTATAAAAATGCTTTAAATAAACCTGGAAGGGCGCTTGATCCATTCAGGTTGTTGCTCCAATAAACACCACTTCGCTACAGCCTCATGGTAACATGTCGAACTCATGCCCGAGGTTGGACAAAGGCACGAAAATTCCCCATTATCTTTATTGAAAGAAACTCTTACCCTCTTCAATGGTGCAAAATATTGAATTTTTTCAGTGTAAACGGAAAAATAGATTGTTCTTGTTTCGAAACCCATTGTTGAAAAATCAACAAGGGCTACAAGAGTGCAGCAATCCTTTTCACTGATTTCCTTCATATTTTTGCACCATTGAACCGACGAATCATTCAATATATTAAATTCCCTTAGTCGGTTTAGCGATGACAGTTGCAGTTTGTTTGTCGTTAAAATTGAAGATTCAGAGATAGAGTCCAAATGTCGACATTGGATTCCTGGATTGACTGTTGAAATGGCTTTGATAATTGAAATACAGTCGTCATCAGTGCACATAATTTTTTGTTTCAATGTGTGCTTTTGAACATGAATTGGAGCAAGTGGGCCAGAATCACTTTGAGCAACCATATAGATTCCATTGAATGTGTCAACACATACGCTCGGTAAAAGCTGAGTTGCATTGTGTTTAAGTTGAGCATGTCGCCTCAATGACGACTGATGCCTAAAGCGCTTGTCACAAGGTATGCATTGAAAGTTGAAAGTACCTGTAAAGTAAAAGTATGTAAACGAACAAGGTCTAAAAATGTGAAAAAAATATCGAATGAAAATGAATCATGTAAAAGTGGTAAAGAAATAGATACAAATCACAAAATTTCAATGCACGAGTTTTCTTGACATACAATAAACAATTATTTATGCTCTCATATCTATAAGCGGACACCAACTCAATACCTAATACTTGCTAAATATCCATTAGAACATCTTTTCAATCATTAGCTTACCTTCACATAGACTTTCTGAACTTTTGTTTTTAGAATCTATGTCCATATCCCTGACTTCTTCACTTTCAATCACACCCAAACAATCTACACAAAACATTGAAATTCCAAAGTTACTGTGTTATAGCTAGGTACTCTATTTGCAAGAAATAAGCCACAAAATAGTTTTAACCCTTACTCTTAGTAAGCCTCCTGTGGTCAATCATAGAATTTCTCCGTCCAAATATTTTTTCACAGGAGGGACAATGATAGTGACTCCTGGTCAAAGCACTTGTTCCTCGCTTCATACAATCTCTTCTACAAGGCATAATGAAAGCTAAAATATTTGAAGATATACCGACTTATAAAATGACCAGTCATCACAACGAAAATATTCAGTAATTATAGGCTGTACCAGTAATACTGTATACATACCTCTTTCATCCCCATTGATGATATGAACAGCATATTTGATATGTTGAGTTTTCAGGTGGTGTTGGAAAGCCACCTGGTGTTGTAAATGATACTCCGATACATAGTATGCATTGGTAAAAATCATTCACTTTTATGCACAAATCATCAAAATTTTCTGATTTTGTCTTAAAATAAGTATCTGCCATTTATTACTTAATAAGGTGTTTCAAGATCTAAACATATATGAAGATACTGGTAGATACTTCAGTACACATAGTCTACACAGCCAAATTAAAATATAATTCAACTTATCGTAGGCTACCTCGTGAATACTAGAAATTTGGAGATACAGAAATAGGGCAGTAAGGTACCTAGATTACCGGTACCGCATTCTGGCATTACCCTACTGCTGTACTGGCAGACTATCTAGCTATCAAAAAGTCAGAGTGATTGTTAAAAGACAGAGGCTTGCATGGATAACAGCTCACAAATCTTACGACTCTGTAACTGAAATTACCAAAGTCGCAACGCACTAATGAGGCACATTGATACCATACTCACCTGCCATTATCCATAGTACAAAAACCCCAGATACTGCAACATACATGGTAATAAGGCATACCGGTAAATATTTTCCGAAGCTGCCCTGAAACCATGGCAAAGCTGCCGCGGTAACGGCAGTACTTTTTGCCATCGCCGCGGTATATACACACTTGCCACGGTTTGCTAATAACCATGGCAAGAGACGGCGTGGTACGTTCGTGGCAGGAGCTGCCATGAAGTGGTAAGAACTGCGCCTCGGACCGTACGCGCCTTCTAGTCTGTCTAGTCGGTAGCATAACGATTTTGTTAATATCCGAATATAGTCTACCGGTACCGGTGCCGTACCGGGGTAGTAGTCTTGGTGGGGTAAATGGTGTGGGTCCTCGTGCTACTGGTATTGTAAGCGTTAGGAATACCGGTACGGCCGGTCTTACTACTCAACTAAATAGAGGGCGAAACAGCACAGAAGAGAGGGAAACATTATACGGTACTACAGTCTGACAGTAATAGGGAATGATCACGAGTTTGTATCAGTAATCTTCAACATCTTTAAATCACCACGTCAGGTGGGGGTTAGGAATATAAAACGGTAACATATCGCTTCTTGTCGAAACGATACCGATAAGAGAGAGATCGTTGACGTTAGTAAGTTCATTGTACTCCATTTCGGACAATCGTAGCCACCGTATATGACGCGATTGTGCGACAGTGATCTGATTTTTGGGTGACGTACTCAGGTGGGGGTTAGAAATATTATACAAATAAAATAAGTTCTTGAGGGCGCGTACTTCAGGAGACCCTTTTTGTTTATATTTATCCTGATTTGGATGACGTGGCTGCAGTATTTTTTTTTTTGTAAAATGTTCGGTAGGTGCGATCTTTTTGCGAAAGCTCTTGATTATATTTGTCCTGATTTGGACGACATGGCCGCAGTATTTTTTTTCTTTTGTTCGGTACGGTATTTTAGCGAAAGCTTTTGACTGCAAAACAATTTTTTATCTCAATTTCAGCAATCAGTATTCAATGCAAAATATTTTTGGTCTTAATTAATTCTTTACACAATGAGTCGTGCGATACAAACTGTGAAAGCACATGTACCATTGATTAAGTTTCCAACACGACTAAAGTGGACGCCAAAAATTCCAGAAGCACCAACAGCTCAAGCCATACCGAATATAACTCAATCAAGAACTGCCAGCGAGCCAGACACTATAGAAGTTTTCAGAGTTGTACCTCAAAGATTTCGTAGAAGACTTATAGACATTCACGAAGTGGAATACATTCAACGAGGCGGGCCAGAGTAATATCAAAAATATATCACTAATTTGCAAACTTTGATTCTCTAATAGAAAATTTTATCTTGTTGTGTTATATAAGCTATGATATGTCAGCTGTTGAAGTAATTGACAACTTCAAATCTGAATTTAAATATTACAAACAGAAAGCTGTTACTCCTTCATTCGAAAATGTAATAGATTTCGAACACGTTTCGACCCTTGATGGAAAAGTATCAAAAGTTGAATTACCAAACGCTTCTAGGACATGGGAAATATATTCTGTAAATGATGTTTCTGGGTTATACTTTGCTAAAGGTATATTTTCTGATGAGGAACAAAAGCACTGGGCAGAAAAATGTGTCAAAGATTTCACTGTATCACCCTACTCTACCAATTTAGACGCTTTTCAAAGTAAAGAATCAATCGACACTGCTTGGAGTGACAGTGTTGAAGCTTTCAAATCTTGTAACGAAAAAAGAGATTTTGATTTCTTGAAAACGACACCAATATGGAAAATTAGATGGAGTACTATTGGATATCACCATAATTGGAATACAAGAAGATATGAAAGAGAATCAAAATCCGATTTTCCTTCTGAACTCGCAAACATTTGTTCAGAAGTATTCGATGCATTGGGTTTCAAAAATTACACCCCAGAAGCCGCAATTATAAACTATTATCACGTAGGGTCAACACTATCGCCCCATAAAGACATATCTGAGGCAGATTTAACTATACCATTATTTTCAATAAGCCTTGGTTTGGATGCCATTTTCCTGATAGGTGGTGAAGAAAAGGACGTCAAGCCAATTCCTTTGCTTCTCAGGTCTGGCGATGTTCTGATTATGAGTGGAAAAGCTCGCACAGCGTATCATGCTGTGCCACGTATCATGCCATCGACCAGACTAAAGTTTGAAAATGACGATTTTCTTTCTTTTTACCTGCAAAATGCTCGCATCAATATTAATATTCGTCAAGTGGAATCTGAAGAACATGCTTTGCCATATTAACTCTTGTGCATTCGGTGTTTATTTTACTTGACAGCTTCCATTCAAAATAAAAATATTTATTTCATGTAAATGTGAACAATACAATACAAAGTTTTACTAAAGTTGCTTACAAGATGTCAAAAATGAATAAAATATCTGAAATTGTTCATATTGTATTAGTAAATTCGAAATTAAATCAATGTGATATTATCAATTATTTAAAATATATTCTATATTAAAAAAGCTGTTCTAAAATTATTTTTATTCTCGAATCTTTTTTGGCAAGAATGTAATAAGTCTATGTGAAAAAATGTGCCTAATCAATATTTTACAATATCATTCAATAGTGATAACAAATAAAGTTTAATAAAGGTGATATTATACTTCTAAAAACACCAGTCTCTATATTATTAATTTATTCAATGTGTGCTTACCTTTTTCAGTTTTAAATTAAATATCATAAGTTCTTCAATACATGATGGTTCTGCTTGAAAATGATGCGTTTCTTATCGAATTGACAACACTATATCAAAAGAGCAGAACTTCAGGAACTGTTAATTTAACTATGAAGAAATATGATGGACGAACAAAACCAACACCAAAACCAGATAAACCTAGCCGAACAAGGTAAGACTATAAAGGGGTTCTCAACCTTCATTCTAATGCTCACCAAATTGATAAATTTAAAAAATACCACTACATATTGATATTATAAACTGCCTCTTCCATTGTGTCATAAGTCAAATATGGAGGTGTTGCTGCGTAATAAATAACATTCATGGTAAAACAGGGGACTTTGCAATCTGCCATATGGTAAACATGTACTTTATCAAATTTTCCCTAATTTAGATTATTAAAAAATTCTCTGTGTGTTTGTCTTTTACCGAGTTTATCTTTTGAGGGTATTTCCTTTTGAACAGAGAAAGTGGTATAAGATTGTGGAAATATAATTAGTGGCTAAAATTATAACCCAATAATAGCACTATGAGTTGGGGTTTGTGACAATAACTTATTATCCCGCCTCTATGCACAGTAGGACTCTTGAATTAAACAACAATCGCTCGTTATTTATCTGAAAACTTTAATTCCAGACCTTCTTCGCCACTTGAACCAGTTCAACACGACTTATGTTTGATACGAGCGAGCAATGGAAAAAAGAAAATCAGCACAGTCGTTACCGCTAAAGACATTAATCGATTTCAAATGGCATACACAAGCGTATTACGAGGAAATTTTGATGCGCTAAAGAAAAGAGACAGAAAAAAAGCAAAAGCTCCTACAAAGTCTCCACAAACATGAATTCTTAATATTGTTGGAAGTGTCCATCAATCAAACTGAATTTCCTGATGCAGTAAATTTTGGATTACAAATTTATATGTTATTTAAATTCCTGGAGAAATAACTTATTGGATTGATTGAACATCTCTAACGGTCTTAGTGCAATCATGTTACAGACCGGTCAACAAGATATGAGAGAAAAGACCTGAATATCAGGACAATATTGTGTGGTGTTTTACAGATTAAGATTTTTATGCTTTTGTTGGGGTTCCGGTGGGAATTGTTTTATTGTAAATAAATTATCCAGTCATCATGATCTTGTTTTTTTTGCTATTTTATTGTATTGGGTTGCTGATGCGCTTAGACAGTCGTTATCCAGCCGTGCTCAAGCAACAGTTATTCATTCACATATCTGGTGTGGATTGGTAACTGAATTGGCCATTAGGCTGGCTTAAATAAACTTATTGTCTATGCTTTGTAACTGGCACTTCATCCTGATTTCGGAATCTGGTCCTGTCGAGAACTACCAAACATGGATTTCTTTTTCCATATATACAAAAAGTGCACAAATCTACTTACACTGGAACTCCATTTAAGTCACATATTGAGTTCAAGGTTCTGGAAGTAGATTGCGCACTTTGTGCACTTTTTGTATAAAAGAGGAATTGGTCCTGTGGAAATCCAAAAAGTATGCATGTCAAGTTAAAGGATGCTAAATGCTGCTAAGTTCATATGTACTTCTCCCAAATAGAAATATTCAAACAACTGCAATTGCACCAGTTTATTTTGGAATGTCATAACAATATATATAAAATCACAATTACCTATTATATGCACCAGTATCTCACCTACATTGTTTATAAAAATGCTAATCCGTCTTGTGTGAATACGATATTCAGACAACAGCAATTGCACCAGTTTATTTTGGAACGTCATAACAATATATATAAAATCACAATTACCTATTATATGCACCAGTATCTCACCTACATTGTTTATAAAAATGCTAATCTGTCTTGTGTGAATACGATATCACTGGGTGATGAGAGGAAAATTTTGAAAGAATAAAAGGAATAATAAATACTACAAGAAACGGAATTAGTGTGTGTTTAATGGCACTGAATATATAGAAAGATAGCATAGAAGTGTGTGCAAAGTGGTATAATTCTAAAGCATTTACTGCTAGAACACTTAAAATACATTCTGAAGCATTGAAAAGCAGCCCCCTGTGTTTATGTATCTTCAGTTTCCTTGCAAGCAACTGTGCCAAACCAAAACCAGCTAAGATGAACACGTCCCTTATCAAAGAGTTGTATGGTGTAGTATTGAGACTGACCCACTCTTCAGGGTTTTTACACCATTTGTTAGCCAGTGACAAAGTCCAGTGGAAATCCACACCTAACTGTCCGAGCGTCCAGCTGAATCCTGTATAAAGCAGTGAATTTTTGTAACATAAATAAATCATCCATCTGCCTACTTTTCATCAGATTCAGAAGGTGACTTTTTATGACGGGTTTGCTCAAATCAAGATGCCAAGGTCACACACATCAAGAAGTAAAGAAGAGTTATCACAGGGCAAAGTTACATGCTACTACTGAATTGTTGAGAGTTACTGACGCTATATAGAAATATGGTGGTCCGTTATGTGCCAGCGAATGATCCAAGAATGGAAGCAGTTCAAGTTGATACAATCATGAAAACAGTAGTGAATTCCGCATAATTAAAATTCTTGGAAAAATTTTTTTGACAATGAACATTACCAATTATTGGAGTTTTTCCCAAGACCGTAAAAAAGATTCAATTTTTTGTTTGTATGGTTTTGTTTTGTATGAGGCAATGTACATTTTTCCATATTATTATTTGGCTTACCTATGCAAGAGAAAAATAATCCTATTGCGATTTTCAAATAATCTTTGCAATGCCAATGCTGAACATCTGTGTACTTGTCTAGACAGACAGCAATAACAATTCCACATATTGTTCCCGCAATAACCTGTTAAGTACAAGTAAGTGCAATGTCTATTTTTCAGAAAACTATTGAATCTCAAAGAAATATGCAGCCACTGCTGATTCAAAGAGTTGTTCATTTTTGAAGTCCAGGGTTCAAATTTAAAAATACACAATTTTACTAAGGAAATATCTGATAATCAGAAATATTTTCTTGTCTCGCATCACAGCCTGAGTGGAATTTTTTTAAACCTTGAATAGGATGGACCTTTACTTTGAACGTCACACATGTCCATGGAAAGATTGATCATATGACGAAGTGCAAGGGTAAACAATTGTACTCTCATACACGACCGTTACAAGTAAAATTGGCTAGGGTAGCACTCAGCATCAAGAATCAACAATGAATAAAATGTTCTCTTGTAAATAATTTGAAGCAGATTTCTAGGTTGCAAGTTTGTAACACTCTCTTGTACTAACCTGATGTGGGAAATGAGCAGCAATAAATATTCTGGCTAGATTTACAGGAATCATTGCAATCAGGAAAATCAAATGAGGAAGAAACCTAAGAAAAAAATAAAATTAGAAACATTAGTATCACTTGATGCAGCACACTTTCATGTGGGCTCTTAGAAGGTTTTACTTTCGAGACAAAGAACTTTTTGGTTCAGCATTGCTGTTTGCAAACAGAATTTGAGAATCCAGATAGAGTATGGTATGTCTTATCAAAACAGATAAATGGATTAAATTTCATATCACACAAATTGATGTATGCACGGTTCACATTGCAGCTTTTTTTTTTATAAAAATTAACCATTATGAGCTGACCTTGGCATCCTGGAAGAACTTGCATCAGCTATAATATAAAAAACAGCAGCAGTAACCATTGCATGACCTGATGGACTTCCAGGCCCAGTCTCACATGTTAGGTGGAATTGTTCCATTTCATCAGCAGTATAATGTTTATATTCATGAACCCACCAGTATGGCCGATGTCCGAATAGAACCCTGAACGTTCAAGCACATTGTGAATTATATTCATAAGACAATTTTTACACAAACTGTCAACTATTCACCCAAGGTTTGACCACTTTAGCCAAAATTTGTCACAGGAGGGATTTTTTTATAACAAGCCACTGCCAACAGGAAGAACAATGTGTACTAAAATTACAATGTCTCTGAATAATGTACTATTCACTTCCTATATATAGAAATAACATTATACATGCCCCTACCAGATTACTCACCATTTAAAGACAATATTAAGCCATTCTGACACCACTCCAGCCCACATTATCCTTCTACCATGATGATGACTCAATGCATAAATCTGTGAATAGTGGTTGCATGTCATAAAGTGAACCACATACTAAGTAAAACACCAGCCAAGGCCATGGTATCTCAAACTAAAAAGAGCTGATTGTGATTCCAAGTACGCGACAGTGGTTATACAATGAGATGATTCTTTCCTTAATTTTAAAAAGTATAATTGCTCATGTCACAGTTTGCAAATATCTGGACTATTTCGAAGCTTGCATCAATGGTATATACCCAGAGGTGGGATTCAAAGTTTTTGTCAGCCGGTTCCTTCACAAAAGTAATATTTTTCAGCCTCTATTGCAAACAGAACATTGACAGTAACCAGGTATGATCTCATGAAATTCTGTGAGACAATTCTATAAAACCGGTGCGAACCGGCTGAATCCCACCACTGTATATACCCCTTAAATGTTTAAAATAAATTTCATTGTGCCATAGTTGAAACTCCTCTATGCGAACTTATTATGGTTATTGCGGTTTTACTTTCTTAATAACGCATATGGAGAACACAGCTTGATTCAAGACCTACCAATGGAAAATAAATAAGAAATGCATTCCTTGGATCTCCAGCTTTTGACATAAGCAACATCGCATTCTTACTTTCTGCTAGTGATGTCTGAACATAGCGTACGACATCAACTCCACTATGATGGAGGTAATCCATATTTCAATCAGAAAAAGAGCCGAATTGATTAGTTACGATGAATACATTTCTAAGTTGGCTAATAATAGAAAAACATAGCAGTGAAATGAAACTTTCAAGTTTAATATGTTCAAGTGTTATGCAGCAATTATGATAATATAACATTTTTAATAAAAGAAAAGTATTTTTTTAAAGAATGATTAGAGACTACAAAACTGGAAAAATACCTATAATTGCAGGCAATATACTTCGACATGGGGCCACACATTGAACAAACTGAGGAATATTTCCCAATTTAGACGAAACGAAAGCGACCTAATGAGAATCATGCTCCTTTCAACACATCTTAAACAAATATCTCATGTCTGTCCTTGAAAGAAACATTACAGAAACATATTTGTGTTAGTGTGCAGCAAGAATTTTCAATTACTTCGGATAGTTCAATGTTGCTGCAGCATGCATACGGACCCACCGACGCAAAAGCACAGAAAGAAGAATAGGTAAATAGTCCCACAGAAACCTAATCGATAGCACATCTTAAATAAATAATTTCCAAATTGAGAATATAAGGGCAGATACAGAATAAAATAATCTTTTTATCCCTGTTAAAGCAGTCATATACTCCTGATGGCGATAGTTTAAACATGCGCATGATATTTTACAATAACAATCATGAGAGGAGCATCATTGTTTGCAATAACAGTGTTGAAATAAAAATTCGTACTAAACAAAGCCGAGCAATAAGCATCTTATAGTAATATTACAAGTTAATAGAAAAATAAATAAGATAGCAGAAATACTATATTAGGCACATTGGTAATTGAAACAAAAAAAATACACTACAGGCTCGGCGAGAGGAAAAAATTGGCAGATAACAATAAAAAGAAACTTTGCAGCAAAATATAAGAATTTTCTCTAAGCAAGGCTCTGAGAAAGCATCAACTGTATTCAGACAAGTATGACCCTGTGATGGAGTTAGTGGGTACATAACTGTCAACCAGAGTTTTCAAACTAAAACATGAAAACTAGAACCTTAGAATTGACAAATGATAGGGGCTGAGGCAAATTCCAATTCTCCATTCATTCTATTCACGATAAGAAAATTCAACAACAAAAATATGAAAAGGTATATAGAAGAGGTTGGGCTGTGTTTTTTTTCTTTTTCTTTTGAACTAGTTAAAACAGAATATGGTTACTGTTTCAGAAACAATTAGTAATAACTTCGATAATTGAATGATTTAGAGCAGTAGTGGAGAGAAGCATCACACCAATATACAGGGTGTCCAAAAAGTTCCGCCCGATTTCACAGCATTACCAATTGCGAATTTGAATAAATTTTGTTGTATGATAAATGGGGACTACAACATTCAACATCTATACCATCCAATTAGAAACAGGTCGACTATAAATCTTTTTCGAATTAAAAAAAAAATAACATTTGATTATAAAGACTTTATAATCGGGTGAAACTATTTGGACTATATATATTCTGAATTGAGCATATTACAATCCCCATAAACTGGGAAACATTTGAAAAAAGTGAAATAAACAACTACAGAAAATTGCATAATTACACTATATTGTTAAAGGTTCGTACAGGTTAAATTACAATGGCATTGTAAATGATGGCTCAGAACATCTCAATAACAATATTTTAATGCATAAATACAATTTACTGGCCAATTTCTACATCAAATTGTAAATGTTGTTCTTAGGTAGTAAAGAATTTGACCACAACAAGAATGTCCGACAAGAAACATGTTCGAATTAGTCCATTTTATAGGCAAATTACATTTAAAGTAATACTGTTTTAAAAATTTGAGTTATTTGTGTCTCAAAAATATGAAGTGAAAAATGACATTTCAAGAGTAAGAAATCAAAACTTGTCGACATGAATCTTTAAAGTTTCTTCTTTTCTGACTTTAGAAGTTTTCTTTGTTTCAGAACTCGGAGAAGTAGTGCTTGCCTCAGAATTTCCATCCTCAATTTGAGGAGTATGTCCATTTGTTTCCCTTGATTTAGAATCCTCATGTTTCTTTCTCAGTGTTAAATCTTCCTCAGTTCGGAAATCAGAAACCTCTGGACTTTCCGACGTTTGCAACTCAAGAGAGATGTGTTTAACACGAATCAGGTCTCCATCGAGAGGTGACAGTATAGCTTGTCCAGTTTTTCCACCACTCAATTTTTTGTTTTTGTTTGATTTTCCCTGAGCCTTTTTTTGCTTAGCACCTTTTTTAGATTTATTTTTTGCATCTTTTGATTTTTGATCGCAATCTTTTGCTTTGATAATATCCCATTCCCAAGGTTCTTCTCCTCTTTTTGCAAGAAGTAATTCTTTAATAGGAATGTTTAATTTTTCACTCAGCATGGCAGGAAGTCGTGCAAGTGGGTGCGATTTATCCCAATTTAGTTCACAAGCATTAGTATAATATCTGCTTCCTGGTATTTGAAACAAAAGGTTTAGTATTACACATTCTGGTTTGGGCAAAGCCTCAGTCTTTTGGACAGCAATAGGTGTGTTTGATCCAAGACGTAACCGCTTTATACTGGAATTTTCTTGTAAATGAAAACGAGATGGAAATTTATGTGAAATTGAACGAAGACAAATATCTTCGATTTTAATCAAATTCTTTTCAACAAAAAAACTGAGCTTAACAATTTCTTGCTTTAGATCAAATAAAGTTGCATCTTTTTCTACCTCAACAGAGCCAGTTAATTTTGGTTGCGTCCTTATTTCATTCAAAAATGGATTCCAAACAGATAGGTTAGCACCATGCTCTATTTCAGATAAGACATCTTCAAACGAAGATCTTTTAGGATAATACCAAACTGGAATTCCAATTTGACCATCAGATGGAATACCTCCCGGACAAAGAACAAGAGTAGAACCATGTTTTATAGATGTTTTTTCAATGACTGCTTCTGGGCTTGTTAATATTTCACCGGCTTCTTTTTCTGATTTTAATATTCTAAGATGTCGTATCCCATCCGAAAGATTGTGCTCTAAAACAATTTTATCGATGAACTGATTCACAGTGCAATTCTTGTTTAATACAGCATGAACAGCTTGAGACTTTTTAACAGGTAATTTCAACTTACTTCCGTTTTGAATATAAACAGTTACATGATACTCTTTTTTATCAATAGGCGTTCCAATCTCTAGTCTCACAGATTCCACACTGCTTGATAACCCTACCTGAAGCAGGCTTTGTTTTTCATGTAAGCACAGTTTCAAATTGTCAGAAACATCCTCAGAAGATTTTTGAATATACAAATGAAGGTTATCTAGCTCGTAATCATTCTTGAAGTCGGGTAAGAGCCAATGCAACATAGAAAATTTCAAATGTTCAACTCGAATGTATGAATTTACTTTCACGGTTCCACTTATGGCCGTTGTTATGAAAATATTATCAGGAGAATCAAAATACCTGGACGTAAACAGTGTTTGTTCTAGTTTCTCTCCCGGCACAATTTTTAAAGTTAAGTCGTCATCTTTATTTCCATTTTGAGACATATCATCATTTGGAAGTGATATTTCAAGAATTAAATTTTCATCGAATGACTTGGTCACTTCTCTTAAAGTTTTTCCAAGTTCATTTTCTTTGAATTCAACCAGGTTGTCATTTTCTCCTTTAGTTCCAAGTTTACTTTGGGTCACAGTTTGCAACTTGAATTTTTGTAGAAAATAATCTTGCAGTTCACTCATGATAACATTACCGAAAGTAATACCTTTGAAATGAAAAGAAACCAGACTGTCATCACCAGAGATTCTGCAATGAACATCAAGTACAATGGGTTCATTCATTTCACCAAATTTTACTTCCACCCCCTCTAACTTATCGCCGTCCCATAAAATGACGTTCACTCCGTTCTCGAGTAGAGATTCATTTATGGGTGTGCTCAAATTAGAGTCAATTTGTTCGTATATGTGAATGCCACCATGGCCGAGTATTTTCAATATATTGCATTGTATTTTTTCACAATCTTTATTAGAAGTATCGTCCTGATGTTTTTCTGCCATCTGCGTTAATTCCTCTACCATGTCTCCAATGTTTTTCCGTCTGTCGATTGAATAAGAAAACCCACACTCGTTTGGGCCTTTGTTCTCTGGGTCAATTAATTTAATCAAACCATTTTCAAGCTTCAACATTTTGGGGAAGAAAACTCGCACTGTTACGACGTTTAAATAAACATCATATTCATTTCGTAGTTCATCCAAATCACAATTTTCCTCTTGTATTTTTGCTCTTATATGGTCAGGAATGCCATTGGTCAAATTACCAAGCGATTCTAATGGTCTCTTAAGATCCTTCCTTCTATAAAACAACATATAAGCACTCTCGCGTCCCTCATATTGAGTGATAATATCATGGGTTGTAATAGGTTTAACGTGAGAGTCATTGAAATCAAACCAGACATTACATAGCGGATGTGTGTCGGTGTCATCTGCAGTGTCAGATTCGATAGCAATAGGTTCACTCACGACATTTCCATTGAAACCAGAATCTTCATTGTTGGTGTCCGTAACCCCGTTCACCAGTTCAGTAGATTTATATTGTCGGCTTGCATCACCGCCAGCACCATTTTCACATGATTGTGGATATACAGGTGATTCAGAATTATTCATCTCAGATGATGATTTTCCAATATTGCTTCGAAATGATACTGTTTTCGTTCTTGTATCGACAATAAAAGTATCATAGCAGCTCTGTAAGAATTTAGTCATTGTGCCGTATTTTCTTTTGTACTGTTTACCCCACGATGTTCCACTTTCATCTCGAAACGCTTCACCCAATTTATTCATTGGGACGTTTTCTCCACCGAGTTTGCCTAAAACATATGCAAGCATATCAAGTGGGTCTTCAATATAATCACAAGCTGCTGCATCACTTTTTTCTGGCATGGGTGGTATGATTTTAGGTGGAGTGGGGTTATAATTAGGAGGGACAGTCCCCAGACCATCAATATCGCGAATGTATGCATGATAATGCCCACCATGGGCGCTTCCTGAATGAATAATTACAGAATACAACTCATAGTCATAACATGCAGATTTTTCATCACACGTCTTTTCACAATAGGACTTCATACTGAGTGATAGCGGGAATTCAAATTTCCTAGTTTCTTTGAACCTTCGAAATGTGTTATAATCGAAGCTAAATCTCAGTAATGAGATCGTTAATATAGGTGGAAGGGTTTTTATCACAGCTCCTTTTCTAGCATCAACAAGTTTTTGACATTGATCGCAACGATATTGATTTTTTCCATTCATTAGTTCAGTATCAACAAACATATCACGAAGTACTGCTGCAAGATTGCTGTGCGAGGAAATAGCAATGTTAAGATCTAGGAAATCTTCCGTATTTTCACTGACTTTTCCACAGCTGAGACAAGTTATTGTGTTGGCAGATGTACCACGATACAGGTTTTTTATAATATCATGCCCAGAGGTTCCAATCAAAGAATCTTCAATCGCACAAAATAATATTCTACTCAACTCTTGGACGTCGTGTTGTTGTAACTCCTCACTATCTACCCATCCAAAGCTCTCGGTCAGCCCCTCAGTAGTGCAAGCATACTGGTCAAGCAATAAAAGTCTGGCCAATAGCATCTGTAATTGAATTGGAATTTTCCGAACTTTAGCATTTTTCTTTTTCACATCTTGTAATTTTCCCAACTCATCGGGTCCCAATCGAAATAATTCTTCTCGTAACTCGGGGGTTAGCAACAACGTTTGAATAAGAGAGTTTAAATAACACGTAGCTCCTTGATTTTTAATTCCACAAAAACCAGTATCTCCCCTTCCAGGCGGAGGTGCCTCAACCTTGCTCCCATTTATTTTCGCAGGACTTGAAGCTTTTCCTTTCTCTTCCTCCATCTCTGGCTCCTCAAACATGTTACCAAACATCTATTCTGTAGTCGGTCAATCCATCAAAAGAAACATTTCAATGTTGAACAGAACTCTAAATCATTGTTAACTTCATTGTTCAACTTTATGCATTATATCAAGAATATTTTTCTGTAAAAATGAAACTCTATCTGAAGTTTTCTCAACAAGTTGGCAAAAATTGCAAGTGCAGTTTTAAGAATTTTGTGGCATCTGAAGCTGCCGCAAAACCACGGCGACTGACTTTTTAGCTGCCACAAACCAATGGCAAGATGCCTGTGCCGCGACAGCAAATTGAAAACCAATAGCCAGAATAGCGAGTAAAATTTTGCTGCCGTTACCAAGGCATGTCGGCTGTAATGGCAGGGCTGCCCCTGATGGTGACAAATATTGGGTAAGTTGGAACATTTTTCTTATGGATACAGGCTACAGTTTTGATTGATTTGGGGTGAGGTTTCAGGTTTAGATAGATATAATTCTGCATGACAAACTCAAATTTGGTACATGACTTTGTGAATATACCGGTAATACTCATTACTGAAAAGTGCCATAAGACCATGGCTGCATGGCAAGAGACGCCACAGTTTGTTCGTGCCAGGAGCTGCCATAAAGTGGTAAGAACTCCAACTCAAAAATTGAGCTAGACTATAAACCAGCTAGAATTTACTTGCCTTTTTAGATTTGCAAAACTTTTGATTTTTCCAGAAATAAGAGAGGCCGTGGTGTGCCATATGTTAAGCTGTTTTATCAACTTTCCTCTCTCTGGAAAAATATGTGAATGCTATCCTAATAATAACTCACGAAATAATAATCCTTCATTCAAGTGAACTAACGGAGATAGATGAAAATGTGCTCTTTTAACTGTTTAAAGCTTGGATAACTTTGACAGCGAAGCTCATCTGTGCAGAGATTCGTTAGATATCGGGTGGCTATCTTTATATCGTCACGCTAATAACCGAATTGCGTAAGTCATTTTTGGCGATTTCGAGTTTTTTTTATAAAATAGGTATTTATGGAATGCTGCGCACCTGTCTGTTAACTCAGATTCTATTTTAGGAATTCCGAAACCCATAAAAATGGAGATTTAGTATGACATGCACATTTGTGAAATTGTTTCGTCATAATGAATTATCCTTGTTACCGCAGTACTCTTGTGACGTCACAAAGGCAAAATAACCACGGCGAAGTATTTTCGAGTTTTTGCATCTCGAATTCTAGCTTAGCGCATATTACTGTATTAATTTGAATTTTTACTACAGTATAGGAAGACGTACACTTGTGATATTCACTGTCCGAGTCAAATTTACTTGGTTGGCTTTTATATTGGGTGCACGTGCATTGCTGTTTTATTCTTTATATTTAATCTTAGTCCTATTTCGGTGGGTGTGCAGAACGTGTTATATTGATGAAATATATATTTTTAAACATAAAAAATGATGTAAATGAAACGGATTAGCTATTTTGGGGATTAGACATTTTAGATACTGAGAATTACATTCGTTTTTGGAATGTTTAGTTTTCAGGACTGGTGCATATAGTGAAGTTGCAAAATTGCGTACCGGTATGTCACCAAGTCATAGACACATTTCTGCCTAAGTCACAGTGCGCCATTATGACGTCACTTAACTGCGTCATACAAATTAACTTAAATCCGGCTACGATCAAAAAATTGAACCATGGCAAATTATTGACTCTCAAATGCAACACAAAATCATTAGGAAGTTTTTTACGTTTTTCTCAATACTGCTAAAAATGACTTACGCAATTCGGTTATTAGGGTGACGATATGGCCTTGTTCGGGCAAAAGGCGCAAGTAGGGGTCGTATTAAGTCATGTTGCAACAAAAAAAACTGCCCACTTTCCGCAAATTTTTTTGGCTGATTTTGGTGTACGCTATCCTTATCGCATTACCGGTACTGTACCGGTACCGTACCGGTATAATGAAGCCGCTCGGTGGCTTTCTTCCCAGGATAACGATGACTATAAATATATTATTCTAGGTAGTTAGATACGGTACCGGTACCTGACAAAAAAAGATTCACACTAGAAGCACTAGAAAATGATCCAGGAACTGAATGAAGCCTTTAACACGAGGGGTAAATTAGATAATCCTGTACGGTACTGCGCTATGACGTCGGTAAATCCGGAACTGAGTTCAGAACTTCCGATGTGAGCTAACTGGTGGCCGTATCTGAAGGCCGCAGGGTGGTGCTATGCAACCATGCAGGAAGGTAAATCTACTATGGACCGCGCATTCTTGGACACGAAATAATTAGTCATTGTTAGGATAGGATAGAAAAGGATCTCCATATTTATCCCGGGGCAGAGGAAAGACGATATGAAGGGTTGACCATATGGCAACTACGGCTTTTCGACCGGTTACCGTTTCGGTGTTGTTAAATTGTTGTTGTTAGTATTAGGCCGCGAGCCGAGGCCATTTATCTTTCAGTTTCGTAGCGCACATCAGGTAACTACCTGAAAATGATTTTAAAATGTTCCTTAGAAATTTAGTAACAAATATTGCCTTGTTCCCACTTCCAAAAGTTGCACGTTTTACAGAAAAGACGCTTTTACTACAATAAATATGTGTTACCATCTGTCTTATTTTCTCTGCTTTTCCGGTATCGTGGGCCAATGAACGCAGACTTCTGCAAGACGTAACAGTCAAGTTAGTCAGCTGTAGGTGGATCCCCAGTGGTCGGATGAATATCAGATGTACTACAACTGCTCGCTTTTGCGTTGAGTAGCCTTTTCATAGTGTTGAAAAGTATAGGTAAGATATCAAACACTTGCATATCCTTACCATAAATAGCAATTTTAGTTGAGCACTAGCTCATAAGACGTTGTTAAATAGGTACGGTGCGGTAACTCCAAGGAAGGCTAGACCTAGAATAATATGTCACAAACAACGATATTTTCTGGCTTGCATGAAATGTTTATGATTAATTTAATGACTCTTCTTGACTATTCAGCAGACTTATACTACTATATATACAGATATAGGCCACAGCATAGCCTATTTGGAAATAGAAATGAATGGCTGTTTCTGTAATGCACGGTTGTGTGAAAGAGAAGAAAATCAATTTTACAAATTTCGGTTGGTCTAAATCCATAGAGTCGACAAGAACCTGGGAAGCAATGATAAGTTATGCCGGAGTGGAAAGAAAGGTAGCATTGGAAACGATTGAGAGGTGAGAAATCAAGTTGTAGACAAACAGTTGATGTTTTAAAATATAGTCTATAGTCCATACTCATACTGTCATAGGACATTTCAGACTGTGATATATCAAAATTTAGTGTAGATATAGTCTAGTACCGGTAATGGTATGCAAACACTGCTGGACTGTAGTACATGCAATGAGCATATATACGCTCATTTAGTACATCAGATAAAATGCATTATGTATTCAAGGTATTAGTTGGTATTTAGGGGTATTTTTAAACTCATGCTGCTCCAAATATCATTTTCTTCCTCATTTTAGATACTATACTACAAAAGAAAACGGCAATGTTCCACCAATCCGACCTAACGCAGGCTCTGATCCCTGCTGCTATCAGTGCTATAAAATGGATTAAACAAGAAGTCTTGAAGCTTAAAGGTATATGAGAATCATAATAGTTGCAAACAGCTTAGATGGGCTATTCATATTGAAATACTTTAACACTTTTCTGCAATTGGAACTGCCCATCAAATTCATGTTGGAAACTTCATTGAGATTTTCAATTCATTTTTTTCCCTCGACTATGAAGATCTTTTGAAGTTAACGAGGCATTAATAAATAAAGCTGAGGAATTTGAAGAGGATATAAAGAATGTAAATGATATCAGGGCACGTCTATTTAACACTGTCAAACATAAGGATTGTACTCTCCACCCAACAATGATTCACTGAAGAAGCATGTGGCCCTCAAATCAGTTCTTGAGTTGGCAAACTGCAAGTGTAAGAAAAATAGTCAAAATAATTTATGAAAGTGTGCCAAAATCAACTTAAATTGCACAGATTTTTGTTTTTGTATTGACTGCAAAAATCACAGTACACTTATAGAGGAAAAGTCGATTTTTGAGATTTGGATTTTGAGTGGATTTCGAAAACAATTCAGAAGAAAGTGAATTAGATATTACTGTTGATTTAATAAGTATCATTTATTTGTTTTGTTTTTTGGACATTTGTTAGTGTCGTAGTCCTGTTTCTAGAAATATTATTGCCTTTGTTCAAATACATAACCACATAAACTAAAAAAAGATTAATTGTAAATTGTAATATTTCTGTTCACTATGTTATGTACATATGTTAATTTTCTTGACTTTTGCGGTAAATTTCCAAGTGAGAAATAACTGATTTATTTGTGTTTTCGTGCTCACGATGTTAATTTGTGACTTCATTGCTTAAAAATAAATACGTTTGATAGCTTCTATAAAATGGATGTAGCTTTTTATGCTGTTCTTGTTGTAAACTGCTTGTGGTTATTACATAAAATTTATTTATGTGAATCAGCGTTGTTGGTGTCGCTGCTTTAGAGGTCACTCCCGATTCCTGTCACACAATTAAAGTATTTTTTGTTGTTGGTTACATGTATGCCATATTTTTCGTAATCTACCTGATAAATTATGATTGACTGAGGAAGTCCGATTTTGGTCAGGCAAAACATTACAGGAATACATTTGTGTTAGTGTGCTGTAGGGCTCTCGAATTGCATAGTTCTTATGTATGTGTTGTAAACTTATGGTTATTGAATTTCCGGGAACCTCTTATATTCAATTTCGCACTAGGATTGTGGAACAAGCTGTAATGCGTTCATTATGTTCGTTTTCACACAAAACTGAAGAATTTATTTAGTTACCAGATGTGCGCTACGAAACTCATTTTCTGGGCGTTTTCATGGCTTCGTCTCACGGCCCATATCCGTGGTAAGGATCTACAAGTGTTTAATAACTTACTTATACATTTTTCAACAACGTCTTAGCATAACTTAACTAATAATAACTAAACAGGGCTATGGAAAGCCTGCCCAACTCAGCGCAAGGTCAAGCAGTAATAACTAATATTCATCCGCTCGCTAACAGCTGGTTTAATTCAATTGTTACGTCATGCTGAAGTCATTGTTCCTTGCCGAAAATGTAGAGAATATAGGACAGATCGTAGCACATATTTCTTGTAGTAGAAGAGTCTTTTCCGTAAAACGTGCAACTTTTGGAAGTGGGAACAAGGCAATATTTGTTACTAAATTTTTGAGAAACATTTTAAAATCATTTTCAGGTAGTTACCTGATGTGCGCTACGAAACTCACTTTCTAGGCGTTTTTCAGGGCCTCGGCTCGCGGCCTATATTCTTCTAGGTCTGCGTTTTGTTCATGAAAACATATGATACGGTTTTTTATAATTCACAGCCACAGGAATCTAGCTGCAATCTCCAGAAACCCTTGTTAACCATTTTTGTTTCAAATTCATCGTTCATAAGTAACCATACTACCATAGGTCCATAGACAACAGTTTGGCGAACCATATCGCGAAACAAAGAGTACAGCAATTTTCTCTTTTGCGCATACTTCAGTCCAATCCATGGTAATCACCGGAGTGATAAATACAAGCTAATAATTCAGTCTATGATGTATTGATAAATAAAATACGTACTGATTATCGGTCACGAAATGTGCACATAGATCGTTTTGTTATTATTTCGTTGCTGTTGTTCCTTTCCTTTTTAGTTTTTTTTTCTTTTTTTTATGGAAAAAATTAATTTTCTCGTTTACCACTGAGCTACTCTGAGAACCCATCAATTTTTTAATTATTACTACAAAATAAAAAATAAATAGTTAATTTTTATTTAAGCTTGGACTTCTGTTGGATTAATGGGTAATGGGTATACCCCAAAGTTTCAGACTAGGATGCTTTGTACAAAAGTTCTCTCTTGCACAGGGCTGGGCAATTATTTTTGCTATCGGGCAACATTGAATATTCGAAATGCAGGGGCGGGTCGGACTAAATAAAGTCAATTGCGCCTTTTTATTGTATTCTGTATACTATATCTATTGTACTCATTTTTATTCAAAGCACAATTGTTTAAACTAGTTTAAAACATAAATCTCGCGAATTCGAAACAATACATAGATAGGGTCAGAGAAACGCACGCTTGCATAATAATGTCGAATATTATAGTAATGCTGAAGAGTAAGTAACAATGTGGAATTAAGACCATGCCTTCGGTGGCCAAATATCGTGATTCATATAACTTTGCGTCATCGTAGCATTTTTGACGTGGAGCCTCGCGGAAAATGCGTTGAAAGGCTTTTCAAGTTTAAAAGACTAGAATGTAAGCTACTGCTCTAAAATACCATGGCTATCTATGTATATAAAAATGTGAGATTAACCGCCGTAATATACGTAGTGTTATTACCTATTTTTGCAATACGGGCACATTGAAATGTCTTGCTTTATTGTTTTAACTTAACCCGCGGTTGCTTTGACAAAATAAGAAGCATTCCGCCACAGCATTCCGCCGACATAAAATGTGAGGTAAAGTACCAGATTATTTTAATTCCTGAATTCGACAAATTTGATCTATTCTTGCAACAATGACTTGACTCTGTTTCAAAGATTCTACCATCAGAAAAATCCCTACATCTGCCAAGTAAAAGTCATTTCAGAATTTAGTACCATGAAAATTAAATTAAAATGTGTGTCGGGGGCACATGAAATTTTCCAGTTTCCGATTTCTATAACAGCGTTTTTTAATCTGTCGCGACCCTTTTAAATCAAAACTTGGTCTTGTTCAATTTTTCGATTTTTTTATTGCCGCTCCAAAATCTAGATTTACTCGCAGATCGCATTTAGATTCAACCCTTTCTTTAGCAACTTGTCACCGACGATTATATAAAAACTAGTTTTTCTCAATGATTTCACAGTTTTGTATACAATACATGTTTTGAAAAATAATCACGTGTTTTGAGATATTCACCGACGTAAAGGTGTTTACGGTCTAAATAACACCTCGAGCTGACGAAAACAATCAGCGACTTAAAAAAAAAATTTAGTCGAACGTTTTTATTATCCTAAAATTTTTTTTTGTTCACAGTGAAAGTATATTTCATATGCAAATAAAAAAGAAAGTGTCTAAATCTAGAAACCTGCTCGCGGACCGGATGAAACGTCGCCGAAGACCGGATGTGACCAGCAACTTTCCCAGGCCTGCTCTAGCACATGCTTCGAATTACCTCTTTAGCAGACTTGCATTCGCAGCGCAACATTTGGTCACTCACTTGGTTATCTGCTGAAGCCCGAAGATGCGATTGAAACGTCAATGCGTCGTTAAATGCTTAATCAGGATTTGACGAACTTCAAGCGTTACCGGTAGCGGTTGAATATTCAAGTGTCATTTTGCCGTAACTTCGATACTATTAAAAAGCATCAGTCGTTAAAGGTAATACGGCATTTCATCCTAACCGTAACTATAATATAGCGTCGTTCAAAAGTAAGACAAACGAAACAGACCGGATAATTATTGTTACATTTTACCAAGGGGACAAGTGTAGGACCACGTCACTTCAGAGACACCACTCAAATTAAGACATACTTGATTGTTATTGCAATTTGTTGCTCAAGAGTCCACAAGCAGTTTTGTTCTGCAGGACAGAAAAACCCGACATTGGCGAAAAATAGTAAATCCTAATCGATCTCCCATCTCCACCTAAACAACCTTCTTGTCCATCAAAAAGCACCATGCAGGTATTGGTCAAGTGTGCATATTGTGTATTTATTACTTTGTAGTAATGGAAAATCATTCTTTAATACTAACCAATGATTGTTCTACTTTTACGTCTAGTAATTACCTCATATTATAGCATAAATATTGTATGTGATATCTTTACAAATCTCATATATTTCTGAGCTTAACTTATTCGATTATTCAATTACAATGCATGATAACATATTAAAAAAATTGAGTAAAATGAACTAAATAACATAGTATAAAAATTTCAACAACAGTTATTTCAAACAGATTTTTTACAAATGTATATACAGAAAAATTTAAATCTAAAAATATAAATTTAACGAATTGCAGTATATAAAGTGATTAATTACAGTGTATAGAATAGTAAATGAAATGGTGCAAAAATAACGTACAGAAATAGTTTCTTTGGCACAATCCCTGTTATCTTGTTTTATTACAGATACATCTATATTCAATTTACTACCCTAAGTGAGACTGAAATTCTAATATTTCAATCAAAAATAGCTGTAATCGAAACTAGGGTAACTATGCTTAAATCCAAACTACATTACTCAAAAGTGATAAGAGTAATCAATCCACAAACACCCTTCACATACTGAATCATTGTGCAACAAATAACAACATTGCTAATTCATTTATGTTGCAATATTTGAATAGAATCGCTTATTATTATGATATTGCAATTCACTCATCCATTTTTACAAATACTCTCGGTCTCTCAAACACACGAACTGCTTCATCAACTTCTGCTATTCTTCGTTCTAACTCAGTCTTCCGCTGACGTACTCCAAAAGAGTCGGCTGAACGTACTGGCAGGAATCTGTATTCCTGTAGTAAGTCGAGTTGACCTATAAAACAGACAGGAATTACTTGTTACAATCAAATAGCAAGTTATAAATTTACTTTTGCTTGAATGTACTTTCTAAAAAAATGTATGTAATTCGATCTGCATAGTCCTTTTGATATCAAAAAAGACAAAAAAACATGAGAAACATGAAACAACAAGTTGCAGAAGTAATGCTTAGATTTACTTTGCTTAGTTATAATATGAACAAACAATAACTCTCGATGAAACATTGAAAAACAACTGTCATAAAGTTCCAACTATTTTCATAGTCAAAATAAAAAAATGATTCATATTTAAAGAAAGGTTGTGAATATAGACAATGATAAGATGAAATGTGATGTAAAAGATTTAAGAAACTGTGGATATGCAAGAGTCATGTGAAAAAAATCTGGTAAAGAAAGTTGAGTGTGTTAGAGGCTAGCTATGTCACAGTGTCAAATGTTTAGAGCCTATTTCTGATTTAAACTCGATTTACTCTCAATGGAAATCTAAACTTTTGTGCAGAGCGTCCTAGATTACTGAACTTTTAGTTACAATCATGCACAAAAGAAGGTTCGAGTGCTAAATATTCTTCTTCATTTTCATATAGGTAAATCATAAATGCAGGAGTGTTATTCCTGGGGTTAAGCTAAAGATAATACATAGATCAGGAGACAAAATGAGATGGTAAACATCTATTGATTTGATACTCTATATTCTATAGCAGGGGTGTGCAACCTTTAACACAGGCTGGCCAAATACAAATAACTGGGCAAAATCGCGGGCCGCACTTTTATTTAACATGGACTTTCTTGTAGTTGCAGACACAAAAATTTTATCTTATGACATGCGTTGTTCGCTTCGCACAAGCTAGCTGTCAGGGCATTGTAACGTCATAGATAATAAATTGGACTTAGGTATATATGCTTTGCAACGCAAAGGGATTGGAATTACTCGCACGTAGCAGATTAAACTATATTAAAAACTCGTTTCGTGTGCCGCACACCATTCAAAACTGGCACTTCTCCACAAGTCGCACAATTATTCTTGTGGTCCGCCTTTGGCCTGCAGGTGGTTGCACACCTCTGATCTATAGCATAAATATTTTGCTACTCGAATTATACATAATAAATAGTACAGGAATCAGAATTAGATGGTAAGTTCAAATAACTATGGATTTAATTTTGACATGCACAAAAAATCATAAGGTGCTTTTTGAAGTTAATTTGTTTTGAAATTTAAAGACTTTCATAAAATACAACAGATTTTTCCATGCATGTTATGCCGATTTTTTCTACCACCATGCATGTGTAAAAGCACCTTATGACTTTCTGTAAAATCTGTAGAAAAATTTGGTCCATGACGAGCCATTCTTGCATCTGGACCAGGGTCCTTGAACTCATCTCTGTATGAGGTCTTTGAAGCAGCTGCATTGAGTCTTGCTTGCATTTCTGGGGTATTTTCTCTCCTGTAAGCTTGTTGGGATGGTGCCGTGCTTGGTGGTGAAGGTGATAGAAATCTAACTTGTCGAGCAGTGGGTTGATCATCAGGCATTGCTGGAATGCCTTGTTCACGAGAAGTAGATTCTGCATAATAGTGTGGTGTCGAATTTCTTCTATATCCAGGGTAAAGAGAATAGCCCGCTTTGTTGTTTTCAGGTGTGTAATAGCCTTGATTACCATAGACCACAGAGCGAGTTCTACCTTCTGGATTTGTAGGTCGATTCTGATATAGACTTTCATTTGGACGAGTGTTAACAGCCTGATTATATCCTCTGGTTTGTAGATATTGCCAATTTTGTGCTGGGCTATATCGATTCTGTAATTGCATATTGTGGTTGAAATCGTCATCTTGATGAATGTAGCTTTGATGTGGATATTGTTGATAACCTTTGTCAATAAACATAGGTGATGGTTGTTGAGGCTTATAAGCTGTTGGAGCATACTCTCGAGTCCCCTTTTCTTTCTCTTTACGGATGGTTTCACCCTTTTCAATTCTTGTGTACCCATCACCAATTTCTTTTGCTTGGTATTTTGAAACGGAATTTCGCTTGTCTTGATCACTGATCTTACCCCCATGATCATATACAACATGATCTTCTGTGTAATATGAAGTAGGATTCCTTTGTTCAAACCGATATCGGTTGTTTGATGTTGGAGGTCGAGGTTGAGGATTTTGGCTGTAGCTAATGTTATGAATCACATTGCCAACAGAATCATAATAACCATCCCTTTCATCTTGGTATTCTCCATTTCTACCATACTGTGTGCATTTCGGGTACAATTTCCCATTTTCTTCATATTGATTCCTGTATTCTCTGCCTGGTGAGTCGTTGTAATAATAATAATTTGCAATCTCGCTTGATGGGGTGAATTCGTCTTCAGCATATGTAGAATAATATTCAACATCATCACGATCTCCAACCTGCCCATATCCACTTTCGTTACCATGCAAATACTGGTTTGTATGGTAGTTATTCGATTCACTTCCATAGCCTTCATCAGGTATTTGATATGTTGTTTTCTCAACAAACTTACGTTTTTCCTTTCTCTCAACTGAGACAGTCTCAGGTGAGTAATACTCATCGTAGTAGCCATATTGTATATTTCCATGATACGGCATTGAAACTTTTTCTTTCACTTTGGTTGTCTCTGTGTGTTTTGCTATGAGTTGAAGTTAGTAAAGAATATGATGATGATAAGATGCGATAAGTCATATCCTTTTGAACATAATATAGAAACCACATAGTGCATTTCTAGTTTATGCTTGATAATGTATATATAATAGCATGTTAATAATATATAGCAAAAAACATGCACTTCTATTCCCAAATACGAGAAATAAAATTCTTATTGTTGGATACTCTTCTCCGCAAATATAATATTCCGTTCAAAATAAAATTATAACTTGAAGGTAAGCAAGCAGCTTGTTCATTGGAAGACTAACTTTAAAAACAGACAGAGAGAAATTCTCTTTACATGGCGGCTTCATGAAGGAGGAATAGCGAGAATGAACGGAAAGAAAAAAGGATTGAAAATCAAGAAAAAACGTTGCAAAATGCTTCAAATATATTTTTTTTCTGTCAAAATTAATAACAAAAAGGAGTGTCTGCTTGATGCAACTGTGTTCCTATTTGATTCTAATATTTTACTTACTTTGTCTTAAAATATTTAATGTGTCTTTTCTGTCTCTATCTGGCAACACTGTATGTCCATCTGGTACAGTTGGGTCAGGAATATTTCTGATTCTATTTTGTTCTGCTCGAGCCCATTCCCTTTGTCTTGCTTGTAAGCTGTATAAAAGTAGTCATAAATTAATAAGTAAGTGGGTAAGCAGGTTTATTTCGATTTTCCGTTACAGCAAAGCGAAGAAGCAATACAGGACAAAACGAACAAATATACGAAAAATCAGGAAAGTAGGCAAAATCTGAAAAGTTTTAAGACGTAGTGATACAAGTGCCCATTCACCCAAAAGAGCAAATAACATGTTGAAATAAATTTTAAAAAAATACGCGAAAGATAATTCGGGCGTGAATACTTATGTCAGTATGTGTGGAGTTTGAACACACAGTTTCTACTATATTGTATACAAGAAAATAACGAATGAAACGGTCAAGTGATTACTAGTACATAGTCCAAGCTATATCTAGCTATCTCAAGTTTACGTCCTGATCAATCCAGCTAAGCCCAATTGGTTTGAAACATTTATAAGCTATCGTGTAAGTCTATCAGCCACTCAACTATAAGTGTGCAATTTCAGATTCTTATTAAAACATTCTTTTAAATGTTCAATTTTTTGACAAGGAAATTTATAATAATAGAATATTTGGATAATATTTATACTTACTATGAAGGAGATGATCCTTTCACAGTGTTATTATATTTCTTTATTCCATCATAATACTTTTCTTGAGATCTATCGACTTCCATTTGAGACTTAGAACGCTGAGGTTTATATGATTTCGCTAATCTTGCATTCCTTGCAATGAAGTCTTCTGCTCTGCGTTCTGCTTGCTGAAATAGGCGAATGGGCCATTATAAGCAGAGCTGGAAAATTTTCTCCACTTGAATAATAGCGCACAGGCAAATTTTCTGTGAGTGATAGAAATCTAGTGGTCACCAGGAACCTAAATAACCAGGTAATTATGAGACAGACAGCAATCACCTTGTAAATACTTCAAACAAGTGCATGTTTGCAAGAATTAGCATGATGTGCCAACCATCAATATAAAGATTCAGCATAGATTAATAGCAACTACTTTATATAACTTGACTATAATTTTTGATACATAGTCTCATAAAATAATAAAAAAGGCGTCTTTTATTAAAAGAAAAAAAAATCTTTGAACAGAAACAGTGCCAGAATCACAAAATAAGGAAAAAGTCCTCCACAAATAATTTTTGTTGTCTCCCCACATAACCAACAGTTTTTTTTTCACGTTTTATAAATCAAACTTGTTTGTTAAGTGCAATGTTCCAATTTCATACAACTTAATTTTTTGGAATAATCTCTTAAATGACAAGCATGTTTTTAATATAGTGATTGGAAGAACATTGATGTGGTACTAAGTGTGGATTGTTGTCTCACCCGTTTTGGTGTCAATGGTGTTTCTGAATATCGGGCCCTTTGTCCGGTATGTCTTTCTGCATTTTGACGTCCACCAGCTGGTGCTGAACTTGGTCTGTCATAACTTGGAGGGGCGGAACCAGGTCGTGGTGGCACACCTCTTGGAGCTCTTGGCGTTGGCTGAAGATTGAAAAGGGAAAGATATAAATGGCAAAGTAGAGGAATAGAAAAGGAATTTCATGTCCATCCCAAAGAGAAAAAAAACAACAATGTGGCAACTAAATGACACAGTGAATCTTAATTTCAATGGTTTGATGCTATCGAACTTTGAACGTATCATGTATATTCATGCAGACCATCAACGGTCCACCATTGGCTAAAATAAAGCTCTAACTTTAAAAAAGTAACAGTATAGCATAAGAGTAAAGAGAGAGATGCCAATATGGAGTGTACTAGGGTATTGAGTACTGAACTGCAAGTCCTTTCTCCTTGTTTACTTTTCACTACAACTCCGTGTGTGTCAGTTGCCACAAGGATGCTTGAACAAGATAGTATTATAAAGATAAATAAGAATAACATAATCTGCTTCCACAAAATAGACAAAGTATTATTGCTATTTGATTGGGCCATATCTTGTTTTATCTGAAGAAGTTATACTATAATATACCGAAAGCTTACAAATATACTTGCTATTTCACGGAAAGAGATTATGTTATTCTTGAAGAGAGAGACTTGATTTTTATTAATATAATTTCAAAGAAACAAATTCATACCTCAAATGTTGTTTTAACTTTAGATTCGACACTTTCATATCTCGTTGATTTCCACAATGCTTTTACCGGGGTTGGTTTATTTTGTTCTTTTTCTTTTTCCTTGTTCCTTGATTGTTTCTGAATTTGTCTCATTCGTCGTACGTTTGCCTCTCCATGGTCAACCGGTTGTTTTTCTAGTAAATAATGAATATTTCGCACTTGGTATGCATAAATGAGTTATCGCAGTTTGGCATGCGAACTATTAATATTGAAATCGGAGCCAGAGTTGTATCTTGAAATCCCTCAGTTGGAATTTTTAATATTTTGAAACAAAATTTTAGACTTCAATAATGGTGGTGGAGCAAAGTCTAAATTTCCTGCACAAAATAAAAATGTTAAGTTGATTAAGAATTCTCAACAGACCATTAAAGAACGCTCACATACTCCAATATTTTTCATCAGAATTTTTTTTTATATCAGAGCTGGTGACGTGGAGTCAAACTAAGAAAACCGTACAAGGTAATGAGCAGTACACTGAAAAGCATGTTCCTTATGTTTTTTTGAATAAACGCTCAAACCAACTGTCGGTCTCATTGCTTGACTTTTCATATCAGTTCATCAAAAGTTTCGTATTGCAAACTTACTTGGTTTAGCTTGTGTAAACTGGCGAACATCTGGTGTTTTTAGTAAATTTTGGATGCAACCTTTATGTTTCTCTGCTATTTCACTAGCTTCTGATTTAACTCTCGGAACTGGTTTGGGACTCCTTCCTGTGTATTGACCTAAAAATCATATATAGGCATTACGAGCTGTAACATTTTTTGTTCAATTAAACTACCAGGAATGTCTAAAGTTCAAGCTTGAAATCCGAAATCCTAAATTGATAAATTCATCTACTATAAAGATTTGTGTATCTGCCATACTAAGTATCATACAGGCTTAAGTCCGACTTGTGGAAAGCATTGTTTGGAGCAGAATTTTAAGCATAAAAATACTAAAACGGCATACTCGGCTACTGTTTTAAATTAAAACAGCATTGAGCACAAATTTGCTGTATACCGGATAGATAACAATATCCTAGTATGGAATGAATAATATTTTGGAAATGATAGGAGAAAGGTTCTGGGATTGAGTTCCAAAGCCGTCTTATGTGGAACAATACTCTTTTCTGAATCATGCATGGGAATACCTAACAACTCAATGGATGAAAGTGGTAGATAGAGCAAACAATAAGATATGTGTTGGGCTTTCAACCACTCTGTGCTCAATGAATAATTCATTAATGCGTTCGTATATTACATGATCATCTCAAAGCAACCATAGATGTAATAAGGTAAGAATTGTGGAAGCCCAGTTTGGCAAGTCAATTGCAAGATCATAGGAATATATAAAACAGTCACAAGATATACAAAAAGCAATTGTTTTCTCAACCCAACACTGCAAACTATGAACAAACCTTTGTTATAAATTGGATCAACCAGAATTGGTCCTTTTACTCCAGCTTTTCTCAATGGTCCTTCTTTTGGATTTATATTCTCCGCACCTCTAGATTCACCATAATACACTGAAAATAACGCACAGTTTAAATTTTGATAACTGACTATGGTGCAAACTAGCAGCAGTCAGCAGATAAATATATGATTTTAATAACTTACCATATATTAAATTATAGTTTAATAATTTATTGTTCAGATGGAATGAGGTTCAATATATTGGAATTACACTTCTAAGAATCAGGGTTTATCAACCTATTTACCATTTCACCAATGAATGCATAATAAATTGATGACACTTTACTAAATGATCAAGGATATTACTGAATTCCAGGTATGCCAGTGTGAACTATTCAAAAATCCAATATTCCAGTAAATTCTGAACAGTTATAGATACTAATGTCTTACCAGGATCTGGTTTTCCATATTGACCCATGACAACATCCATGCTTCCTTTTGCTTTGATTGCAACATCTTGGGCTTCTGGTTTTACTCTAGGAACAGGTCTTACAGAACGATTCGAATACTTTCCTCCATTATAAGTTGGATCAACGAGAATAGGAGAACGAATTCCCATATGACGCATGGGCCCATTTGTTTGCGTTACATTCATGGATTGAGCTGAATTGTGAAAAATATCCGATTAGCTCATATTATGTTTGAAACAGAAATTAGAAAAATATAAGATAGTTCATAAGAGAAGCCTTGGCGCTCCAGAAGTGTGTGTACCAATATGGAAATGGTAAATAATTTTGTTTCCTACTTTACAGGTGTGCTAGGCGGTGTGGCTCAACGGGCTAAGCGTTAGGAATACGCTTGCCACCGCACCTCTAACTACTCTGCGTGGGTTCGCAGGTTCGAATCCCATGCAGGGATGGTTATGTGCGAGAGGATTGCTGGACTCCTCGCCGTCGTTGGGTGGTTCGCGTAATCGCTGGTCGGTTACGGCTTCCTCCACCACCAAGTCCATGCTTCCGAAAACAAACAATACAGTAAATCTAATCCCATACCCGACTTGGAATGGTAACCGGACGAGAGGCCGTGGTTCGCCATATGGATAAGTCTTATCGGCTTTCCTCTCCCCCAGGATAAATATGTAAATCCTATCCTATCCTACATCGAGTTGTGTAAATGGACAGAACCTATGGGCAGGGGGTATATTTAGTTGGCTAACACAGACAGTCACCGAACTCGTAATAGACCTAAAATAAGGAAAATAGGAATAAAATTATGGCCTAACCCTAACCTGGTACACACAATACGGGAGTACCGAAGCCTCTACTTCAGGATTTTGTTGCAATATAATTCATTGATTGAAGTGGAAACATAACCTATACCAAGTATAATATCAGATCAATATTTATAAAAAATCAATATCTATTGATTGTCTAGACATCCTTATTCAAAACTTAATCATCACCTAATCCTGTATCACTAAATACACCAACTAAATCATCCTTTATTAATTAATAAAGATGTGTTTCATATTCTGACATTGTCATGGTTTGACCGTAAATCTGCAAATGTTCAAAAACAATGTATTTCGCTTTTGATTTGTAATTTTCACTGTTATATCATGCTTGTCCTATTATAGCATTTTTACATCTCAGACTTTGCACTACTGCACTACAATACTGCACTAATGGTTAACTTCATTTTAATCTGGTATTCAAAGTACAATTTAATTATTGAACTTTTGAATGTCAAAAATTATTAAAAAGACATGACAAACTATAAATTGGTGAAATAAACAATAATTAACTGATTAAGGTAAGAAACCAGTAATTTGATAATAAATAAGTACCGTAATACTCCCCAGTACCGGTAAATACTGAAATACCGTATCATTACTGACATAAACAACCATAAAAATTATATATTATACCTTGTTGTCTTCCAAACGTAGATCTTTTTGGCATATCCATACAGGTTTTCATGCCCATTCCCCTGTGTCGATCAGCGATTTCAACTGCTTCGGGGCGAACTCTTGGAGCTGGGTACGATTCCAATGCCCGACGTACGTCGTATTCGCCAGATCCGTACTGCATTTTTGGTTCTATTTATTAGACTAACAAAAAATTTAGCCAGTTAATCGGAATGAATTCCAGTGGCACACGCTACTCAGTAGTTACTGCTGGAAAATGTTACCGTACTCCAGTACTCCTCCGCAGCCGTAAATGGCATTTGTTTTGTTTACTGTCAGTTGCCAACGACGACAAAATACTACGGTCGCAAATCTTCACGCGTGACGCGTGGTATGTTAGTCGCGCATTAATAAACTCAAACATGATAGTCGTTGGCTAGCTAGGTCAATGTTGTTTTATGTCATGGGCTAGGTTTAATCAATTCAGACATTTGTATACAGTAATTTAACTTATTGGACACGTAGTGGACATAACGATCGTTTCAATATTATGTTGTTGTTGTTGTTCTTGTTCTTTGACACGTTTTTAAAAAGTCGCTTTTCTCTTCGAATACTGGACCAATTGCTTTGAAATTTTCAGTGGTTAAAGATAAAAATTTTCTCCAGAAGGCTATCACTTTTTTTTTCGCTATGACGTCATCAAAATTATGTGACTCTACGTGTCCATATATTTGAGCATAGCTCTCTTGTTTTTTTATATATTGATTTTTTTCACAACAATAACAAGCAAAACAGCAATCATGTGTAATAGCGTCCATTCTATCATGTTGGTAATATTTTGGCAGTAGAAGATTTTTATTCAATTTTGATTAAAATCGATTCGGCTTAAAAAAAATGCTGCTAATTCTGACTAAAACATTGGGTCTTAATGACGCAAAATCGACTGCGTAGGATGCCGTAATCTGAGCCTTCTCTGCACTCCAGAATCCGATACGGAATATTCGGGACATTCTGATTCAAAAAAGTTATCCGACACCTACATCCCTAGATGGCAGTTACTGAAAGTCCCGAGTCTGTTAAGGACCTCAAAAACTGACAGTTGTTGGATTCCGTTTGTAAGAACCATTTTATGTGTAATATAAACGTTTACTGTCAATTTAGGGTGTACTAGGGTATTGTATATTGAACTGCAGGTCCTTTCTCCTTGTTTACTTTCTATTCCGGATCCGTGAATACATTTTTTCATCTTGATTTTCATCATCAGATTTGGGCGGAGCTTTCATCTCGAAAACGTTTTACGAACAAAATACGCCAATGACTCGAGCGTTCTAGACATAATGACTCCACTCGTTAAAGACTGGAATGATTCTTTGAGAGTCTTTGAAATGACAATATGACTTTTTCTTAATGAAGTATGATTTTCCGTTTGTCTCAATGTTTTTTCAATTTCAAAATCCATTTGCAGATATAAATTCTACTGTGAATCGGGAGTTGATGACTCGACTTAAAAATGGCATAGAAAACACTTCCTTTTTCACTAAATTTAACTGTTTTTTTTTATTAAACCGCTATTTCACCAACTTTTCCCATACTAAACTATTCACCATTCGACAATAAAGACTTTTTGAACAATCGTTTCGGACTATGGATAGAACCGTGCCAACAAAAATGAGGCGCTCATACCCAACACTATTCCTAACTACTTTTCCATTTTTTATCATACTGTAGTATTATTATTCAGTTTATTATTCAGTTTGTCAAATTTAAAGTACAATGTGTAACTTCAGTGTATGGGAAACATCTACAGAATTGTTCGTTACAAAAGTAAATTGTTAGTCGGTTATGTTCTTGGCTGTTGAAACCCTTTATTTTTTTCATAATGATGAGACAAAAGTGAATTGATAATGCAAACAAGGATTATTCTACCTAAGGTGCGAAATTTTCTGCGTCCTGTGCTTTACCAATAAAATAAAAATGCTATATCATGTACAAAATATATATTGTAAAATATAATATAAAAACAATGTGTACAGTTGCCTGAATAAAGCCAAGTAAATGAACTACGATTATTGAAAATACAAAGGTAGGAGACTAGCATCAACAGCAGACTTTTTACCGATAACGTCGCTATGATATTTTTGAAAATATGGACAAAATGAGTCAAATCCAATGTTGAAACCAAAAAAATTATAACTTTTAATGTTAAAAATAAAAAGCATTAGAGTGCAAAGTGATATTAAAATTAACAATAGCACTAGAAATACTATAGCAGTATTCCATCATATGGGTTAGTGAATCAACTTCAGAGTGTGTGTGCAACCAAAAGATATGAACATAAAGTCAAGTCTTGAGGACCCGCCTTTAAGAAAACTAATGAAAATAAAATAAACCTAAAATCGAATAAAAATACTAGTAACATCAGCTTTCAATTCATGTAAATATACATTCAATACAAAACTTGTATATGTTGATGATGGATAAAAGTTGTAATGCCAAGAAATGTGTGTTAATGCATAGTAATTCATTGTCTCGATGTTGACAACACATACTCAAGTACACAGGTTGGTCTAACATATGCATTTTTCAAACTCTTCATTGCATCAGCAAAAATATTACGCAGCAGTCTGGAAGGTGATAAAACACAACAGGACAGAGTAAAACATTGTTCCAAACACAAAAAAGCGATCACACTATTGAGCATGATAGCCTACTACTTATATCATTGGACTACTCCCTTTGACTGATGTCTCAGGTTCAAGTTTTATTATCCTATTACAGCATTTTGAAACAGTGGTAGGCAAATGTGCCTGCTTATTGAAATCCTTCTAGAAGGGAAATATCATGGAAATGAACAATGGCATACCACTTGCCAGGTTCATGGCAAATATGCAATCTAAAAAGGTGTTATCTTCCGAAACTATGACTATGATCTATGTGGAGATAATCATTGAAAAATATAAAATCACGAAACTCAGATGAATAAAAGCATTTGAAACAATTTATATATTACAAATATAACTCTAAAAATTTGGCATATAACACAATCTTGATCGTTCAAAACAAAGAATATGGAAGATAAGATTTTTGTGATACCAACTATTGTATATGAACATTTTTTATCCCTCATTGATCTTTCAGCACAATTTCTACACCATCATGGAATAAACAAAAAGATATAATAAAATATCTAGAATTTCCCAGTTTTCAGCGCCTCATCTCTCTCTTTTTCTAGTATATGACATTCTGCTGCACTTTCTGATAACATATCCAGCAAAATGTCAATTTTCAGTTTCAACATGTTATTTTCTTCCAGAAGTTTCTGATTATCTTTACGTAACTTTACAACTTCTCTCTGTGGCAATGATGACCCCGTATCAGCGTGCCACGTCCCATCTTCAAATTTAAGTTGGGTACCATTGAGTTTGAGAGATGCAGAACCATAATCTAATCCAAATTCTTGAGCTCTTTGTGTAGCATCGAGTGCGGCTAAGTTTGACAATGATGCTGCTTTTCTTGGTGAGGCTTTTTTGGGGCTGAAACCCTTGTTTCCAAATAGACCTAAAATAGGCATTATTCGCAAATTATACTATAAAAATAGAAATGTAGATATTGAAAAAATAAAATAAACAGTCGAGATATGTCCAATCACAGAATATTGGTGTTTGAATAAAATAAATTATCATCCATATTGGGCTTTAGTCCAATACATCGTTTTCTAGTTTGTTTTATGTTAGTTTCCACCCAATCCAATTCTTGGACTCACATTCCTTCAAATGTTTAAAGTCAACGAAAATATGCAAAATGACCATAATCTCATAGTACGGTAAGTAGGCCTAGTACGATTCCGCGTTCGGTACCGCTAGTCGCAGTACAACTTATATAGCGTACGGTACGTTACATTAACGGCATATTATAAGTCAGTACTGCAGTAAGTCTAAGTTTTTTCGACTCCATATTCAGCATAACGGACGACAAAACAATGGATAGGCCTACAACAATAGCAGAATAGGGGTCTCGTGTAGTTTCGTACCTAACGTACTTCTAGTAGGCGTAGCATGACAATTTTTTGACATGCCAATCCTAACCCTCACCTGACTACGCCATCCAAAAATTACGTCACTATGACGTCACAATCACGTCATAGAGCTTGCCAAATACTCGTACGATCGCCCGAAATAGCATCGGCGCCGACGATAAAGAACTGACTGACGTCAACGACCTCTCTCCTATTGGGATCGTTGCGACGAGAAAACGAGAGAAATGGCTGTTCGATTTCGGGTTCTCGTCTGCGCGTCTTGGATGACAGTTCGCATAGTTTGAAGGGCTCTATTACGTCACTGTGACGTCGTAGTGACGTAATTTTTGGATGGTGTTGTCAGGTGGGGGTTAGGATTGATATGTAAAAAAATTGTCACGTTACACCCACTAGAAGTATGTTAGGTAAGAAACTACATGAGACCCCAGAATAGAAAGTATAAGTACGCTTTTATCCTCCCTTACCCATGGTCCAAATCTTCGGTCGAACAATCACACTTGGGAATCCGATGCCTGTTGACAATGCTTCGTTTGGAATGTTTTGTTTTGTGTCGGTTTTGTGTATGCGTTGTAGTCGCTACAGCGAAATCACTCCATAGTTTTGAGAAAACCAGCTCGACGAAAAGTTTGCTATTTATTTTTTGCGGGCGGTTTTGGAGGCGCCTTGTCTGTTTCTCCGATAATTCTTCTCTTCTGCAATCGGGCAGACCCCAAAAATCGCACTGGCGCTAATACAGTAAACCTCCCTTACCGCCGCCAAGATAGGGGAAAGCGATGTCGGGGAAAACGCATTTGCGTAAACTACTCATTCCCCGACAGTAAACAATTTCATTTTGTGTAGTGGCATATGGGTCTTAGCAATTAGCACAATGTTCAATTTGGTTATCAGGGGGGGGCATTATAGCAATGGGGTTCAAATAGGCCTAAAAGGTTTATTTTCAACATCAAGTGTGTCGTTTGATGAGTGGCGTTGCGCCGGAATATAACAAATCGCTTGTTTATTTCAACTACTATTTCAGAAATATATTCCAATCCAATATAGAATAAATAGGCTGCTAGCTTAGAAGTCACCCATTTTTACCTGATAAAAATTTGAAAAATAATTGGTCCGGTAGGTAAGTGAGGTAGGTAATGCAGTGCTCACGTATCACCTATACATGTATATATTTTGCGAACCGAAGACGGTCGAATTCTCCAATCTTTTATGATGTCATAATCACGCGTTTGATCTATGCGAAGTTATTAATAACAAGTTCTTTTAAACTAGGCGGCATCAGTCAGAGTCGATGGGATTGTTTTTCATCACCAGTCACAACTACAAACGTTAATTTTCATCAATATATATTTCCACATTGATAATTAATTAGTATGAAAAGCTTGATCATCATTCATTGCTTCTACAAAATAAATTTGACTATAGTGACACAAATAAAACCAAATTTTTCAATAACAATAGCAGTATATGTGGCCCAGTAGTGGATTATGGCCCACAGGTTGAGAACCGGTGCACTAGCTGGACGATACGTGGTATGCATTTGCCCCGAGCACATAGACAGTCATGCGAGTCGTTTTCTTTCGACTTGAACATCACCGGGGATGAAAATCCCTGCACGCACGTAGCGTAAGAACAAGGAGACCTAGATAGGTCTGAAAGACAATCTTTGTGTTTCGTCTTTGCTGTAAGCTTGAAGAGCTGAATATTTTGAGCTGACGTTATAACAAAATTTACCATTTTAATAAATTGGTTCAAGTACGATAAGGGCAAATATGTGCTCGCAAATAACCTCTACTTCCTATGGCATCACATATGTGAGGAAACATACGTCCATCCCAACGGACGTACCTTACCAAGACGACACAGCCTCAAAAAACTCAAAATCAACCCCATCTAAACCAAGAACTCCTTTGATCGAATAAAGAACAGAATGTACTCGCGTACCACCTGGAGGACCTTCGCGTACCACTAGTGGGTACCACAGTTTGGGAATCACTGCTCTAAGGTTTAATAAGATTATGCGTGTAGCTTATGTATCCTAAGAATGTCCTTATAGGCTTTTAATAAGAAAATTCCTGACTGTACCAAATGTGTCCGTTTTATTGATGTTTAGGTATTCATTTTACTCCTAAATGCCAATGCTGGTTGGGGTGTTTGAAGAGACGCCTTGAACTGGTTTCTAAGTGTTGTTCAATAATTGTTGGTATTTCATATCTCAGAGTTTTTAACATTTTGGTTTTAAGCACTGTAATCAAGTCATAGATTTTACTTTCATACATTTTACTGTATAGGTCATAGTAGCTTGACAATCAGTGGTGATTTTGCGTTTCGGAGGATCGGGAGGAACATCGCAAGACCTCGAAGACGACATTTTCTTGTAGCCTACCTAATTCAACAGGTCCTAAATGAAGTATCGAGTTCAAGCTGATAGAATCACTTCCGATGTTTTAATCATACATCACAGAGTTGACATTGTAGCATATAGTATTACTCAGCTTCCGTACATCTTAATCGAACAGGAACTATCTCGATATTTCGAACTAATAAGAAGCTTACACACTCCCGGCAGCTGCCTACACAATCAAGTCGGGAGTAAAATATAGATCACGACGAGGTGATCGCGACAGGAAGTAATATTACAAACCGAAGGCCTGCTGTCAACATAACCGTTAGTTTTCTTGAGATTTTGATCAATAATATGCAGTTTCTGAAAATGTAAACAATGCTATATAACAGTGCCATCGGCTAACTAAAAAACTGGAACATTTGTAGCCAATCGCTTTCAGGTGAGAATGAACAGAATGTCAAAATAAAGTTGCTTAGAATGTAGATTGTGGTAGGCTACATATTATAAACGACAATATATAAAAAATTAGGAGAAAAACTTGACGATGTGCTGTAGGCCACCTATGTGAAATAAACTCAAAAAACATCAGAGCACTGAAAGTAAGATTATCACGAAATTCTAACCAATAGATAGTATTATATTTGGGATTTTGTTGTACAAAGGTACAGCACTTAGCTTAATCTCTAGCACTCTCTTTCTGCGATTGCCTGAACCTAACAACGAACATAATTATATAAAGACTTCACCAGCACACAATTTATGTATCATTCTGCAGTATCTCATGGATATATACTGTTCATTTCTGTCCTAACTTTCCCACTTCTTTTTACAGAGCATTACGTGCTTATAGAATATAGATAATAAATTTGGTCCCCGAGTTGACGTATTACCAGGCGCGGCAGAATATCAATCTTGATTCTCCGATCAAAACAACATGTTTTGTCCGCGGTCTATTCTACGGACCTACCATGCTAATGAGGCTCAATAGTTAGAAATGAATTGTTAGTTCAACTAGTTTTGTTCCAATTTAAAGAATCCGAGCCAAACCCGATTTACGACTGATAATAATATTTTTTCCAGAATCCCCGAAATTCAATCAACTTGATATGAATGTGCTTACAATATCTAAGTGATACAAAAGTTATACTACGCACTTGAACTATTTTTTCGTTTTTACGCTAACATTTTACACACAAGACAGACAATCTAATATTGTATATTATACGGAATCGATAGTATTTCTCTTCACAACATCACAAGCCTCCAAATACCTGATCGCAAGTCACGTGACATCCGAGTTTGGAGTAGAGATGTACCAATACCACTTTTGTCGCCGATACCAATACCGATCCGATACCAGCTAAAAAGCCGATGCCGATACAACGATATTTGAAAACGACCGATACTGCAGATATTCCGATACTATGTAATTATTACCTCAAGTGTGCAGGACAGACGGTTTAAAACAATAGTCTTTGGGCAATATTAATAGTGCACATTATTTCCGTATAAAAAAGAAATATCACACGCACATATATATATTTATTAGGAAGTAGATGTTTGGGATCCAAATGCGTTTATTGATTCAGATGCATTGAGCACTGGCGCTAGTAATCTCGGTGTTCAATTAGACAACTAATAGTATTTGGCTACTGTTGGTGGTAAAATAAATAAATGTTTATCCTACTTATCGTATGAAACTGCTACATTGAGTTACGTGCGCAGGATTTTAGGCCAATATGACGTCGTATTTTATATTCTACACATCGGAACATTCACTAATATTTGATTGATATATTTTTCCATAATTACCATGCAATATTAAAAATTTTAATTTAAAAATTTGGCAGCAAAAAAAAAAAAATTATTGAGCCAGTTTGGCTGATAAATGGCTAGAACAGGCCAGAATACGATTCCTGTTTCTACTAGCGGGGGTGGGGACGTGCATGACTCATAGTTCACAATCAATCCAAGCAAAAAATAATTTCAAGATCAGCATTCTAACCTAATTTTTAAAACATTCTGGATCATATTGAGAAGTTAAATATATCGGAAATATCGGTCTAAATTTAGTCGATACCGATACAAATGAATTGGCCGATATTGCCGATACCGCTACATCTCTAGATTGGAGTCCGTATTCCAGCCAATTTCAAACTTTGAGTCCCATGTCAAATTGAGCCACTTCTGTTTTGAGTCAGAGTCGAGTCCAATTACATAAACAACATTGTAATCGATAAATATGAGTCACACTCAAATTAGGTTTAGTTATTTGAACCGCAGTTACGTTGTTGGCGCAAAGTTCTAATCGTTGGGTTGGGTTGGCTAGTACGGTTTCGGATACTATGAATTGTAAATGCATATTGATGTATGAGAAATATGCTGATCTCCTCACCGTTATAGCGTGGTTCACACGAACAAATGGTATTATTTGTTTACAAAGTTGCAGTCCAGCAATGATTGTTGTGTCGTGTTTTAAATCAGACGGCAACAATTGCTGTGCTGTATAGTGTGTTGTTGCTTCACTCAATTTTACTTATTTTGCTACGAGTGTCAGCGTTTGGCTGCGTATGTGCTTTTCTTATTTAGTTATTAACATTTACTTGTGCTGTGTTTTACTTTGGATTTATTCTGAATATGCTTTAGTTTTAAGTTGAATAGAGCATTTTATCAAGGTATTCAGATTTTTGTTTTATTTCACTAAGTTGGTTGAAGTAAATATGGCGAACATATTACTGTTCATTGCAAACCGGGTTGAACTTTGGTTCTTCGATTTAGAAAAAAACAGGTCGACCAAAACAATTTATTTTCTGTTGTTTCATTTTTGCTTTTTTTCAAGACAACATCGGCGTGGTTTGTGATTTTTCGCCAGTCGCTCAAACGTATTTTATAGTTTCAAGTCGACTCTCTCAGACGGGTATTTTCTTCGTTTAAACGAGTCGAGTGGAATCTAGTCTCTCATAAATGGACCAGCGTCTTCACAACACCGATATTACTTATTTCAGCAGTTATTAGTTTGCACGATGGAAAAAGGCAACAAAGTTTCAGCAATTGATGTTCTACTGTTCATCCCGAATATCATCGGTAAGTGAAATGGTAAAACTTTATAAAAAATATAGTCCATTCCATCGTTAAACGAATTTATGCTCTAAACTAGTTTAATAGTTAGAGACCTTAAAAAAATAAACAAACTGTGTTTCTATTGCAAGTCCCACAAGACAATATCTTTATTGGTATGAATCAGAAACTTTGTATGAAAAATTTTTTTTCCCCTGTTGTAGTCACCTTTATGTTTGCAGAATTATCTTCATGCTTGCGGCCAGACTCGAAATATATTATATATTGTTATATATGTACATGTACCGACTATTCAAGTATTGCCAATGGTGGGCACACTATAGCTACAAGAATTGTGCTTCGTTATCAATGTCTCGGAACGTGATTATGAGATTATTTAGTGTAAATTCTAGTCCAGCCGTCAATTAAAGCCATCCATCAATTTTGGTAGCACTTTGGTTTTCTTCCGTTTCAAAGCCGCTTGTAAAATATCATTTGCAGATTTTTCGAGGATAATTTTGTACTTCACTGCCTTCTATTTCGCCAGAACCAACTATGTCATTACAACAAGTTGTTTTATCGTCGGCATAATACTAGATGAATTCGATGGCCGAGCAGCGAGATATTTTCACCAGATTTGTAAAATAGGCCAACCAAAAGCAACAAATATTGCCAAAATGCAGTGGCGGCGCGTCAATAGGGCCAACCGGGGCAATGCCCCGGTTGTTTTTTCGGTATAATAAAAAATATTCGAAAAATACCTCAATATCGGTTGCACAGAATGTCTACACTAGCCATATTCTCCCGACATGGTTCATTTTTCGCTCGCAAAGCCTTCGCCGAACGTCGACGGGCGACGCCGATTTTGCCCCGGTTGCTCATTGTATATCGTATTCTCTCTTTTATCTTCCACTCGCCGCGTTTGTCTCGTTTGTTTTCTGTTTCTTTTACTGAATCATCGGGGCTAGCCCCGAAATTATGACGACACAATGCCAACGTTTCTTACAACAACGTGTTGACATATTCACGCATTCCTTCTCGTTCGTTGGTTGCTTGAAGAGTTGATAGTTTCCTCGCCTTCGTTTTTGTCGCTTGTTTCGCTATTTGAATCAGTTAGAGACCTTTAGTCCATTTTCTTTCGATTTTTCACATTCCTTTTGAGATCCTCACTTCTTTCCGGCTTCGCATTTCTTAGCCTTAGACCTCATAATGAATAAGGTTGATGCACTACTTCGCACTCCGTTTTCGCAGCTGCCGCTGGAACAAAAATTAGAGGTACAACGTCTTGGGCCTTATCAACCAAAAAATTGTTCACTGGAACAATCCCATGACGGCGGAAAGCGTCGGCGTACATTCTGCGCAGAAACTTGGTATAAAAAACACGAATGGTTGTGTTACAGCGAGGACAAAAATGCACTTTTTTGTTTTTATTGCCTACTTTTTGCTACCGCCCGTGACTTACGTTGATGTAAATTTGGTTTTAGAGATCTTAAACATCTTTCCGAGCGTGCCAGGGATCATCAATCTTCTATGGAGCATCTGGACAATGCAGTAAAATACCGAACATTCGGAAATGTTAATATTGCAGCACAGTTGGATGAAGGACGCGCGGTTTCTATTCGTCGGCACAACCAAAACGTCGAGAAAATCCGCCATGTTCTCGGTCGATTGATAGATGTTTTGAAGTTCATTGGTTGTCACGAGCTGTCCCTCCGTGGGCACGATGAACGGGCTGGCTAATAGAGGAGTATTTTCGAATATGGTGGAATACACCGCATCCCTAGATACAGTATTGAGAGATCATCTTGATGCCGCAACTGTTTCGAAAGGGACATCTAAGGATATCCAAAATGATTTGCTCGACTCAATGTATAAAATTTATTTACAACATTTGGCTCTGGAAATTGAGAATTGCCAGTTCCTTTCGATTCAGTCTGACGAGACAACTGACATCACGTGCGTTTCCCAACTGGCTGTGATTTTTCGGTTTGTGAAAGATGGTAAACCTACCAAGAGATTTCACAGCTTTGTACCAATCGTTGATCGCACGGCTTGCGGGATATCGCTGTACTGAAAGAAGTGTTACAGCCTTACAACGCGAAGTCAAAATTGATAGCTCAAACTTATGACGGCGCGGCAGTCATGAGTGGGTCGAAACATGGTGTTCAAGTTTATATAAAAGAAGATTTTCCTGATGCGCATTTTATACATTGTTATGCACACCAATTTAACCTCGTTATTAAAAATATGTGTCTTGATACCCCTCTCGTCCGTATATTTTTTGCAAATGTTTGGGGGTTTTCTTCATTTTTTTCCGTTTCGCCGAAGCGCTCTGACCTCCTTCGCCAGATATGTAGCCGCCGTCTCCCAGCTTGTGCACCAACACGTTGGAACTTTCAATCACGCGTGGTGCAGAGTGTGTCCGAAATTAGGTCTGAGCTCATTGAGTGTTTCAATGGCATTCAGAGCTCTCCGGTTTGGGACGAACGCTCTGTGAGGGAGGCGGCAGGTCTAAAGCGTCTGCTAGAAGATGGGGAGTTTTCATTTTTTCTCCACAATATTCTATCACGTGGATGTATTATTCGGCGCATTGCAGTCAAGGCTAATGGACGGAGCGTCTGTGCAGTCGTGTATTTCAGACTTCTGCGATGCTGTATCTCGTATCCGGGAAACAATAAAATACGACGACACATGTAGTGCTTCTTTACGCCGCGGGCAAACAACGCAGCGTTTGATTTTGTCTGCAAAGGAATGCTGTGACATTCTGGTGAATCAAATAGGCGATCGTCTGCGCACTGAACACCTTGCCGCGTTCTCTTTGATGAACCCCAAAATTTTTTCAAAATTTTCACGTCAATTTCCCATCCATTTGTTGGCTACTGTCTCCAAATTTTACCTCATGATAAACGTGGGTAAATTGGAAAATGAATTGCGATGTATATACACCAATCAAACTTTTTTGAACATCACATCAACTTGCGCGCTCTATGGGTTCCTCATAGATAACACTCTAGTAACTACCTTTGCGGCGTCTGCAAAATTTCTGGACATCATTTTGACGACGCCTATTTCTTCCGCCGACGCAGAGCGAACATTCAGCACGCTGAAGCGTATTAAAACGTATCTCAGAAACACAATGAAGCAAGATAGATTAAATTCCTTGGCTGTTTTATCCATTAACAGAGACGTTATTTCTGGGATGCATGACTTTAATCAGCGCCTTATTGAGCATTTTGCTTCCAAGAAACCGCGGCGTGTTGCATATAAGTTCAAGCAGTAGAAGTCTAGCAGCATATATATCTATGAGTGAGCGACGCATGTCCTTATCTTTGCATTACCTTTCCTTTCTTCATAGTAACGTTTTAAACCTTATTTTAGGTTTTGTCTGCTTTCCCGAAGTTTCTGTTCATATGTCATTGTATTTATCTGGGTAAATATTGCCTTTCCTTTTGAAAGAGGTTTCAAAATAAACTATGTCTATATTTATTAATCCCTTGACCTGGACCGGTTTTAAAGACACTTTCTTATCGTTAAACATTGTCGCTTTTGCCGATTGGTTGGTACCGATGGAATGGTTTTTATACTCATAAAATGATGGGAGAACTTACAGCGCTCATCCTGTCCCCGTAGATGGGGGTGACTTGGTCCCGCAGTAGCTTGCCCCGGTTGTCAAAACGACCACGCGCCGCCACTGCCAAAATGACGAGGACAAAAAGTGAATCAAAATTGGATTTTGTAACGTTGATAACTTTTGAAAATAGTGGGGTGTTTGATTTTTCTGGTAATGTTCTCAAATAGTTACATAAATTGGCGTGTAACTTATTGTTTCCAATGTAATATAATTCAAGCAGTGATAGGTTTCAAAATTTTGAAAACAGACTTATTTTAATTGAATTCACTATCAGAATTTCAGAATAGCTCTATAATAATACAAGAACGTAACATAGGATTACATGATACAAGCAAATTGAACGCCGTCTTTACTAATGTATGTCGCTATACGTAAGCTACATTAGCATGAAACGCTTTACGTGAATTCTATATATACTTTTCGAAACGCCAATTGTAACGGTAGTCGGTGCGGTGCAGCTGTATTTTCACGACATCCCGAGAACCGGTTCGTGCGCCAATCCCCTAAATCTCATCTTTTTTTTGATGTTACCTCATGTTACAGGAATCGAAGCTTGGTGCTATGCTGGACATCATGACAGATCGCGTCGGGAATGTTTGTCTCATTTTAAACATTGTCAACTTCTATCCTGGCTATACGTTACTGTTTCAATTGAGGTCTGTACAGTCAATATCACGAGGCCAACTTAGAAATATAAATGTATTACAAAATTTTTGGTGGGACGTAGGCTATATTATAAAATCTTTAAAATGCATAATTTCGAAATAAAATCTTTTGTGGAAAGCCTAATGCAAAAATGTGAGACTCGAGAAAAACCCTAACCATGATATCACTGGATTCAGTGCTCAATTCCATCAACGGGTGAAACTGGATAACTTAATTTCAGGCCGTGACGAGATGCTTTTTTGAGAAGGGCTTTCTACAAAAGATTCAATTTTGCTTTAAACAAGTTCAGACGCACATACACGGGTGAATGAAAATTCGTGTGAGGATTTTAAAGATAATGCATAATATTTTAATGGAGATATCGCAGCAGCCCAACTTTCCTAAAAATAACAAACTGATGATATCTGTATTGTAATAAATAGAACCTGGATGAAAGTACCCACAAGTTATTATGAAGTGTTGTTTCTACAGTGTCTATGTTGATATCGTTGGCCACTGGTTGTACATCCATCATTCCGCATTCACTGGTTCATATCATCAAGACATGAAAGGTGGAAATTATTTTTTACGACATTACTATTCGAACAGGGTAAGAATCGAATCTCTCTTAATAAAATTTGAATCAAAATGTTGGTACAAGTTTATAATATTTTTGAGTATAGGATATTGTATTTCGAACTGCGAGTCCTTTCTTCTTGTCTAATTTCCACTTCGGATCTCAAGAGGCCGTAGTCACAAAGATTCTAGAACGAGATAGTATAAAAGTGATATATATATAATATGTTATTCTTTATTTGACTTAATTCGATAACTCGGTTGATCCTCGCAAGTGTGCGTTTGATTTGAGTGAAGTTTTTTATTTTGATTGTCGTTCCTATACCTTGCTGGCCGGACTGTCTTCCACACACTGCAGAGCTACATGCATTTGCGCTTTGTGTTGACACTGTTCAATACTTGCTGGGAAGTTATGTGACAGTTTATTTGTTGTTGTTTACGTTTAATATGCAATTGTTTGTATGTTCAGACATGTTCTGTTGTTTTGCTTTGCAGATGCTCCTTTCTCTGTTGGTTGATGGGAACGAAATATTTCATTTGATGTTGTATTTACTGCACTTTACTGAAGGACCAATGTGTGAGTTACATAAAAATTTTCGCGCATTCTCTGACAAAATAATGTTATAATCTGGCCAATAATGATGCTTATTTCCACGATTCGGAACTTGTACTCTTCGTCTTCGTAGGGTGCGTCGTTCACGCAATCGATAGTAGATTAGGCTTCTTCAATTATCAAATCATGTGTCAGAGACGAATACTGAACCTATATAGAAGGGTAATTAGACGAGATATCATGGTCTACCTTATGATTAAGAATTATTATTTGCTTTCTCTCTAAACCGGAATAGTTGACTCTCATTGCAGCCCAAACCAATATTTCAGCAAAATTATTCATCATCTCTCGATATCAAACATTTACATTGAATTACAAATTTTCTCATGATCTCCTTTACAGTGAATCTACCGGGTTTGAATATTGGTCTGGTAAGATTAGCTTTATATGCATTCACACCAGTCATGGTCGCAAAATGTTGCTTTTTCAACGTTGTTCATCTGTACGATTCCATATGGAGCATGGCAAAATTAGATGCTGATCTACGAAACGACAAGGAGGCTAAAGAAAAATAATACAGAAGATATTGCAATTTATCATGTACATTATTGCTTCGCAATAGTCGGTAAAACGAAATTTGAATGCTGCTTTCGTATGCGATATCACTTGCTTAACTTGATCTCAATCGCATACTAAAGTGGCGCACCGATTGTGGTGCTTCTTTGATATTCGTTTAATTTCGTAAAGGCATCTCATAAAACTCGGTTACAAGCCCTAACTATAATCACGGAGATCGCATACCGAAGTAACACCAAAATTTGGATATTTTCCTACACTTTCAAATATTTAATAATCAATGTTATAAACCGAAAAGTTTAGATATTGGGGGCCGCCCTGAACACATTATTGCGATATGTGCATTTTGCATAAAAATAATTTTGTTCGAATATTTCTATACTGTTGAAAGAAATTGAATATAATGCTGTGTTTTTTCGTTACAGCTGTAGACATAGGGCATAAGCTGAAAATAAGGTAACTGTTAATTTCCATACATTATAACCACCGACTGCTAACAGCATGTGTTAAATTGCTACAATTCAAAGTCGAACCACCATTTATTTCCTTATATGATTCACCACAACAAGTTCTCATGCTGGTTCGAAATTTCAGAGCGAATAAGAGTCTGATCAAGTGACCCCGCCCGTGCACGACAGGTCGTCTCTTGGTATATTTCTTTGTTGTAGTTTGATTAAAATTATAAGTGTACTTTCATTTATCTGTTACTTAAAATAATTCAATTCGATTGTTAACTTCACAATATATGGGCATTCGGCAACAGATGTTGTGTGTTTATTGGCCTTTGACCGAGCCGGATGAAGATATTACTGTGCGTACGTTTAATAGTGCGAAAAAAAATAACAGTTCGGGACTTTCCCCTCCCTATGCTAGATTTGAGTCTGAGTTCTAATTTTTTCTAGTATTAACTGTGTATTATCGACATTTTTCTTTGCCACATGATAAACCACAACTTTGCTGTGTACTGATGATATTATTAAATCCAAGACTTTACACGAAGAATTATTAATATCAGCATTTGCGCAAATCATATAGACTAATCTACAATCTTTATGTATATATATTATGTTATTAGAAGCAATTTAATTCAAAGTTTCGAGAAATATCTTGTTTCGTGAACAACTATGTCTGGTGTCGTCTGCAATTCTTCTATTGTGGAAACTCCTGTAGAAAAAAATTTTTAATGTTGCTTCATAGTTGCAACACAAAGCTATTATGCCGCTGTTGATATGTTGAAATTCATGGTGGTATGTGTCATCGGGAATTGCACTTGTGATTCGGTAATTGTAATTTGGTGTGCATTTGATCAGTGTTTAGTTATGGTGCAGGGTATAACTTATTGTCAGTCGGCCATTTGGAGTTTTTCGAATTTTTGCATCAGAGTTTCTTTATTCTTATTAAGAAAACCTACTATTTTGTATATTTTTGCATTAGGTCGAATGCTACTACAACTTGTCCCCGAGGTAAAATTGGAAGAAATCTTTGGCAATAGTTTTCAATTTGAAAGTTAGATTAGAAAGAAATCAAAAAAGTTGAAACAAGTAGATCTATCCAAATAGAATCAAATGCATTATGTTTTATCAGGTTATAGCTGCTAACTCACCCAGGAGTTGCATAGTGTAGATGAATTCGTTTTTGAGAATTTCTATAACATTCCGCACACCTTCCTCGCCCTGAAAGGTTATTGTTTCGTTTTACCAATGTCATATATATTATATGTGTCTATTAGAATACTTTGCACCAATTTCAGGATTTTTACTTTTTGCAAATGTAATTCTACTCTAGGTCCGAAAGGTCTTTGGAACGTATACGGTATGTTAATTACAAAATAAATCTTGTTACAAACTTTGCATGCCAGTCCCCAGATTATTGGTCTTCCAACAAAAACCGCCTTTGCTCCAAGAGCGATTGCTTTTGCTATGTCTGTTCCTCTACGGATTCCTCCGTCAAAATAAACATCAACTCTGCCATTCACGGCCCGAATTACTTCTGGTAGAGCGTCTATCTAAAATTAATGTCCAGTTTTAAACATGAAATTTTAAGTATTTACTTAGAAGATGGAAATCATGGATGTGGACATGAAGGCACGTGGAGTTGATACCATAACCATCCTTGGTATAACATGGGTTATGCACTCAGCGTTGGAGTATTCACAGATGTGCATTAACATCATGCTTCGGGATAACATGGACTTTACAACACAGATTCAGTTTTCTAATTCAATCAGCGAGAAAAGACGTTAAAATAAAAAGCGGAAGAATGATATAGATCGGAGTCAGCATGCTTTTCTTTTTTTCTCTCTTATTTTTTTGTTCTCAGTTGATTACATTACCCAATCAATCACAGTAGCTGGAAATTAGTATATTTGTAAGACAAAATTCGAAAACAAAATGGAAAGGATCAAAACAAAGTTTGCAGTTGTCGGAATAGGTTAAAACACCGCCATAATTAATTTATGGAATGTGACGAAAAAAATAACTTTATATATTTCATTCTATATCAATGTATACCCACTGTCGCGAATGTACCATCTAATATTCTCCCGCCATGATTTGAGACAATGATTCCGTCAACTTTGTGTTCAACAGCTTTAAGTGCCATTTCCGCTTAATATAAACAGAATGGAATTATTTTTGAAAGAGTGTTTTTATTCACTGTTTTATGCATTTATGATCTTCGTATTTGCAATACCAAATCCTGGAACGTACTCGAGGTTAGTATACGTCAGGGGTCGGCAACCTTTTGAACTCCGCGTGCCATTTTATGAATAATGAGCACCTTCGCGTGCCAAACATTTTCATGTGTTTGGTTTGCATAATCAACTACCTGATTTGAATAGTCGGAATCGGAAATTTCCTTTCCTTTCTGAAACAGTCGCCGTGATTACACGCTCGTAAAAATAGCCGACTTTTTTAGCGTATACCGATTTTTAGTCGCGTAAAATAATCAATTCATGACAGCTACGAGAATCTATAAAATTTCCTTCTATATTGATATAATTGGGTCCAATGTAACTCGTGGCTGCGTCTTCTTGCGTCAAAATATAAAGATTACTAGTCTAAAATACCGCTCAATCTGTTGACGTATAAAAATATGAGATAAACAAACTGAGTGTACTTAGTTTCGATACTTTTTTGTAGTCTTGCGAATTCGTTATCGCCGTTAGAAAAATCTCAAGATCTGTAATAAAAATCTCGTAGAGTACAATTAAATACATGTAAAGTATATCAGTAAATCAAAAATACATATTTATCGCCTCGAAATCCCCGCGGCTTTTTCGACGAATACTATATAATGATTTTTCTGTTGTCCAAAGTAATCAATCCACGACCGATACGGCCATATTTAAAATGTCTTGCTGTATTATAATTTACTTGTCTTCAATTTAACCTGCAGTTGCGTCGACAATATAAACGCATACGCATCACTACCCTAAAATACCGCATCAATCCGCGGAAATAAAAATGTGTGATAAACTTTCCGGTTATATCTAGTTTTGATCCGTATTTTTCCAATTGCGACAATTCGACAAATCTGAGCTGTACTTGCAAAAATGACTCTGCTCTATCGCAATGCTGCCACTCAGATTTTGTTTTCGATGATGAAACCGTTAGAAAAATCCCTAAATCTGCTATAAAAACTCACGGAGTAAAATTTATTTTGGTACAATAAAAATTGATTGAATATACTTTAATTAATTATCTTATATCTCAACACGACTCGGGAAAAAGTCGCGTTTCCAACCTTATAATATGAAATGTATAATATCAACACGAAAATTCCCGACGGCAATTTAAAGTAATTGATAAAAAGGTAAATCCGCGCATGTCGGCGATAGAAGTTTCTTTTCAGTTGATAATATTTTGAACGCTGTTCTTCCTTGTGTTCTGACCGGCTAATTTTTATCGATAATTGCTTTTCTGTTTTGACGCGAGTTTCGCGGGCTTTACTGCATCTGACGTGTCACGTGTGGCTCTTGCATCTCGACTTTACGCGTCGTAGGACGTTCTTGTTTAATCTTGTTATGGTGACAGTGGTGTGGTTTCGCATTATCCGCTTTACTGACTTAGCGTGTGGGTGGCATTTGGTCTCGTTAGGTAGAACTGTGGTGAGGGTATCGTAACCGGGGCCCCATATGACCATCGTAGTCATTTATTGCTTTAATTGTTCATGTATTTTATATTTCATTCTTATTAACTGCTTTCCAAATTTAGTTGCTATTTTTATGCCAATAACGTTATCGTTCACGTTTCCTGTCAGTTTCTTGTCGATTTAGGCCTTTGGAGCGTTATCATATGTAAGTTTAATTTCTATTAACTTCTGGTTATGCATTTTCTTTCCGCCCTCATCTTGTGATTGTTTATTGATTATTTCATTTTATTTACAGTCAACCGTTTTACAATAAACGCGTATGACATGGAACATCTGTGTGCCTAAATCTGACAAAGTTGAATATGACGCATTTGTTGAAGTCAAATACTAAAGAATCTGAAGCAACAGTGGCTTCATCGTCGACATTTACGGAAGAAGGCGAGTCTACAGCTGACAAAACGTTTGAGGGCTTGCCATCCTTAACCACGCTTAGACAAAAGCGTATCAACACAGAGACTGAGTTTGAATCATTGTTGACCAAAAGTCGAAATTTGATAAACGAGAACATTTAACCGTGTTTCTATTCTAATGGCCTTATGATTCTCAATGCCGCTCAAACTTATGTGTGCAATAGGCACACGAAATTTTGCAATTTACAATGCCTAAAGAAGCGTTTTTAATCTGTCACGGGCCTCGTACAACAAATTATTTACGGTTTTATTTTTAGTGTTTTATATTGCCGCTTTTCAATAAAGAAATTTGCGTCGGTGCCCCACTCCTTTTAGACTTAAAAAGCAGCTCGCTGCCGATTATTGTATAATAACTCTTAGCCAATTCACAATTCTGGGCGAATACAAAAAGAAAATAGTTATTATCGTTGACGTGAAATACTTTTTTCGGTTCTGGGAGAATAAACACCGACTTAAAGTGTTTACGGTCAAAATAACACGTCACGCTGACAAAAATAATCGGTGATTTTAGCAAAAAGCTGTACGAATCGCCCAAAAGTATGAATTGATGAAATAATATTCAATATTTCACGATTATCAAAGGGCAAAAAGTAACCCAACAATAGTATAAAAAGTTGCTAGTAGGTGAACGAGTAGTTTCAGGTAGCGAAGCGTTTCTGAAAGTAGCCAAATCTGGCACCGCTGCACCGCATATGCTTATTTACACTGAATTCCCGTACAGATTTAGGCCTCTGATCCATCGATTTTCCGAAAGTAACGAAAAGTGGCAACAATTTCGACTTTCCGTCGTTGCAGTTAAACATTACATGTTTTTTCAAAGGATTTGTCGAATTGTTAATTTTTGTTCAAGTGCAGAATTTTGATCGACCTACTAAAATAAATATGAGCCATGAGAAATCCTCTCGCGTGCCACAATTGGCACGTGTGCCAGGGGTTGCCGACCCCTGGTATACGTTATAACTATGTACTCAATTAGAACCATAGCTTACCTGTCAGAATTCCTTTGATTACTACAGGTAACTTGGTAATTCCTTTCAACCAATCAATACTGTCCCATTCAGCACTTCCATCCATCCAGGATGTAAACGCAACAAAGGCCGGCTTATCAGGTTCCGCAAATTTGATTGATCTACAATGACCAGAAATGAATCGAATAAAAAAAGGTTAAAAACTCCAGGAATCAATAACTTCCATTGCGATTTCAACTCATTAATAGCACGTATACAGTTATTGCTATGTCATGTTTGGCAAGCACTAGCATAGTAATATATATCTGAATATATATTCAGAATATTTGGCGTTCTAGACGTTAATCGTTATACGTCTGACGAGTGTGGACTATATTTCATTGATCATGTTCTATTTTGATCTGAGTTTAAATACCTCTAGACATAATACTCACACAATAGATGTTTCAAACTTGAGTGGTTTTTCGTCTTCGTATCTATGAGTACGATTTCTAAAAACCGGTTCATCGATGGTCACTATAAATCCTTTGAATCCGTTTTGCTCAGCTCTTCTCACAAAATGCTCTGTTACGATACGATTCTATGAAATATTTGAATATTAGTAAGGTAAAGAAAGTACTAAAGTGAATCTAGAATTGACAGAGACTTCAAATACATGTGTAGGAAAACACTGAATCATTCTTTTCTAAGTTAGAGGTTTTGAAGTTTACGAATACGGAATGTCGTGGGTTGATGACGACCGTTGTCGTCCTTCATAACTCTTTAAATTTCCAGTAATGTGCTGAACTTTGTCAGGTCGAAATAAATGAACTGATTTTCAATAACCCAGTTGGGGTATTTCAGCATTTAGGATTTGATGCTTACTTAGTCATCGTCAAATTGTTGCTTGAATTAATCGGGATTCCAGAAGTATGTGTACCATTATGGAGATGATTATTTTTGTTCGCATATTTCACATTCATTACAAAAGTTGTGTAAAGGGACTGAAACCTATGGACGAGAGGCTAACACAGACAGTCCAGGAACTCGTAATAGAACTAAAATAGGTAAAATCAGTATAAAATTATGGCCTACCCCAAACCTAGTTCACATACTGCGGTAGTACCTTAATCGGAGTTTATGTTTTATGTTTACAGACTACTAAATGTAAGCACGGATATTTATTACTTTGAAGTAGAATAATTGATACTTCCATACCAACCTTGATGAATTGAACGTGGCACCATTTTATGCAGTTTGGCACCTCAGATGCGATCTCTTCCATCGTTTTGTTACTCCATAAACTTACTGCCATCCCTACGCCAAGTGATTCGGCGGCTGAATAAAAATCATTTTATATTTTGTGAAACTTGCAATTAATGTTCGAGATATATATTATTAAAAGAAATATATGCTGCAGTCACTTTACCTCTTGCAGTACAAAATTCACCTTCTGGCGCACACATACGATGAAATGCCGTTGGTGCAATACATATTGGAAAAGGTATTTTTGAACCAATTACTTCTGTCGAGCAATCCACTCGGCTAACGTTCTTTAAAATCCTGGGTCGAAATCGCCATCTGTGTATAATTTTACAATTTAAATATTTTTTTATACATTTTCCCGACAATGTTGCAATTTCAAGTTTTGCAACCCTAACAGTATTGAAGTAATTCTGAATAACTTTAAATTTGGATGCAAAATTTACAAATTGTGCAAAGTTTTTGTGATATCTTAAACCAGATATTTCCGATTTTACATTGCGTATTCAAGATATCCCACCAAATTAGTTACCGTGCAAAGAGTTGTAAAAGCTAAACCAGCGGTTCCCAAAATTTTTGTTCGTGCTGTCCCAAATTATCAGTGTAAAAACTCACGATGAATTGAACGAAAAAATGCTCCTTTTAATTAAAACTTAATGTGTGATCTTTAATGTGTACTTTATGTCTTTTATAACGTTTGCAAACATGTAGGCCCAAGAAATAAAGGCAAAAGGTCAACTCTTCTTCTTCACCTCTGCCTGATTTACTTTGAAATGCTGAAAAAATCAAGCATGTTCGCAAATCGCGGTTCAGCAGATAAATAAACTGCAGCTCACAAAATTGCAGCAAATTGTGTCTATTTCTATTATTACGTAACAGACACTACGTAACAGGAAACAAACGACATAGAAAGGTAAAATGAATTCATTGATTCATATAAACAGCATTTAAAATAAGAAACAATGAAACATTTATATTAAATACAAAATGTAAAATATTCAATCATATTTTAGTTATGTTTTACACAACTCTGTTAATTTTCGCGGCGCATCCTTTGGGAACCGCTGTGCTAAACAATGAATATTTTTCCTTTTAAATGCTTCACAGTTTTCTTTCATGGTTTCTCTTGCTCCTGCAGCAAAAGAAAAATAGCCCAAATCATGTTGCGATAACTTTCTTCGGGCCTCTTCCTCATAATGGCTTACGGATTGCAAATAGTTCTCCATGGACTAAAATGTTTTAAATATTTGCGAGTTAACTGAAATTGTAAGCAAGTAGGAAAAGTGTAAGCACGTGCAATTATCTAATGAGTCGACAGACTCCTAGATTTGAGGAAATCATACAATTGATCGGTTTTACAATTTATCTTTTTGCCAGACTGTAAGCGACAAGGGTGTGAGAAGTGAATCAAGCACGACTCATCTATAATACTTTCTTTGCAGACGATTTGTTCACGGTCGAACGGATGTAATATATATATGAATGAGTGGTGTTTCAAAAACAAATTTTCATATTCCGAGAATAGAATATATAAATATTTCTCCCTATATACTACATACTAATCCCATACCGTTATTTTGGAACAACTATGAACGTTTAAAAAGTGCGAAATCAATCTGGCATCAGTAGGATACGGGCAAGGGAGATTTTATAAATTGATTACTGTCAGATTCCTTACGTCGTACGCAATTCAATTTAGATTCAAACAGTGAACTAAGGCTGGCTGGCGACCTTCCTGAGACATTGCCATCAGCCTCGGTAACTACAAATATTCAAAAATAGGTCGTAAAATATCACTCGTGCAAGTCTTAATCATTACATACAAAATCTTTCTAATCTAAAAACATAGCTTACTACAGTCATTCCCCCTTTCAAGAATTCTGCATAACCCCTACAATGGCCGACTATGGCGCGATTACCATATTATACTTGAGAGTTTGCGACACGCTTTGAACGAACACCGATGTCGCCGCATCGTATGCACACAACGACATTAATTAAGGAAAACTATGTTTTAAGTACAAGCCAAGGGAGCTGGATTTTACGGAAGTCACACTTGCCAGTGAAAAGTTTTCTTTCAAGTATCACGTATTTGCATTACATCTAAAACCTTGAAAGACGTTCAAACTATAAAAGATTACATGCAGTCATCGACTAATGCAAACAAGTAGGAATACAAGTGACACAAATGTCATTTAAAATTTAGCAGTGACATTGCAGATTACACAAATAAAAGTACTTTGCGCGTTTAAAACACTGAGTGTTTCTAAATCATCCTCATCATAATAATGGACATAATAATAACTTTCTACAACTTGATAGTAGCAGATCCCATACGACAATCCTTTATTATCCGTTTAAATATTGATTAGGGCTCGACACTCACAATAAAATGAATATACTTGGCTCGTGTTATAACGTAATTACTTATAGGCTGCTATCCCTCATGCTTACAGGGCAAGCCAAATCTCTTCATTTTATCATGATTGTCAAGGTCAGCCCTAATCAATATTTGATTACGTCAGGAAAGTGTGAAACGTACCGTCAATCTATGTAGCCTACGACTTTTCCCGGCTTGAAATATCTTCCAATATGGTCTGATGTCAATCTTTTTCTCAATATTCACTTCAATTAATGCTATTTTAATCTCATGTATAGCCTAACAGTCTTAATACAACCAAATATTCCCATGAACTCGATAGAACAGAAAGGATGCAATAAAATTAACAAATACCCGGTATGAACATCGTAAGAAAAAACATTATACATAAATATATATATACAATAAAAGACCTGAAATTTGGAGAGAAACCCTAAAATCTGGTATATATATATAGCTAACCAGCTAACTAACTAATTATTTACGAAATAAGCTGAAAACAACTCAATACAAACAAAAGACTGACGGACGGTGCTACAGCGCCTTGGTGTCTCGAACATTAAAATACAGAATCTAACAGTAAAATCAAATAATGGTGTTATAAATCTAAAAATATGGGTCGTCACATTCCCCACCCCCTCCCTTCTTCTACATAGAACTTTATATAAGAATGTTTTATTCTCCATTATAAAATATTAAGCAACAGATGAACACTAATAATGACAAAAACGAGAATATCGGTCAGACCGAAGACTTATCGATCGAAAATTAGGGGATCCCCAAAACAGCGCTCTTATTCTATAGTGACACCTTGTGTCCCATCACTAATTAATTAATAACTCGCTAATTATACGACATAATTTGCCCCAAATCAATAGGCTTCTGGTCCAAGATAATTATGATGAATGCACATGCAAAATCTGGAACATATTCAATCTCGTTTTCGTAAGATATCGCGTGCATCTAACAGACAGACAGACAGACAGACGAATACCTATCAACATACTTACCGATTAAAATCGATAAGTAATAAGCGTAGGTATCCTAGTAAGTGATTGAATGAAGCTATCAAAAATCACTACAAAAACGGATACACCCGTATCAGAACAATTGATGGCAAGTGCGGGCTATCACTCAGCTCAATCATCCCTAGTTCAAGCATCTTGTCTACAGCATCCTCCGCTATTTGTCTCATTGTCCAACCCAGGCTCCGGGCTGTCTGTCGAATAGGCTGCAGTATTGTAGTTCATTTATATAAAAGGACTCCGAGCACCACCAAGAGATGTAACCACAGGAAACTTTCACGATTCAAACGTCATTGGAGGCTTTAAACGGCAATGCAATAAACTTGGTACTTGAACTAGCTTAACTAGTTTAGAGAAATTTCTTACTGCCATGTGTGACATTTGTTTAGAACGTGTCGCAAACTCACCAGTAGATATGGTAATGGCAGTGATAAAAAAAAAATCGCACTCGACTTTTGTTGCAATTTGGGCTCGAAATGAGTTAAGCGATTGCGACAGCGATTTTAGTTGTCGACTGATTCAAATAACCATTGCAGGGGTTGTGTATAATTCTAAAAGTAGACAGAAGTAAGATGTATATTTTAGATTAGAAAGATTGTGTATGTGACGATCCAGACTTTGCAAAATTGATATTTTTTGTTACCTATTTTTGAATCCTACCGAGAAGGTTTAATCAATTCAAGCAATCAATTGTATTGTTTCCGGGAATCTTTGATTCTGTCGACTCATGAGTGAAATTGCAAATAAAAACCCTTATATATACGTGTGCTTACCCTACATGCTCAAAATATTAGTTTACTGGCGAAGAATTTGAACCTTCTGTCCATGGATAATTTATTGCTTTCAGTAAGCGATTATGAGGAAGAGGCTCGAAAAAAGTTATCGCAACGTGATTGGGGCTACTTTGCTGCAGGAGCTGTAGGAGGAGAAACTATAAAAGAAAATTGTGAAGCATTTAAAAGGGAAATTAACGATTTAATATGGCGAATAACATTTTGACGTTTTTTTTTGGCCTAATACTTCTGTTTTTACTTGAATACTTGATGTGCTGGGTTGATATTGTTGTTTTGCTCTTATAACACTTTGCACGGCTACTAACTTGGTGCGCTATCTCGAATTTTGCACAAGTTATATCTTATGAATTCAAATTTAGAGCAAACTTCGAGAATTCATGAAAATAATATTTCTCAAACATTATTTAAAAGTATTGCTTCAATACTGCTGGGTTATGGTTGTTGGATAAATGAATCAAAAAATAATGAGAAAAATATTTCAAATGCAATATTATACACAGATGGCGATTTCGACCCAGGAATTTAAAGAACGTTAGCCGAGTGAATTGTGCGACAGAAGTAATTGGTTCGAAAGTACCTTTTCCAATATGTATTGCACCAACGGCATTTCATCGTCTGTGTGCGCCAGAAGGTGAATTTTGTACTGCAAGAGGTAAATAGACTGCAGCATATATTTCTTTCAATATTATATATCTCGAACATTAGATAGAGTTAATATCACACAATAAAACACAATATAAAATGATTTTTTTTTCAGCCGCCGAATCACTTGGCGTAGGAATGGCAGTAAGTTTATGGAGTAACAAAACGATGGAAGAGATCGCAACTGAGGTGCCAAACTGCATAAAATGGTGTCAACTTCAATTGACTAAGGTTGGTATGAAAAAAGTAAAAGTAAATAGTAATAAACATGTGTTTACATTTGAAAGTCTGCAATAATAAAAAAAATTATACGTGGCGAACACCCCGTTTTAATACAAGCAACAGTTTAACAATGAAGGACTGAATAAGAACGGAATTCTTTAAAAAAGAAAACTCTGTTATAGAAAATCAGTTCATTCTATTATTTTTCGACCATACCAAATTTGACATAATACTGGAAATAGAAATAGTTGTGAATATCAAACTACAACATTCCGATTGTATAATCTTCAGACCAGTGGTACTCAAACGGCGGAACGCGTCCCTCATTACCAATTCTTTATTTACGGTGCTCCAGAAGTACCAAGATGTCGCACAACCTGAACCCTAACCGGTACACACATACTATCTTCAGGTTGTCGCCATCTTGGTGCGCATATTTCTGGAGGTCCCTTTATACACGTATATGTTGAATAAAACATAATTTCGCCCTAATATCTGTTATTTGTAGCTTTTTGCTAGCTAGTTATTTTTGAGGTTGGTCGCGAGACTTGACAAATTCTAAAAATGAGGCGCGGCTCAAAAAGTTTGAGAACCACTGCTTTAGACCCTAAATGATGACGGTTAAAAATTTTCTATACATATGTATGTATTTAAAGTCTCTATCTATTCTAGATTTGCAAATATTTGGCTTATTGATATTCAAATATTTCATAGAATCGTATCGTAACAGAGCATTTTGTGAGAAGAGCTGAACAAAACGGATTCAAAGGATTTATTGTAACTATCGATGAACCGGTTTTTAGAAATCGTGACCACAGATACGAAGACGGAAGACCATTTAATTTTGATACATCCATTAGGTAAGATTTATTTCTGCATTTATTTTCACTTAAATCGGACAGGATCAATGGGTTTTACTCTTGGCTCTTCAAAACTTATTTCACGTTGAACGTTTCCCGTGTTTCCCAACCTTTTTGTCAAATTTCTTTCTTCGTCTATTTTGGAATTTTTTATTCCTCCATCCCTGTACATCAAACTACTTTTATTTCATTTTTATTGAATCCTTTGCTAATGTTATGCGCAAGTCGTACGCCCGTTTTGTGTAGTTTATTATGTGTTCGTGAATACACACAACATAGAAACTATCCTGAAATCGAAATATTTGAGTTTACAAAAAGTGCACAAAATCAAGCACACAAAGTCAGGCTCTCGAAACATGCCGACACAAATTTGTAAACTGCACACACGCTGATAATGACCCAGAATCGCAATGCCAACAATTAGATACTGAGCATTTAAACTCGTTTATGTGAAATTATGTT